GGCATGGGTCTCCTTCTTGTCTGAAGTTACAGTATTTATTTCCTCTCTATTTCCCTAGAACCAGATCATATTGAGTAAAAACTAAACTCTGAGTACTGTTCAAAACCCTTTTAATAGTTTCAGTGCCATATGCTTGTTCTTTTATGTGTCACAAACTGATACCAATCAGACTTGAGTGCACAATGCTCAGTTTTAGCATCTAAGATACTGGTTTTAAACTCTGGAGTAGGCTGGACCTAGCCCTGCATCACCAGGCAGAAATGAAGAGAAAATATCTGCAAAATCCTTTGGACTGCTCTGAAAATTGGACATTGTCACTGACCAAATCTCTCCCAATGTTTCCAACTTGTGACAAACCTGCTGGAAAAGGGGACCCAGCTGTGAGGACTGGAAGTTCAGTCACTCTTCCTCCTTCTTCATCAGCAAAGTTATGACAAAATGGGAATTCTAGAACATTTTTAGTTTCTCTGTGTTGAAGCTTTACCTAACAAAGAGATAAAAAGAGGTAACTTCAGCATCTGTTGCGCTCTAACGCAAACTACAGCTAAAGACAAACTATTAAACAGCTATGACACACCATCTCAAAATTTAAAACTAAGAGGAAATAAATTTTTCTAAAATGTTTTTGAAAACAGCCTTTTAAATGGGAAGGAATAAATATCTTTCCCAATTAAAGGTAATTAAAATGTCTTCAACAATATTGCTGCAGAGACTGCAGTGAAGGAAAAAGAAATATTTTAAGTTGTTCAAAAAGTTTCCTTTATGTAACCTATTCATCCAGCATATGGAAGAAAAAGAAGTGTTGATATGGGCTCATTTCAGCTTGTGAGAAATGTCAATATGCCACAATATTTTTCAGTGCAGAACATTTTCTTATTCTAAGTAACAGGAGAAAGAAGAAGGGAAAAACTGAAATACAGAAATTAAGTGCTTTCTGACATGTGCATATATCAGTACATATGTATCACTTGAAATTATAGCTTGATACTAAGTAATTTCAACATCTATGACATTCTGTGTATAAACTAATTAAATGGTAATCCTGAGCGAAGTAGCTTATTCTTTTATAAGAGAACATATTTTAATAATGAAATATCTTACACTATGGTACTATCAGCAACACTGAGATAAATTCCCATTTTCTGAACTATTTAAACCTAGACCAGAAACATTTGAAAATACTTTGTAGGAAGTAACCCTGCTTTGAAAAGGGAACATAAAATTCACTCATTCAGTTTTTTGTGACCTCACTAAAATGTCCAAACCTTTAAGCCAGTAAGCAAAACCAGCTTTGGTTAGGAATTGTCTCTGGGAGATGGTAGCATTATTTTGTCTTCAAAAGACTCTTAGTACTTTTCATTATGACAGACACACTGAAAAGAGTTTTTCAAATGCACTATGAAGTATAATGCTAGCGCAATTTTGTCTTCATAATAACATCTACATTCCTGAACAGTTTATTGAAACTCAGGTTTCATTTACTCTATTTCTTCAGGAAGTCAAAGACACAAGAATGAAGATTTTAGCAATTACATGCTGCAGAAATAAGACATACCTTAATTAATTTTGTTCTAGGCATTATTTTATAATGATTTCAATTTCCTCAAAAAATCATGATTATTGTTTTGCAGTTATGGCTATAAGAATGAAGTGTGAATCTAAATATAGAATTCAACCAATTATATCTGCATTTACTTTTGATAGAAAGGGAAAATCTCAGATTCTCTGGAGGTGCAATCTTGTAAAATCAAAACAAAATAGCATAGAAGTGACCACACTGATTCGAACCAGCAGTGTAAATACACTGCTAAGCTGACTTTAATAACAGATATTATCCACAACCTCCTATACAAATCCAGTTATTTCATACAAGGATTCAGCCAGTCCTGCTATAAAAAACATAGAATAAGAGGAAATGTCTTCCTAAGACCCACATAATTTACATGTATCTCAAAGCACGGAAATTTATAATTTCTTTCTCTACCTCTTCCCTCTTAAAGTAAATGTGTATCTTTTCCTTATTTATATAAATTATGCTGATTTCTCTTAAACTGAGCTTTGAGTGATTGTTCTGAGCTAATGAAGTAAAGCAGACTAATAGATGTCACTGTTTTCAGCTGCCAAGTTTCTGTTCTGAAATTTTTGCTGTGATTTACTGTCTCCTACAATAGTCCAGAAGCAGTCTTAATTTTGATAGATTTGTTGGATGACTATTTCATCTGGCTATGAAGATGAAATTAACAACCTGCCTACCATTTAAATGTCAGGGAGTTCAGCTCAATAATACCATGTATTGGGAAGAAAAATAATTTTTTTCTCCAGTTTTTAATAAGAACAAAATAGAAACATTAATTTAGTAGACAAAAGCATGTCTGCAATTTTGAAGAAGATGGCTCTCCTTTAGAATTGTTTCTATTTTGTCAGCATAAGAAGAGGTAGATATTTTTTCATACAGTGAAATGCCACAGCAATTTCAGTGTGATGTTGGATTTTAGCTGGATATCAGAGGAAAGATTGTCACTTTTGCTATTCACTTCTTTTTTTCACATGCCAACTTAAAAGGCAGATAGTTTCATCAGAATGTATTCCTAGTGTCTGCCTTAATTATTTGCCACGGATCACTGAATCTACAACATATAACAGCCAGTTTGGAGTTATGTAAATACTGCAATGTATGCCAGTGGTACAGTTCTGAAAAGACATCACTGGATATGCTACAGATGATGGCACATCTGTATATACGGCTCTCCAGCAATCCATCCAAGTTCACAAGATTTTTGCTATCCATAGCTATCCTAGTGTTTTGTGCAGTCTCTGAAGTGAGCACTCTACAAGCATTGCAGCTTCTGTAAATTAAAAAAGGATCTCAGACAGGACGAAAAAAGGGAAGAAATTACAGTAGAATATGGAAAGCAAAAAATAATAATAATAATAATAGAGACACAATAAATAATTGCTTTAGGTTTTAGTTTTACCTTATGGCAATGCCAAGTCTCTCCTTCTCCAGCTTCTTCAATTTCTAGGCGAACTTTGAATATAGTATTAAATTTCTTACTTAGTTCAATAGAAGTCTCATAAATCTGCTCTTTTTTAAGGGATCCTTTGGGGAATATGACTGAAGTACAAGTTCCTTTTTCACCACATACAGTTAGAGACATTTTAGGGTTCATGGAACTAGAAGAAATATCACTAGTTGTGACGTGGACATCCCAAATCCCTGTTGAAATAAAACAGCAAAAAAATTAATGAGTTTGCTGAATATCCAAAATAATACATCAGTTCATAACAGACTGAGTTAGTGAGTGGCTAGCAACTAGGTAGTTCCCACCTTTTCACTGTGCTCAAATATTGGCACATAATATTGAGGTTCACTCACTATTATTGATTTAGTGAAAAGCAAATTTGGGCATCAGTCTTTTATTAGTGGTAGCTGATATTTTAGAGATGGGCCAGTCCAAGAGCAATGTGCAGATGAGACTGCCAGCTCCACATAAGAGACTTGTGAAGAACCATGACAACGTGATTTCTCCTCCTGCCCCTTATAAATATCTCCTGATGATTTAAAATATTTTTTTCTCACTAGTCACCATTCAAAAGCAGTGTATTTTTTACAAGATACTACTGGTTATCAGGTTTGCTTTTGGTCAGGGAAGAGTGTATTTTCATTTTAACTTTTTGGGCATTTACTTAAATGAACATGTTAAAATTTGCTCCATACATACTATAAGAAGATGGTGATGAGATAATCTGGTTCAGAACTTGAAATGTGATATTTTTATCCCACCTCACCACAATCATCATGACAGCAAAGTACAAAACTTTATCCATTTCTTCTGTGAAGAAGTAATGCTTGTTGAGAGATTAAAAATAGTCCTATATAGCATCACATAGATTTGTCTACTTTAGGGACTCAGGAAATATACCAGGAGAATTTTTACTAGGTCTTTTTGAAGCATTTAGTCACTTAAGTATAGTAGATTAATTGACAGATCCCTGAAGGCTCAGGACTGCAGACTGATGCCAGGTAGGCTCCTAAGTAACTTCTGCAACTTTATATGGAACAGATATTTGGTTGAAGCTTCAATCAACAAGACAGTTTTGAAGATCAGAAACTTCTACCCATCAAAAAAATCTCCCTGATTTAGCTAGCTTTAATGTTTTAATTCATGTTAATAGCTTATATGGAAAATTCAGGGTTATCAAAGACATGGTTTCAATTTTTAAAAATTGTGAAAATCAGAATTTTTGGTCACTCGGGCTACTGCATAATTGAGCAGAATTTGTTAGTGATATGACTTAGCCCTGTGAGCAAATGAGACAAAGTATGGATCTGATAATTTCAAATAGCTACTTTGTAAAACAGGTTGTTTTACTCTGAGTAGTGGAATCCAAGACTCTCTGAGTTTATGTCCATAAATCTCATCTTCCTACCTCGGCTTCAGAATGTTCAGTCACCTCAGCTTCCTAACCAGAGCAGGAAAGTCTTTGTCTCCTACTATAACTAATGCAAATAAAGTTTTATTGCTTTAGATCAGGTGAGGATCTGTGCCATAAATCCAGCACTTGTTGACATAAAAATTTAGTACTAACCATCTGTAAAAGCATCTTAAATAACTTCAGTGTTACAACTTCATGAATAATCCCAAATCTATTTTCATACCTATGAACATTATATGTAAATGAAACCAATGATCTCTGTGAAAAAAATGGGAGTCAAATGAAAAGTCATCACATCCCATGTGACATAATCTAGAATATTTTAGCCCTTTAGTACTGAAATACTGGGCCATTAAATTATCAGTGTATAGCTGCCCAGGAATGGTAGCTGAATGGTAGGTCTATGTCTGCTGGATCGTACAATACCATACACTGCTGTAATATGTAAATTAAATTGCATCATTTCTGAAAAATTTATTAAGATTAAATTTAAAAGCAGCTTCCCACCTTCCCATTAGTTAAGTATAAAACAGTGGTTTGGGTTTGTGTGGCCAGGTTTTGGTAGCAGAGGGGCTTCAGTGTTGGCTTCTGTGAGAAGTCATTAGAATCCCCCATGTCCAGCAGAGCCAATGCCTGCTTGCTCCAAGACAGACCCATCCCTGGCCAAGGCTGAGCCATCAGTGACAGTGAGAGCACCTCTGGGATAAGACATTTAAGAAAGTGGGTGGGAAAGACCTGCCCAATTGCAACAGCAGAAGAGTGGGAAAATGCAGGAGAAACAATTCTGCAGTTCCTCAGGTCAGTGCAGAAGGAGGTTGGACAAAGACTCCTCTGCAGCCCATGGTAAAGACCATAAGACCGTGGATATCCATGGCAGGGCAGAGATCCATCTGCAGCCCATGTGGAATCCCATGATGGAGCAGGTGGATGTCCAAAGGAGGATATGACCTCATGGAAGCCTGCAGAGGAACAGACTCCCAGCAGGACCTTATGGCCCCATGGAGAGAGCCTGTGCTGGAGCAGGTCTACTCCTTAAGGACTACACCTTCCTGGAAGGAACCCATGCTGGAGCAGCTCATGAAGAACTGCAGCCTGTTGGAAGGCCTCACTTTGGAGAAGTTTGGGGAGGACTATCTCTTGTCACCCCATGCTGGAGTGGAAGAGGAAGAAGCAATAGAGACAATGAGATAAATTGACTGCAACCTTCATTTCCTGTCCCTCAGCACAACTGGATGAGAGGAGGTAGAGAAAATTGGGAGTAAAGTTTAGCCCAGGAAGGAGGAAAGGAATTTTTAGATTTGGGTTTAGTTCTCATTATCCTACTTTAATTTCATTGGTAATAAATTGAGCTCATTTCCCCTAGTCAAGTCTGTTTGGTCCATGGCAGTTACTGCTCAGTGATCTCACCGTGTCCTTGTCTTGACTTATGAGACTTTTGCTGTGTTTTCTTTTCTCCTGTCCAGCTGAGGAGGGGAACGATGAGCAGCCTTGATGGGTGCCTGGCATCCAGTCAGGGTCAACCCAACACAATGCTAAAAATCTAATCTTTCTTTGTTTCTTTCTCAGAAATCTTTTAATTCTCTCAGAAAGGTATTAATGAACTACTGAAAACCATTTATTTTTATGACAACTTTGTTAGCTTAAATAACTCTCTTCCCTCCTTGATGTGTAAGCCACCATTAATTTGATAGATCACTACTGTGTCCACTTTGAGCATTTCATTAGCTATTCTGAATCTGTCACTATTTTCAATACCCTTTAACAACAATTAAACATTTTCTCAGTCATCATATCTTTACAATTATTGCAGTTTGATCCAGTTCTTCTGGACAGAGGTGGCCACAATTACACACAAAATTGCTGGTGAAACATCACAGTTTCTCTGTAAAGCCAGTAATCCGCTTTGATTTTGACTGATAATGCCTACATACACTGTGGGGGGGCACAGTAACCCCATAGCCATGTCACATTACTGCCTCAAAATTATCCTGTGATCTTATAACAGGCACAGGTATTTCTCATAGTTCTCCTGCTGATGAATTTGTGGCAGAAACCATTTCAAAATATGGCAATACAGATCAAATACAGTTTTTAGACCCTTAGCTACAAGTTGTTCCTGATTCTAAGAAAACCCCCAAACAATTGAAATTAGGATTGTGTATCTGAATTGAGAGCTCAAATAGCTAGTTGAGTTTAAACCTAATTGTGTACAAGCTGTTTGGCACAGAATCTTGTTCAATTCCTTTTGTTCAGTTCTCAAAGTTTATCACACAACCTCTCATTCTCCTGATAGCACTAACAGCTTCATAGCACTAAAATATTTCATTAACCTATTCATTGTCTTTTCTCCAGTTCATTACAATTCTTCCTTTTACTTTTAATTCAAATACTTGAGTTTTATTTTCTCTATGGGAAATTATTAGGTAATGACAAGAAACTTTTCACCTTCTTGTTTTCTTGCTTGTTATACTGTTTTAGAGTCCATCTTTAGTAAAGTCGTGGTGTATTCCTTCCCATTTCCTATTTGCCTCTGTTGTTTCAACTATTCTTTTCTTTGATAGTGTGTTATAAAGATTTTTCATGTGAACAGTTACTAGGTCTATATTCACCTATATTATGCTTTATATTTTTTAGATGGAGGAATTATGTTTGATGATGTTAAGCCTTCATAAAATTGGTTTAAATCCTTGCTATTAGATCTGCCACTGGACTAACAGCTACTCTGATTGTCACTGTTTGAATAAATGGAACTTAAAGTTCTATTTGTGTTTCAAATTTTCTGATTTACAGTAAGCTCATCTCATTAGTAACTGTGCTTTTGCTTCTCTGGCCAACATTATGGTTCCTTAATGAAAAAAGAGACAAGGTATTCTATTTGTTTAGGGATTATACCTACATGATCTTCAGTCTGAACTCTATTGTTCCTGAGAAGTTACTCATCTTTGAAGGTTCTTTTCATAAGAAAATGGTTGAGGAACCTTTGCTCTTTGTTTTACTTCTTTTATAAAATCTGATTTAGCTTGAAATTTAGTAAGTTCCATTGTATCCACATAGTTTCTGACCCCCAAGGTATATTGCGCTTTGCTGATTTTTCTTTCATTTATCCATTCATCATAGGTTCTCTGTCATTTTATTTCTGGATTTATTATACACCCAGACCAAAAATTATTTTCAATAGATACTGAGTATAAATAAACATAGACATGGAATTATAAGCAAGTCTGTACTCAGATTTTTGAGGACTATGTGTATGTGTGGGAAACCAAGGAAGGAAATCGTTTTTGCATAGCTATATTCAGACATTAATCGAGGTGCATAAACAAAGATTTATCTCTCTTTTCACATTATCAGTGAAAAAAGACGTGACAAACTTTGACCAACCTTGAGCTTCTGCTCTGAATTACCTTCAGGAGACACCTGCCTCACTCTGTGGACTATGCAGGACACTAATGGAATCTACTTGATAGAGACCTAGAATACTTGTAGTGGTGAAATACATCTATTTCTTGTTCTGAAATTGTCACTGCTCTAGCTGCTCATATTATGCCTAGATTTCCATGGTTTTCTGTTCTTCTGTTTATCAGTAACAATATTTCTGTTTGTTAGATGATATGAGGTATTCACAAGTAACTACAGATGTCTAAATATGAGGATATAATCTATTAGTTTTGTCTGCAACTATGTATAGTATAAAATTCTCTGAACATAAAAATATTCAGGATCATGGAAGTTAATAGAGATCGGTTTACAAAATGGCTGATACAGAATGCAAATTCACACCTTCAGATTAGTTAAACTTTACATAGCTTGGTCTATCAGTTCTGATTCAGTTTTCATAAATGGACCCAAACCAGAATTTTACACCTCTTCAAAAAAGACACATGAGAGAGCTAAAAAATCCAGTATCCTGGCAAAGCATGTTTTCAGTGTCTAAGTTGTTTCTGAATTTTGGTTGTTTATTAATTAAACAATTTGAATAGAATATGGAGTTCAGGTCAACTAACTGTTTGCAAGAACTTGTGCCATTGATATAAGTAAAAAAGAAAACTGCAAATAAAAGCAAATGCTTTCTACAAATATATGAACATAAGGGAAAATCGCATTCTGCAAAAAGAGTTTTTGTATCTCTTCTTGCGATTTCATCACTGTTGCAGGAGCCTTCTGCTCTGCATTGAATGCCATATGGAACAACCTACTTCTTTCTGCTTCAGCTTTTTTTTCTAAACTCAACTAAAATCATAGTACCTTCATTGCCTCTTACACTTAATATCTCCCTTATGCTCTAGTTTTTCTTCCCTGAGCATTGTAATTGTATTTACCATCTCTGGAAAGTGGAGAGACAATGGGTGTGAGAGAGGCAGTTCACATTCAAGCTATACTGTTTCTGTAGTTTGGTTTTAGCCTTAAAAATAACAAAGAAAATATTATAGATAAAAGCTGGAAGGATTTTGAGGATTTTGGACCTTACCATAAATCTTTCCTGTCAACATTCCATTCCTGACTTTTCCAAGAAGTTTCAATGTTCGTTCCGTCTGTGCATCACCAACTCCACTGTCTAACCATTGCTGGCAAAGAAATACATATTGTTCATCAGTCTTGCCTGATTCCTGGATGACAATTTGGTCCAGGTACCATCCAGCTCCATAACCCACATTATGGTGCTCCACAAGCACTTTGCTCAACTGTCCAAGGTCTACTGCTCTCATTTCAGACATACAAACCTGAGAGGGAAAAAGAATAGCACACTGATTAGACCATATATCTTATCTTTTGTCTTTGAGAAGTTTGCATTTGGAAAGACAGATTCCTTCTAATGTTGGAGCATCTTTTTCTGAAAATAAGGAAAGATGTTATAGGTTGGCATTAATATTTGGAGAACTATGGGGGTTTTATGGTTTTTTTCAGAGACTATGTGGATCCTTGAATATATACATTTATTCTTCTTCATGATCACTGCAGCTCAGGTTTTATTACAAAAAACATCTCCCTGTTTCATGTAGAAATAAACCTCTGATTGAAAAACCTAGAAAAAGCTCACGAAAACTGAAGTTCAGTTAATCCCTCATAGCTGAAACAAAGGGAGTTCTTCAAGAATCAGGATAGACCTGGTAACTTAAATTTTTGTTTAGATAAGGAATTTTATTTTTAAGCATTTCCAAGTATTTTACATTCTAAGACACCCTATTATTCAAATAGGAAATGTTGTATTATTCAACTCTGAACAGAAATACTGTTGATGACTATGCAAACAAAGGAAGATACTGGCATTAGAAACTATAACTAAGGCTCTGCACGCATACAGGCAAGAATTGATGTGCTCCTCGGATGTAAATAGACATCTGTTTAAATATTGCTACGGCTACCAGTAAACAAAAGCTAAATGGCAACTGCACTAGTGCATGTTGGGATGAATAAATTATGTGAGTGAGAGAATGAATGTGTTCTGTGCGAGATAAAATTTAAGTGGGTGGGTAGATACATGGGCATGTGTGTGGGTGACATTAAAAAAACCCCAGATGGATAGTAGAAACAGACGCTATAATTTTTATTTGTTGCCAACCAATTTGCCACCAGGCAGGAAAAAGCATGAGGACCAGAAAGCAATGAAGGAAGATAAGATTTTTAGAACAAATTATGTCATCTGGTCCATTCTCCTGTCTGTGTCAGACTATTCTCCACAATGTGATCAGTAAAAGAAAACATCCAAGTTATTATTCCTATCACAGCCTTAGGACTTCCAGCATTCATACCTTGTTATCTCCACGATATCCTCAAACAGTTACCATGGCAAGTTATACCCCTGCATTTAAGTCTATGTAGCCCAAAATAAGATCTAGCTGGGAGAACATCTTGCAAATAACTTTTTGGGAGCACTCACTGCTTTTTAATTTTATTCTTTGCAGTTCCAAGCCAAATATAATTTTCCTGTCAGTCTACATGACCTTTGACTTAGAGGAAATAGCCTGTATTGCTAATATTCATGTTCCTTCACAGCTAACTCTAATTGAGAAAGGGACCTATCATTAGTTTCATTCTTTGTGATAATAATTAACATTCATTAGACAACAGTGGTCATAATCACCCATTGTTATCAATGAATTCTCATAATAATACATTAAATTGCCTACTCCCTCAGCATTAGTAAGAATGTACTTTTGGTTGATGTCATTACATTTCTTTTTTCCCCTTCAGTATAAAGACATTTGGAACTGCACTAAACACACTACTGGAAGTACAATTAATGAAAGCCAAAGGGATTATTTAAACTGTTTTGCAAACCCATTTTACTCTGTTTTCTTACACTTGGTTGAAATTTTCTCTCTTCCTACCTTTTCCTTATATTCATGTTCTTTATCAGCCGAGAGATATCATTTTTTTGTATCTCAAGTTTTCTTAACTTTGCTTTCTTTGCCTGTCCATTCCACATTTTTCAGGGATATTGCTGACATAATCTTGTCTCTCAAGACAGCTTGCTCTTTACACTTCTTCCTTTCACCTTCTATTCTTAGAAATTCTCGTTAAAACCCCATTCCAACTTTTTTATTGATGAACTTCTATGTAAAAAGAATGCAAGACTGGTAGTAGTATTTTAAATTGCAGATCCATCTAGCCCAGTATAGTGTTGCCAACAGCTACCAGTAACAGATTTCTAGGGAAGAGTTGAAAAACAGGGCAAATATATAGAGATGCTTCTTGAATATAAAGTCTCTCAGCCTTTTGCAATTTGTGGTTCAGAGATTGCCTGAGCCAGAGATTATGTCTTTGCACTTAACAGCCTCAGTGGAAAGTTGTCTTCCATGACAATGTGCAATGGCTTTTTTCACCAATATGTCTTTTACCATCTGCAACATCTTGTGCCAGAAAGCAAAATGTATTAATTACACATTGAGCAAAAAGCCACCTCCTTTTGTTTTGAATCTGCCACCTGCACATTACATTGAATGCTCTTGAGTTCTTGTATTTCACAAAGAAATAAAATTTTCATTTTCTCTATGCCATTTTATATTTCTTATCTCCCTCACCCTTCTGATCATCATATCTTTTCCAGACTAAACATACTTGTTTGCTTCACTGTTCTTTGTATGGAAGATATTTCAAATTACTTGACATTCTTCTTGCACTTTTTAAGACAAGTGAATCAACAAAACACAGCATCTGCACTAGTGAATATCTTTGGAGGCATGATTGTGTTTTCTGCTTTGAAGTGGCTGGGTTTTTGTGTTTGTTTGTTTTTGGGTTTTTTTGGTTTTTGGGGTTTTTTTTAATAATTTCTAAGCATCTTATTAGTTCTGTTTTCTTTTTGGTTTGCTTCTGCTGCGATGACATCCTATTACTTTCATATTTCAGAGCCCATCATTTTGCATGCAAATTTAAAAGGTTATTCCCCCCCGCAGCCACTGTTTTTCATTTAGCTACAAAGAATTTAATCTGCCATTTTATTACCCATTCACCGTGTATGAGGTTCTTCTGCAGTCTCTGCCACCAGCTTTAATATTTATTACCTTAAATAGCTCAGTATGGTCAGAACATTTTGCCATCCCACAGCTCAACCCTTTCCCAGGAATCTATCAAACAATGAAGAGCGTGAACACACAAAATACCTAAACTGAAGAACACTTTCATTGTCTTCAGCGCAAAAACTGCTCCCTGAAAACAAAGGAATTGCTTGGGAAGACTCTCAGCACTCTGCTGCTCAGTGTAGTGTCTCTGATTTCTTTATCACTAACATAGAGGCTGCATCACTGCCTCTGTATTAGCATCCAGTATGAAATGCCATGTGAATTATTTCTTTTTAGACTTCTTTTCCAGATTATGTCACTGACTATGTGACTTTACACCTTTGATTAACCCTTCTAATTGTCCATAAACATTTGCCCTCAGGAATGCCAAGGATTAACCTGTGTTTTTAATAATATCATCCAGACAATCAACATCATAAAGCTCTTCCTATATTGTTATAGTGCAGTTTGGACTAAGACAGAGGGATTCTGAAAAAAAATGGCATCTTAAAAAAAAAAAGAAGTATTATTGGAGTCAGAACAACATATAGAAAGGTCTAAGTAGGAAGATTAAAGAGACATTCTTCTTTGCAAAGAACAATGCAGCAATACAAGTGCACAGAGGGTAGAGGTCTATAAAGCAAGGGAGAAGCAAAGAGAAGGTGACATGGAAGAAAACATTCACGGTGTCTTCCAAAAAAAGGTGTGGTATGAGATTTAAGTAGTATGTGAAAGTTTAGTTTTACTCAGGTAGCAGACCAAGTGCAATTAAAATTACAGTGGAGACTATGGTCACTTATCACATGTCTATAGAAGAATTTATACAAATTCATGGAAGAAAAAATATCAATGACTAGAGCATAACTCTGGAACAAAATGATGTGGCTGGTTTCTAAGCTCGAGAAGACATAATAAATCTAGTGAAGGAAGAGTTGTTAAGTGCAAGGCTAGGAAAGCAGTGGAACAGGTTGCCTAGGAAAGTTATGGCATCTCAGGCACGAGAGAGCATAAGAAACACTAAGAAACACTATGAAAACATACAGAAGATTCTGCTTTATTGTACAGAATGAATTGATCAAGTTCTCTGAGTCCAGGGTATGGGTAAACATGCTGTAGATATAATCATTAATATGGTAATAAGCAAAGGTTGACCAGGAAATCTCTCCTAGGATTTATCTTTAGCAGACAATTATTTTTACAGTTAGGTTTACCTGTTTGCAATTCTGTAGATAAATGGATTAATTAATATCTAGGAGGTAACACATTTAAAATCTTTCAACTCTATCTGGGCAGATTAAAAAAAAAAAATTAAAAGAGCAGTCACAGGAAATAGCCGTGATATTTCTATACTAGCTTCACAAATAAGTGAAAATTAAGTCATAGAATTTTTATATCATTGGATTCAGTTCCAGATTCTAAGAAAATTTACTGATAATTTGTGGATTTAAAATTTATTGGTACTCAAACTATTCTTAAACTGTAATCTCAACTCAGGCAAAATGCCTATATTTAGTAAACAACACCTTATTTCCACAGGTTACCAGAGTGTAACATCCATGCTGGTATTTCATAATTGAAAGACATATGGTATTAGAAAATAATAAAATTAAATACATCAAACAAACATGCAAGGAAAATGACTCAATACTAACCTTCCCTCTTTCAAAATGTGAGTGCCCTAGTCTCCTTTTGCAGGAATCTCCCCACTCTCCAAATACTGTGATAAATACATCTGCATCAGTTCCTGATGCAGGCAGTGTTCCTGTATGGATGTTGATCAAGTAAAGAACTTCTGTCATGAAAAATCAGTGACATAAGACATTACCAAATTAGCAATGTAATTATCAAACATTATAAACCAATATATCATAGGTACAAGATTAATTTCAAGACCAAGGAATTAAGTTATAGGAATTGACATCAATTTTCTGAGTTTCATATAGATTGCTAGGTATCTCACAGCACACACTACAGCATTAGGGATGAAATGTCCTTTATGAATCAATGAAACAATCCATGCTTGCATTACAGAGGGAGAAAATATCCTACTTCTGGATTCTGGAATCACCTGAAAGACTCAGACTGATCTTATCATGCTTCATAAAAAAGCCAGGAGTTCTTGTAGGAATTACAGGTCTTAAATTTAGTAAGGATTTATCAACTCTAACATTTTACCAAGGGAATAAACACAGACATAACAGATGATGAAAACCACTTTTTGTTCTGGATCAGCTGAATTGTGTTTCAATCTCATATTTTGAGAATTATGGCCAACATCATTTAATATGTTCAGCAGAAATGGCTCAGCTATTTATACAAATATGCTTTGTTATTATTCTTCACAACAAAGGATGGCTTGCCATGACTTTTGTCTGATGAGTTATACAGTACATATTCCTTGAGGCAGCATGACAGAGGATTTTTAATGGGTTCTGTGAAAAACTAAATGTTATAACAGACTCTTAAGATATATTTCCATTTGCAGTCTAGCCTCCAGTTAGATGTTACATGCAAAAAGTTTTAAATATTTTAACTAAGACTTCTGTTCGCAGAGTATAATGAATAAGAATCCTTCTCTACATATTTTATAAAATGTAATCTGAACAAAGGAAGATATATTTTAAATACAATGATGAAATGAAATATGGCTATGGGGGCAGAAACAGGGCTTGAAGAGAACCTCAAAAAACCCTGCATTTTCTCTTTGTGATTCATGACATTATAACTTTGCACCTGCATTTTGTAATCTGTAGTTTAATCCCTCACTAAGTGTAAATCAGTCATTTTCTGAAAACTGCCATTAAAATATACTAACTGGGCTTTGTGCATTTTTCAGACTTTCAGATTTTTACTTAGTCTAGTGAAAACAATACATGTCAGTTGTTTTAAAACAGAAGAAAATGCTTTAACTAGATACATATATGCAGCATTTACAGGATGGCCAGGATATCAGACCCAGCCAGCAGGGGTTTAGGAGGGTTAGATCTTGACCAACCTGATCTCCTTTTATGACCAGGTGACCTGCCTGGTGGATGCAGGAAAAGCTGTGAATGTTGTGTACCTGAACTTCAGCAAGGCCTTTGACACAGTCTCCTACAGCATTCCCTGGAAAAGCTGCAGCCCATGGCTTGGACAGGAGCACTCTGTGCTGGGTTAGGAACTGGCTGGATGGCCGGGCCCAGAGAGTGGTGGTGAATGGTGCTGCATCCAGCTGGCAGCCAGCCACCAGTGGTGTCCCTCAGGGGTCTGTGCTGGGGCCAGTCCTGTTCAATATCTTTATTGAGGATATGGATGAGGGTATTGAGTCTTTCATTAGTAAATTTGCAGGTGACACTAAGTATGTCAATCTGTTGGAAGGCAGAAGGGCTCTGCAGAGAGACCTGGAATGGTTGGATGGATGGGCAGAGTCCAACAGGATGACGTTTAATAAGTCCAAGTGTCAAGTCCTGCATTTTGGCCACAATAACCCCCTGCAACATTACAGGCTGGGGATGGTGTGGCTGGACAGTGCCCGGGCAGAAAGGGACCTGGGGGTACTGGTGACAGCTGACTGAACATGAGCCAGCAGTGTGTCCTGGTGGCCAAGAAGGCCAATGGCCCCTGGCTTGTATCAGGAGTAGTGTGTTCAGCAGGAGCAGGGGGGTCATTCTTCTCCTGTACTTGGCACTGGTGAGGCCACAGCTGGAGTGCTGTGTCCAGTTCTGGGCCTCTCAGTTTGGGAAGGATGTTGAGATACTTGAGTGCATCCAGAGGAGGCAACGAGACTGGTGAAGGGCTTGGAACACAAACCCTGTGAGGAATGACTGAGGGAGCTGGAGTTGTTGAGCCTGGAGAAAAGGAGACTCAGAGGTGACCTGATCACTCTCTGAAGCTCCTTGAAAGGTGTCTGTAGTCAGGTGGGGGTTGCTCTCTTTCTCCAGGCAGCAGCTGACAGAATGAGAGGACACAGTCTCAAGCTGTGCCAAGGGAAATTTAGGTTGGATATTAGGAAAAAGATTTTTATGAAAGTATACAGGACTGGAATTGTCTGTCTAGGGAGGTGGTGAAGTCACCATCCCTGGATGTGTATTAAGACTGGATGTGGCACTCAGTGCCATGGCTTAGTTGAGGTGTTAGGGCTCAGTTGGACTTGATGATCCTGAAGGTCTCTTCCAACCTTGTTATTCTGTGATTCTGTGATCCCACAGTTAATTGAATAAATAATTAAAAGTAATTTTGAGTGTTTTTTCAATATATATAAAATGCTTTGTAATCTTGTGCCTCTTGTTCATCCTATTAGGCAGTTTACAATTCTGTATGTGTGTGTGCTCATAAATTTATTTTTCATTTCAGCAGCATACCCCTGAGTGGTGGCTGGTCTGGCCTGACAGCAGCAAGCTCTGTCACGATCTCAGATCCATCTTCTCCAAACAGACATGGGGCTTCAGTGTGAAAGCCCAGCTCTTGTTTAGTGTCCAGGTCTTTTAGCTGAAGCTGCAGACAGAATCAGAGAAAGAAATAAATTTAATTAATTATTTAATTTCCTATTCCCATCCCAATAGAAACTGACATTTCTTCCATTTACTAACTCCTGCACACATATGACAACAGCTACCTGGTTCTGCATAATAGTTACAGCAGCTTCTTCAATCTGCTAATTCTGCAGCCTGATGTTTACAGGTGTATTCTTCACTGAATATCAACACAAGCATAGGACCCATTTGTAAAGATCCAGTGAGAGACACAGCTTAAATTGACCTGTATGTGCTTGCAATTTCAGAATGTCAAATGAATGAATACAGTTACATCAATCTTAATAGCATATGCCCATTTTGCAAAAACATTTGCTTTGCTACTTTTTTATGTTTTTAAATGAGTCTTGCTCTATCTCAGGTAGGATTTTCAAAGTTGGCAGAGATTAGGTGTGGAGTGGCTTTCAGAGCTGCCAGTGGAAATAAATTATTTGAAGAATGAAATTCAATAGAATGGGCATGCTTAGGTCCAGCTTCATTCTACTTGGCTTTAAATAGTTATTGGAGAGTGAAGAAATTAGGTTTCAAGTTTGTGGACTTAGAACTTCCAAACCAGCTGAGGAAGCACAGCCTTAGGAGCTCACATATCCCTGTTGAGAGGGTCAAGATGGAACTGAGACTCACAGGAGGTCAACTCAGATCATGTATTCTACCCTAGGTCAGGTTACAAAATACAGAGTGAAAATCTATCTAGTTTATGCAGAAACGTTTCTGGTAACTATTACATGCAATATTGAACTTCATAAATAGCTAATGACTGCAAGTTTGCAGAAACAGTTTCTTCAGTCTTCAGAATCTCATTGTATAGAAATAGCATATCCAAGACATTTTAAAAAAAGCAAAAGGAAACAAAAAGAAACAAAAACTTAATTTCATCAGGACAGTAAATAATTTATATTCTTAGGCAGGAATTCCCAAAATAATTGTGGTCACTTCTTTCCAGTATTGACAACAACTGCAACAGCAAAACTTTGTGCTCATTGTGCAGAATACACATACAAATGTTTGCAAATCCTGAGTACAGATTTCCACACAAATTTCAAGTGCAAGCTTTGAGATGTATAAATATTTATATAACCAAATGAGATAAATTAAATTATTGGGAATTTGACAGTACCACTCTTAAAAATTTTGTCAGATTGTCTTGCCCTTGAGTTCTTAGAAATGCAATGACCTAACATTTTCCATGATTGCTTATTCAATCTGTCCAGAGCTTTACAAGGTCAGTTACAGGGCTTCCAGATGAAAGTAAACAATACCCCACATCCATTTCTAGACTTAAACCATTAATTACTTGAATAAAAGTTTGGTTTATTTAGATAGCAATAAATTCCACTAAAATTACAGCCCATTGTTTACCTATATTTTGCGTTTGCAATAACAATTTTTTTATATTAAATATATAACTTCTTCTTATATAAAAATATTTCCTCCTAACTTCTATATCATAGAAATATCATAAATATCAATACATATCTGTCCTGGTTTAGGGTTAATCACCCCAGGACAATATCACAAACTCCTGTCTGTCTTAAAATTGCACTAAGGTTTACCTGCATATGCAGGCAGACAGCCTGCAGAAACTGGACTCATAAAAATGAGGTGTGCAAATTTATGCAGATTATGGCCTTAAAATAAAACATACCTGACAAGTTCTTGCTAGTTCTAAGATTACATCTAAGTGTGAACTTCATCTTCAAATGATATAGAGTTTCTATATTCTAAACTAACATAAGAAATGGGTTTGTATTCTATTTTAGGAAAAGCCAGAAACTCTTTTGGAACAAGAAATAGCTACTCATTCTATAGTACATAAATCTTCAGAAGTTATAGAAAATACATAAATTTTAGATAAGGTTATATAATTCACTACAGAATTTTGCAGAAAACTATACTATAAAATATAAAATACAAAATAAAAATATAAAATAAAATAAATAAAATACCTAATTTATAAATAAACTAATAAATTAGTATTAGATATTATAAGCATATTAATGGCAAAAGCAATAGAAGTTATTGCAGCTTATGCTGTGGGCTGCATATGCAAACAAGAGACTGCTTAGGTCTATAGCAACCTACTAACTTGTAGATTATAACAATTTATAGCTACTAATAAGCCAATAATTGAATGAATTGTGAAGTATTTGAAAGTACAGACAAAAATCACTTAGCCAGTTGCTTAGGGTTGTTATGGAAAAGAAAGCAGAAAGCAAACTATTACATTTATGAATTTTCTGCCGTATTTTGAGCTACCAGGTCTGGAGGCTGAAGTCTTATATTACATAATGGATATATTAAATGTAGTGTCAAAATATTTTTGGAATGCTTTATCAAATGGCCTAGAGATGTATATTTAAAATGAGAAATTAGCTTTGCTTACCTATTCTTTCCATTTTTATAACCTAAACTGAGGTTACAAAATTAGCTGGGGAGAAAATACAAGATAAACTCCTCCTCTATCCCCAGAGGAGCTCATAAGTTCAGACTCAGGGTTTATATGAGAGCCACAAGCCCATTCACATTTTAGTCTGGAATGCAGCTGTCTCTAGCATTTCTCATCAGAACAGTTTCTGGAGTCTTTATGCATTTAAGGGATCACCTTGATCTTTCAAATCCATAGCAAGGTTAAGGGATTCTGTGACTCAGTTCAGGAAAGCATTCTTCTGCTGACTTCAGATTAATTCAGTGCTATGTCCACAATGGGGCTTTTTGCCCTTGCCTATAGGCAGAGCTCATTGACATGATTTTCTCTTGAATTAACCTTCAAGTTTAAATATACTTTTAAATTCTAATTCTATTTTAAGATTGACAGCATTAAGTCCTTTCTCCATTCCTTTTTATGAGAATTCTTAAAGATGTATTAAATTACAATTAGAGGTTTAAGGCCCACTGATGACCATCTTGCAAAGAATAGGTACTGAATATTATCCTAATTGGCTTCCACAGGTAGGCTGGTCTCAGCCTGGAGACCGTCAGTATTTCCATGCAGGAATTAACATTTCCTAACATCAGCAGGAGACACTGCCTTCCATGTCACAATGAATTGTGCAGAATGAGTCTGCACACAGTGAAGAGCTATAGCAATATGCACTTCAGCAGGTGCAAACAAGGTCGAGCTGCCCACAAAGAGACCTGCAAACTGTAGGCAGTCATCTGTAGATACCAGGTAACTGAGACCATCTGTGTCTCAACAAAAGTTATTTACCGCTATGTTGAAAAACACTGCAAGTTTACACGTGTTATACTTGGAATACCTTGTGAAGCTTAATTCCTCTTCTCAAGGATGGACCACATAACACAAAGGAGACTTTTGTTATATTTCCAATATCACCAAAGGTCAACTGTTAGAAAAGAAATAGTGATAATTAACTATATTTTTTATGCAACAGTTTGCATGGCATACTTTAAAGCCAATAAAAAGATACATACTACAGGTAAAAATATTAGTCAATGAGGTTAGAGTTAGGGTGAGGAAGTCCTACTAAGAGTGCAAGTTAATTTGGACTCGCATTAGATAAATTATATCTATTTTTTACGGAGGGAATTGGTTGCAGAGCATAGGCCAACACAACAAAGGAAGGAAATGTATAACCGAATTCTGTATTTTCAAGGCCAGTTCTTTTCTCCTCACTTGATTCAAAGTTAATGAGGTTTTTCACATCAAATTTGTCATTTCCTCAAGAGAGTTTTTCTAAGAGATATGTTTTGGCCCACAGGTGAGAAGTTCTCCAAGCTGTGTTTATTTAAGACATAGAGGTATAAACATTAACTCTGACAAACAAACAACCAGTCCACATATTGTCTACATATTGGCTACAATTCTTATTTTACTGAAACCATTTGGTAAGACTTGCATGAAATATAAAACAAACCAACCAAAAAGGGAGTATCACTTAGATTTTGAACTTTCTGTGCTGGGGATTTCCCTTTTCTTCCAAATGCAACAACTTGAATATTAGGAACATCTTCTGGTACTTGCGTGCAGTACACCCATGTTTGCCATCGTCCTCTACTTTTCATTTCTAAATTTTCAGTGGGAAGACATGTAACAGATGTTTCTGCAGAAAAGCAAACCTATATTTAGAGCCCCTATCTGTTATAAGGCTGTACAAACCAAAATATTATATTGTTAATAATATAATAATAGTTAATAATAGTATATATTGTTAGTGCAGGATCTAGCACAGGAAATTCAGGCAATGAAGCTACAATTCCCTCATTACTCATGTTAGTCCCGTGGAGGGATAGAAAACCAGGCCAGTGGCTTCATGGTTCCATGTCACACTCACACAGAGGCCATGCCTCTTTTCTTTGTATTGGTCCAAGGACAGGAAATGTCCTGCCAGAAGAGAACTTTTCAATACTACCATTTCAAATTTCTCCATCCCAGGCATAATTTCTTCCCCTTTGTTTACAGAAGGCGTGATTCACCTTGGTCCTGGCTCGTGCCCCTCACCATTGGGGTACCAATGCTGAGTTCCTCCTACTGTGTGAAGTAAACTTATACCAGTTTTTATCTGCTCTGCCATGCAGGAGTGATGCATGGAAATGAAGGACACTTCTGCCTGTATTACCTTTGAGAGGAATTGCAACTTCTATAAAATCTTCATTGGAGTGTTTATTGATCCAGCCATTGTGAAAAAAAACATGTGCAGAAAAAGGGTAGAAGACTTCTTTTATAACAATTTTTTCCAAAAACCACCCATCTGATTGAAAAGAAACAGGACATTATTAATTTATACCTTTAAAGCAACAAAATATTCTGTAGATGCAGTCATAAGTTTCTACCTTCATCAAATCAATTAAAGGTTTTCCTTTGACAGACTTCTTAAGGAAATAAAACTTCTGAAAATATATTGGCTATGTGTATGCATTTCTGTCCACTACACTCCAAAATAGTCAGTGTTTTTACAGATCTTGTGAAATTAAATGTAGGGATAGATTTGCTGTAATGATCTATTGCATCTCAAAGTATGGAAAGGCTTCTGTATGCAGTCTCTAGATACAAGAGACCCCAATAGGAAGTTATACTATCAATGTCCTAATGGAAAAAGGATCAGTATTTCTATGACATTAGCCATCAGAAAATCCACTCAACACACAGCTTTCTTTCTGGTGAGGTTCCATTCTATATAGTAAGGAACAAACCAGCTAGTTTTATCTGAATTTGAGACCATGATTCCTTGGAAACAATGCATTTGTAGAGTCAGATCTCTGAGTCTTGGTAAACTTGGTTACACTCCCAGTCTTGCTGAAGTGAATGAAAGTTTGATTGTTCATTTTAATGTTACCATCTAGGAAATAGTCTCCCAGACGGTTTTCCTGAGTCTGAATTTAACCTACAGAGTCATTTTGTAATCCTGGGGTTTTTCAGAAAAGAAGAGAGAACAACAGACACAGGTTATCCTACTCTGGAACAGTCATTTCCATTATCAACACTATCTGCAGGAGTAAAATACTTGTAGAATCTCTATTATGATGCCTTTAAAAAACAATGGGCCAAAATTGTAGCCAAAGGATTGAATAAAATACAAATTCATTATACTTTTTGCTGATGGTATTTATTTTCAAGAAATAAGCAAATTTTCTTTAGCTACAATTGCTGGAGTCAGAAGTAGGATGAGAAAAAATACTGCAGGAATACAGCCTTTATCTGCCAATCAACCTCACATATGAAGGATCCCTCAAAAAAAAATGGATTAGAAAGAAAGAACCTGTAAGGCCAGAATAGCATTTCTTCTGTGTTCCACTTCTCAACCTAATGAACCAATTTTATGTTCTTATCTTTACCTAGAAGCATATAGCCCTGAAAATATTTTTTTTTACTTATCCATCATCTAAAAATGCACAGGAAGATGAAATTTACACAAGTTTCAAAAGCATGGTGTCATATTGCCTCCTAAAAAACAAAAGCTTTGTTGACTGTGCTTATAAAAAGTTAGAAACTTCCATGGAGAAAAGTTTCATATATAATTTTACCATTTTATATTGTCACAGCATTTCTTTTCCTGCACATTTTAGTAAAACCAAGCTGGATCTAGATACTTGACATGTATAATCCAAAAGAAATAATGAACAGCAGAAAATGGAAATTTTTTTCTATTTTTATTCTATTCATATTAATATTTTCTAGAATTTTTTAAAAAACACTTTTCTGATAAATTTCAGACATTTCTGAAGTACTTTGATCACTTAAATCTAATAATCTACATCATTATTACCTTACATTAACAGAAAAAATTACCGACCTTTTCTTAGACTTTTAAATCCAACGTGAACTTCATTCAACTTGCCAAGGTATACAGATTTTATTTTGAAAATATTCACCTGCAATATGTAAATAATCAAAAATGGTATTTTAGCTAAACTTAATAGGGCTCTGGTTTTGAGTATTTATCAGTTTAGCCTCTTGTGTCTGGTCATTGTTTTGTACCTGGATGGTGCTTTGTTCCAGAACCTAACTTGCAATAAAACTGATAAATAGTAGATGTCTGATATTTCCGAAAATCTGGAGCAATTTCATTTTTACTAAAAATTCACAATTACTTTAGTGGGAACTAGGCATGTAAATGGGAATTAAGTGAATGGTATCTGTGAAGATTTCAACTACTTTTGGGATAAGGATGTCTCTTTGAAATCACCTCTATTATAGGTCAAATTTTCTACATACAACAAACTTGAATGATCAATGGGCTTTGTGGAGTCTTTAATTTTTTCCATAGTGTAAATTTTTATTCATCTTCTTGCCTATACATGCTCATCTTCTTAAAGCAGTCATCTTCATAATCTCTGGGAAAGCTCACGTATATGCACTGACACCGGGAACAAGTGTTGCTTAAAAAGTGTATTCGTTGGCTTTTTTTAACTGGGCATGAAGAAATGAGGTTTGGGAACATGCTATCTATGAATGTATTCATCTAGTCTTTTGAGAAACCAGCTGTGAAATTAAATCTCTACAGCTAAGACTTTTATTTCATGTGACTTCATGAGTTATTCTGTTGAACACAGAAGAAGTTTTCCTGGGAAGTTGGTTTGAAAATGCAAGTTTGAATGCAGCAGTTGATGATTAGTTTGTGGGTTTGAAAGAAACAATCAAACCCTTGCATTGTTCCCATAGTTGCACAGTTCCAGAATTTCAATATCTGGGAGAATAATATTGATCTAAAGAATCATCTAGAAAAAAAGAGCAACGATCAAAAACAGAGCATTCATCTTTTGAAGGGTAAATTGGAGTAAAGAGAACTGCAACAGGGTGAATACCTGAAGAGTGGTTACTCAAAATCTTTTCTATAAGAAGAAGATTAGGGTCTTATAGCCCAGGATATAGAAAAGCCCTTTAGAATTTCAGAGGAAGGATTTAACTAGTCTGAACAAGCCTGTTCAAAAACTGACACAGAATCTGGATTATACAGAAAAAATCCTAGTGAATTCACAGATGAGCAGTATTTCCTTAGGAGTGAGTATTCACAGAAGTCAAGTGCTATTGTTCAGGCTTTTCTCTACAAGTTTTATTCTTGGCAAAAATGTAACACATTCTTATAAAAAATTAGTATTTTAAAAGGTTGGGACAGTTTGGGTTTTTGAAAGAACCAGGAATCTGTCCCTCTTCCAGTCTGTTCTGATACCTTATCCATTGTAGCAGGCAGTCTTGCTGTTGAGAGTTCTCTAGGACACCATCCTTAAGACATATTACACACAACTATTATCAATTATTGTCAAAATGACTAATTTATACAACTTCCTACATTACTCCTTCAAAAAAGATGAGCTCTACTATGCTGTCGTTATTTTCAGATTTAACTTGTGAACTCTGAGCTACCAGTTTGATCAGTTCTTGACAAGCATGACATTGGGTGTGCATATTCTCTTCCACAAGGGAGAAGGAAAATACAGAGGACATAATAACTAACATCTGGGTTTCTTTTCATGCAAAAAACTTGTATCTTCTAGAATCTTTAAAATTAGTAAGGAAATCAGATAAAATAAACACAGGCATCTGCAAAGAATAAATGAAGCATATATCGTGTACTTTTCTCTAGCTTTCTTCAACAGAGAAGAAACTACTCTAGGGTGGTTGGCAACGGTGAAATACACTCTCACCCTTCCAAAAGATGATTTCTAGGTACTTCACAATGATTTAATGATTTCCTTAAACAAAATAAAACAAAACAAAATTCCAAGCTGAAATTCTAAACACTAGGGCTTAATAAATTATCAGCTAGACATGTTCTGATTTGAAAGAGATATTTCCATTTGATCTCAAGTCTGTTTTAGATATTTTGTTCTTAAACCAATAACTACTCAAGGAATTCCTCTTCTAGTAAAAGCCATTTAATCTCAAAAAACAACAGTATGCTTACCAAAAAGCAAGAAGTGGATGGAAAAAATTGAAGCATGAAAAAATAAGAGTCTTCATGGAACACTGACAGTGTTCAGGAAAGTTAACAAGAAATGTTCATAGATTACTTTAGATGGAGTGGTTACAAATGCAAGTTATCCTACAGAAATGTTATCAGTTCTAACAATCGGGCATATTTTAATAAAATAGAGATGCCTCCCTGGCCTTAAAAGTCTGGAATATTAAAACAGAACTCTTAGAGATCGTTTAGTCCAACTCAAAGTTACTTTATCACCTTACCTATTTTAATGTCGCACAACAGTGATGATACTTTAAAACAATGTGTTACCTATGGAGACAATCACTATATGGAATACAAAACTTTAATGTTTTTGATACTTTATGCATGAAAGGTTTTCTGAAAATATAAGTTCTCACAAAAAGACACTCACAGATTCAGTTACATTTTTCCTCATTATTTTACCTGCCCTCTAGCAAAAGTCATCAGGCTGTTTTTCGAGTTAAGCCATCGCTTCCCCGAGTCACTTTTTTCTCCTTGTATACGAAGATAAACCTCTCCAGTGGCATCTGCCTTCCTCAAGTCTCCCGTGTGCAAATGGATTTCGTATTCCACAACTTCAGAAAACATGGACAGAAAACCCCAAAAAGTCAGCAGGAGAAAACACTCATCCTCTTGCCTGACACCCACATTATATATCAATTCTTGGTGGAAACAATTTCAGATTTCACCCTGATGCCACACTATATCACCATACAAGATCTTTTCAGTCCTGGTGACATACATAACCAAAACACTTTCCTGCTGCATAACAGGATGGCAATCTAGAGAATATAGATTTGTTCTGCTCTGACACCATTCCCAGAAAATAAGCACTACTGGTTTCTGTTCAGGGCACAGGATCTCTTGTGTACTGTTCCCTTCCATATAAGGTAGGAAATTCCTTTTTGAGAAAAAACCATATTTGCATCCTCTTCAGAAAAACTAATTTTTTTCTTTCTAAGATTATTCACTGATGTTTCTTAGGTTTTTCCTCCCTCTATTTTTATTTATCACTAGTTAGACCATAATACTATCACATTGTTCTTAAGTTAAACTATGTTAATATGAAACAATGAATGAAAAATTCTTTCAACCTCAGCTTTAACACATAAATAGAAAAACCTCCTGACATTTTTTATCATTCTCCAAAGAACCTTCCATTAACAATACAATAGGCCACAAATCCTGGTCAGATAAGTGAATTTTGAGTTTAAGGGAAAGCAGTCCTGAGTTTCCCAGCTGTAGTCATAGTATAGAGATTAGAAGAGACACCTATGTCCCCCTATACAAAGTTTCTGCTTCCTTGCTCCTTTTTGTCACAATACATAGGGAAGTGAGGCCAGACTGATATTCATGCCAAAGAAATTTCATGGAAATCTCTTATGTTCACTTTGTAAATGACCTATTTCAGCCCCTGAGTTTATCATGGAAACAAGAAACAAGGAAACACTTAAACAGAAGCAGATCACAATCTCAATATTCACTGTTTGCATCATTCTAATAACAAGGACCCCAGGATGAAAAATAAGGAGGGCTTTTAGGGCATGAATTTTATTTTCCTTCTGGTGTTGTGTGCTCTAATTCAGAGTGTAATAATAAGTATAATTTGTATAGTGTGTTCATTTGGGCTCATTTGTGTAATGACCTGGTACTGTCAGTTTAGGAATCTAATTTTGGTGGCTATATTAGGACTGAGATCCTTATGTAGTCAGTAGGGGAAGGCAGGTGCTATAGAAAACACCTCTGATGGGCTCCCACACATTCTAGGGATAAACACTAGAACTCAGGAGTCTAAACTTAGAATGTCTAAATGTTCCTCTGCTTCCAACCACAGGCATAATTTCTTCCTAAGAATAAAAGCCTAAGAATAAAAGGTATTCTCTTGTAGCCACACATGTTTGTAAAAAATAACTGTCTAATATTTTTAATAAGGACATAATTTTTCTCCACTGCAAAATGCAAAGTCACATGTGGGATGCAGGTAATGAGAAATACACACGTGCCAAAAATGTATTCAAAAACATTTGTATTATCTCTTGAACATTTTTATCACAAACATGAAGACTTTTTTTTTTTTTCCTAAGTGAGAAACCTTAAAATTTAGCATTTTCCAAGTACTGAGCTAACTTTGACCATCAAATATTATCAGCCCTGACTCCCACATCCTTCATCACTGTAGCAGGAAAACATAGACAACATCTAGACTATGTGACATTTACGTGCTGGAGAAAGTCTTCCAGCCTCACTCTGCCTCTCGTCCCTCCCTGGAACTTGGCTGGCTCCACAACACCTGCTTTCCCAGGCTAGTCGTGTGCAGAGGAGGGGGGTGGTGCTTTAGACAGACATGAAAGCGAGGAGAAATGAAGCACTTTCAGTTTCACAGCTGACAGTACAAGCTGGAGAGCATGGAAATACTCTCTTTCAGATATTTTTCAAGTCTGAAATGTATATTTCAGTCTAATGTACATCATAGGATACATGAATATCTAAGTATACATTCTGGTAACATCTGATATTTTCATTGTACTTTTCTTCTTAAATCCATTTTTTTTTTTACAAGATAGAAACGTTCTATTTAAGCAAATTGTACATTCTTTAAAAAGATCATGAGAAAATTCTAGTAGGTTTAAGAATGATTCAATGAACCCAGAAGCTAAAGCTGTCGTTTAATTTCATGCGTTGGTGATAGGAAAACAGGGAGGGAAAGAAACGTGTTCTGAGAATATTTATTTTAAGCTTTTCTTACAGCTCTTTTCACAAGCTGGTGCTATTCATGTTCAGTGTTATAATCAAAAGGTCTGATTTCAAATATTGTGACATCTTATAGCTATTTCTTTCTATTTCTAAAATGTAAAGGTCCCATAACAGGATTAATGGTTTTAAAGAGTGGGTCTGCATAGACTGAAAAATTAATATTTAAAAGGATTCATTAAACAATAAGGACTGTATAAGTAATAATAATAATTTCAATAAACTTCTGAAAATTATTTATTTCTCTTTACCTTTTGCCCCATGAGGATGATGTCTGAGAAAATCTGTTTGCTTAAAAGTAGCTTTATTTCACTGCAGCACTATTTGCTTCAGGGACTCCCCTTGGGACTAATTTTTTTTTAAATAATTTAAACTAGGGGCTGGGAAAGTTCTTATAATTGATGGTATCACTCACTTTTGATGATAAGAAGTAGACCAAGAGTTTTCCCAGCCTGGGGCCCTAACATATCTCATTCCTTTCTTCAAGGGTGTTAAATATGCACTGCCAGGTAAAAGACAACATATCTGCACTAAAGTCAGCACAGTTACACAGACTTAACTGGAGTTCCAGATTCTTGAAAATACATGAGCTGTCCAGGTGACACTTTACTTAGCACTTAGCCAATTGTATTTTTCTTTCAGGGGACTTAGGATATAAAATTTCTGTGTTCATTCAGAGTGTTGTCTCATCTGTGTAACTGGGTCATGTGAGCAGATTTGTTCAAGTCAAAAGGCTACTTATATGAATAAAATCAAACTATTTTGGTCCATGTGTCTGACCACTCCTGTGAGGGTAAGTTAGAAATCACAGTGCTTACATTGTTACTGCTTTGGCCATTAATGTTTGAATCATTAATATGCATTATCATGAGCTTAGCTTAGAAATGTACACAGTGTCTCTGCTGAGTCTGTATTTTCAGCTGAATCTGTTGAATATATTGATGTATAATTTAAAGCTTAATGTAGTCATAGCAAGTATACGCTATTAATTTTCCACTGTTTAAGTGAAATAAAAGTATACAAAGTAGCCCCTATGAAAGGAGTCATAAAAGAAAGGAGTGCTGGGAAATGGGGTAGAAGTTTTTTGGCTGAGTTTGGGACCATTCTGATTGTGTTCTGTCTGAGCAGCATAGCCCAACAACAAAAATCCACTAAAACAAGGTATTCTTTGTCTCTTCCAAATTCTATTTAAAAGATTATTTTTCAGATGTAAGCCAACATATTTCAAAACCAAAACCGATCACCTAATGCTCATTTAAAAAGAAAAATAAATGAAGGTAGTAAATGCATATCATTTATTATTATTATTATTTTGTATTAATTTTCTTGTGTGTGTGTCTATTAATAAAACCAGAATATAACAAAGAAGAAATTTTAGACTGAAGTAGTATCAGGACGACAAAGAATAAAAGTGATATAAACACTTCCAGTTATAAATCACTGGACTCCACAAAATGGTTTGTGAGAAACTTTCTAGGCTGTTAGATACTCCCATCTATGGATTCATTTTTGCGGGACAGCATATACACATCTTTTCCCAGAAATTTTCCAAGAAAAACACCTTAAATTTCTAATATACCTCAATAATTAATTACTTCAGAATAATGTTTTCAGACTGTATCTCCATTTGGCTCTTGGCATAACAGAGGCTTTGAGAGGTGTATTTTAGACTTTTAATTTTTTAATTTTTTTTTTATTTTTATATGCAGTAAAAAATTTAACAAACTTGAATGCAGAAAATAATTGTTCATATTTACAGTTATTCTCATTTTTTCTTAAATAAATTAGGGAAATAGGGTCTTTTAATAAGATCTAGAATTACTATATTCATGATTGTATATCCAGCATATATTATGTCCAACATCCAATGTTTTTTTGAATCAAAAAAAATGTTTTTTTGGATCAAAAGTCTAAAATGGTAAGATTTTTCAGTACATGAATACAAAGTGACAAATTCTTTTAATTATGCAAACCCACACAAAGCCAGAAATTTAAAAGGTCTTCACTGTTTTTTTTCAAGTTTCAGCTTTAAGCTGGATGAAGTATTTAGGAAACTCTCCTTAGAGTATGGTCTGCAAAAGTCCATGTGGTCTATTTTATTTCTTTCTCTGGGCTGCTTCTGTCTTTTTCTATTAGTTTCCATTTAAGCAGAACATTCTTTGTACTATAGCCTCTAGGAATAAACCTCTTAACTGGCACTAAAATCTTCAATATGTGATCTTTACTCTCTCCATCAATCCTCTTTTTTTCTAATGAGCTGAATAAATGGGAAGCTTGTCCTTAAGTACTAGTGATCAAGTTATTGGTGTACAATTGGTTGGTCCAGGGGGAGTGGTGGGGGGGTGGTTGGCAGAAATCACTTAATTATCCCTCTGGCATCATACCATTCACATGCTATGTGAACAGCAGCAGAGAAATATGCAACTAAATGTATATTTTCGTAGAATATCATTTGCTGCGCTATAAATTTCTCATTGACATCAGTAAAACAATAGTGTAATTGAAATTCTTGGATATATCTCTTTGCTGGCTGTGTGGCATTTTAAAAATTCTACCTTTGTTGTGTAGGGGGTCTGCAATTCTTACCTTCTTTACTATGTTTCTAGACCATATTTTTTCTTTGTGAATATGGAGACAAATAACATCACAAAGTAGATGATATTTTGGACTCATCTTCTGATTACATAGCATTAATTTGAAGAGATAATAAATAATCAACAGCTAAAACTGGAACTTTATCAAACATGAGGGAAGCCAAATACTATGTTTGGTATCAGCAGCTAGAGCATCTCTCCTAATCCTCATACCAGTGATTTCTCTTTTGTGGTAAATGTATGTGCAAAACCATCACATTCCTTACTATCAAATTCTTATGGAAATCTTCACACTGTATTTTCAGCCCAAAGAGATATACTGGTATTCCAGAGCTAGATCCTGACCCCAGTAACAGAAAAGGACGTAGCTTACCAGGCAAAGGCTCCTGATCTGCATAGAGAGCTGGCAGCTCCACACATTTGTCTTCCTTAGGGTTGAACCAGCAGTCAAAAGCTAAATACATCTCTTCCTTTGTGCCTGTGTGCTTCATATGCAGTAAATCTAAATGCCATGGCTGTTTTAGCTCACTGTGTGGGCCAGTTACCTGAACTTTGTATATTGAGCCAATATCTGCCAGCTCATCCTGTGTGAGGAGAAAGAGAAGATGAATGGATCTCATTTCAGTTGTACCAGAACAAAAGTAGTTGGCAGGTGTATGCAACAGTTGAACAAACTTCAGTAGTTAAAAAATTGGGGCAGATTTATAACTAGTACTATTTTTCCCTTTTCTAATCAGGACAAAATTGATTTAAAAACATGCATGAGGAGATGGAATGCTTGAGGTTTGATATTAAGGAACAAGCAATGGCAGTCACTGCTGAGATTTGTACATAGAACAAGGCACAATGTTCATATATATTACACAGATTCTATTAGATTATTTTCAGGCACAGAAGTTTTAGTCAATTTTTAAAACTTTGGGCACTATTGGAAATATTTCTTACAATAAAAATGATGCAATTAAGTATAAATTTGAAAGAAAGCTAACGCAGTTTTGAGGAAACATCCAGGAGATCCCTCATACTCACTCTAGATCGTAGAATTTGTACATTAAAATCTTGCGGTCATACTTGAGGAAAAAAACAGTCTAGTTCTACTGGAGACAACACACCATCTCAAGGACATATCATTGCTTGAGTTAGTGAGAGTGAGAGGAGGCCTTAGATATTATAATTAGTAGTTTAAAATCAATTTTTTTTTAATTGTAAGGAAGAAAAAGGGAAAAAACCAGAAGTTGTCTTTTCCTATTTGATACTTCTTGGATTCTTTCCCCTGATCTTTCATTTTAGATGTGCTTAGATAGTAGAAGTCCATGTGACCTGACTTCAGCCTTTCCTCTGACAGGGAATTTCCAGTTTTATACTATTTTTTTTGTATTTATCAGAGGTTCTTGGAAATAACTCAGAAAAGCCCTCTGAGTATTCCTGATTTTAGATCATGTTTGTAGTTAGTCTAGTCTAGTCTAGTCTGCTTAGCTCCCCTTTTAATAAAGAGGAGCATCAAAATACAATAAATTATTTCTTTAGCTCAATCATAAAATTCAATTTATTAAGAAGAAAAAGGTGGGGGGTGGGGGAAGAAAAGAACAGTTCAGAGAAACTGACAGCAGGGATGAATAAATTACATGAGACAGAAAAGAGAAAAATTAAACTTCTGTACATTTAATCTCATTTATGAGTCTTCCTTCTCTATCATCAGCCCCAAAAGCTCTACAGTATCCCATGGCATATTGTATGCTTACAAATTGCTGATTTTTGTGAGAACAACAAAGCCTGTAAATCAGTACCTGCTGCGTGGTATACACTGTGATATGCACCAAGGGACCAATTCACTCACTTAAACATTCTCAGTATGAGACACTGGGAGAATTTGCTCATTCAAAAACCATTGTTCATGTGTTGCTACCTACAAACAAAAATGATGATCTGTGCCAAACTACACAGAGGACTTAAAAATCAATTTGGTAGTTTAGTTTAAAGAAACAATTTATCTCAGAATTAAGTGGATTATTGGCTACATGACTCGTAGGCTTTTCTCACAACAGAGAAAGGCTGAAGTACTTTGATCTGAATTGCTTTTCCTGTGACTTGAAGTGGCAACTTTTTGTGACTCAGGTTGCCGTAGAAGATAAAAGAAAGGCATATTGGATCCTCTTCACCACTCAAGTCAGATCCAGTGATATCCATTATCCAGAGACCTGATGGCTTCATGTTGATTTCAGGCAGTTTAGGACTAAGAGCCGACCTTCTACCTTTAAAAATTAGCAAAGAGAAGGGAAAGATGACAGCATGAGAGAATGGCATCATCTAGCAGGTCCATAGCCTTTACAGTACACAAACAAAGCTCTTTTTGCAGGTTATGTTGTATCTATAGCAACTGCTCACTAAGAACAACACATCAATATCTTTATTGTATTTTTTGTGAAGAATTTAACAGCTTAATGTTCTTTCTGTGTTTAAAATTTAGTTTCAATGGCATTTTTTGATGCCAATGTATTTTCCTTGTCATGTTTGGAAGTAATTGCTAGGAGAATATTCAGTCACCTTTCAGAGGTCTAAGTAATTGTTCTTTAAGAAGCAATCAGTGTTACTAAAGCAAATTTATCATTTAAGAGCATGTAGCCATATGTAGTGTCTAGGCACCTAATGTAAAAAGAACAATTCTAATGAATTTTGCTTGTCACTAGATGTTACCTAGCAATAATAAGGAGCTGTAATAGTATGAGACTGACAGGTAAACTATAATAAACACACAAAATTATTTGCCAGATCCTCAGAAGATCAATATTCCTATCTCCCTTTTTCTTCATTAATTGCTGTTATTTTTCATTTTATTTCTGTTTTAACAATTCTGGGAAAAGTGAAAATTATTTAATGAGGAGGAACAGCTCAGAAAAATGTACTTTCTACAACTGAGAAAAATCACACAACTGAATCAAGGACACTTTATATCTTATTCCCTCTGGACAAAGTTATGTAGTTCATTTCCTTTGCATTGAGTGGTTTTCACAGGACTGAAGGAAGAAATCTTTTAGTACTTCTAAATGACTAAAGGTCTCACTGTAAGTGTTCTTTTGCCAAGGACATCCAGGTTTGGATTTGCACAAATCATGGCTTAATAGTAGGTGTGAAATGAGCAGAAATGAGCATACCAGAACCGCTGCTTTGTGCTGTGGAATACTCTCACAGGTAAAGACTAGGCTCATTTCATTGAATTTTTCTTTAGATTTCAAATGAGATTCTAGGCTGAAAAATAGTGCATAAAATTTAAGCTATTTATCCCCATGAGGTGCACATCCTAAGCTCAGCTATTTATCTCTCATTGAAATATGCTGTGTTCAATTTGGATGGCAGGTGTTCGGTACACAACACATTGACAAGACAGAATTACATTAACTTTGACCTTAACAGATGTGGCTCCGTGATAACACTAAGATCAAACTGAAAATTCTCATTTTCAATAAAAGGAAGATACTACAGAGATCTGAAAGAGCTGTAGTCAAATATATGTATATAAAAATGGGCACCTGAGTTTTGCAGAACTTACCAACAGTAACAATCTCACAAACAGTCTCACATAAGCCCAGATGAGTGTCGAGCCAGTTCCACAGTGGAAAGACCCATTCTTTGTCTGAATCTTGTGATTCCTTGACTGTTACCATCTTGAGATACATTCCCGCCCCGTAGCCTTCTCCGTCATGTCCTATGACCACTTTTTGCAAATGACTCAGAGAAACAGCTTCCACTAAAAATGAATCCACCTGCAAAACAGGGAAATACTTAATAAAACAGAGTTTTGACTTGAACTTCAGGGAATATGTAGGCCTGCATTCATCTGAGAATTTAACATTTTTAGTCTGTTTCTTCATAAAATTTAGCATGGCGTCTCCCTGATGAATCTAAGAAAGCACACACGGATTAGAACTAACATTTAATCCTATATTCATCATTAATGGTGCTTTGTAATTTCATTTGATCTTTGGTCAATATGGATCACTTCATCAATTATTTAATAATACATTAAAATCTATATACCTCAACTTTCTGACAGTCAGTTATGACAAGATTTTGGTTTTAATCATATTTTTATCTTTCAGATATCTAGTTTTTAAAGGTTATCAAACAAGTCTAGATATATGTTAGTAGTTCTAAAGTTAGAAATCCAAGGAGTGTGTTCACTCCAAGATAGCTTCTAAATTCTTCTCCAGTAGTCAGAAAATCTGACTTTTTGCTTTCCTTACAGAATGAAAATAATTGTGGAAACAGGAAATTGAGAAGAATAAAGGAGGGAGTTAAAATGAAAGTACAGAGTAAAAGATGAGAGGTGGGGGGGGAAGCAGAATGGAGGAGGCAGAGAAAGACATGAGAGAAATAAACACAAGCAGCAGTAGATGAGAATAGGGACCAGATAAACAAGATATGAAAAAATGTGAAATACAAAGAAAGGAATTATATGCCCCACAAAATTTTTGCTTGTTACTTAAAAGGCCCAGGCAGGGACCAGATGGACCTCATGGTAACTGGTAAATATTAGAAAGTTATTAACAACTGGAGTTTGAACATCAATGTGTAGGAATATAATTAACACCAGAATTCAAATAAAACAGTTCAGTAGTAGGAACTTACTAAATTGGATGTCAAAACAATTAAAAGCCCAAGATATTAGCAAACTGATCTCTAAAAGAATACAATAGTTGCCAAAGTCCTATGTGTTGTCCCTATTTCTTTTTAAATAAAATATTGGAGAAGCAGATTTTCTGTTACTAATATTGAAAGTACATTCATATGACAAAAAAAATCTTTTTTTTCTAATAATAGTCAGTACCTAACAGCAGATTGTGAGCAGAAATCATTAACTGTGTTAATTAAGATATCTTAGGAAATAAATCCATGTATGAAAACAAATTAAAATAATTACAATATATGGTGTCTTTTGTGTATAGGCATAGTTCTGAGAAATACACAGAAATGAAATTTAGAATTTCTCTCAATTCATTACAGATTCCACATTAACTCTAACAAGTGCTGTGGTAATTATCTAATAAAATTATTTCACAGAAATCTAAGTCTCCCCTTGAAAATGGACACTTTGGCAGTGAGTTTTTTCGAACTTCCTTGTTCAGTGAGTGAAAGTCTAGTTCACAGGACAATAATTTTATTTATAGTGGTCATCTAGAAATACTGGGTTTATTTGCATTCTTTTTCTAAGTGGAATTTTTGTTTCTTGTCTAAACTTACTGATATTGATTTGATGTTTCAAAGTGAGATTGTGGTTTCAGAAACATAATAGACTGCAAAAGTCTCATGGAAATTTCTGTAACGTATTTTTCCCTGGTTTTTCAATATTTTTACTACTTGTTCTGTCCTAAATTTGGAACAGAAGTCAGAAGCATGGTCACTGAGGTTCTCACCAATGATCTGCTTTGTATTGCTCATGTGGAGCTTTTACTGCCATGTGGGTATGTTCTTGCACAGGAAATAAATAACACTGGCACTGGCCTACTGTGAATATCTGGGAGATAAATTCTGTGAATGTTTCCAAATTCTTGCCCATCTAGCCAGAGGTGTTCTGAGCAGGCATTAAGCGACACTTACCGCAGTGCTAACCTCTGCACTTGTAAGACTGCATTATGGTGCCATTACCTTATTCCTTTGAAATTTTCTTCCTTTCATTAAAGATGTATGAAGTTTCCTCACACCTGTGTCTCCTCTTTTGCCATAGAGGGTGATATAAACATTAGCAAAAGTCTCTGCTGCCCAGCGGTCGCCGATATGTACAGAAACAACATACTTATAGACTACAAAAAGAAAAGAAAAAAATTAATTAAAGCTGATTAAATACAAAGTGTACTTAAAATAAAACAGCAACAAAGAATGTTTAGTAAGACAATTTTTTTTATTTAGTAAAAAGACTTTTTTTTTTAATTTAGTAAGATAATTTTTTTTTATTTCTGCAGCTACAAAAAAATCTGCTATACAGTGAATGAAATAATCAGGTTACTCTTTACGAATCTCATCCCTTCATACTAAGCTTAATGTAAACTTTCCATTTGCTTTCTTAGAAATTTGAAGGCAATTAGTTCTTGGACAATTTGGATATGAATCTAGGCAAATTCTGTCTGATTCTGTTTTATTGTACAAGAACTGGAAAGTAAGAACTCATTTGAGTTAGTTCAGGAACTAAACTAAAAGCTAATTAAGAACTGAATTATCTTTGAAATAAATAATAATTAACACAGATTAAAGAATAAGAATAAAGTTATGTAAATTTAAATAAGAAACAGATGCAACATAGCATCTGGATGCATGACATGACATATAAGTATAAAAATTTATAAAATGCACTTATTAACTTCAGTAAGGAAACTATAAATTCTTTGCCTTTATATTGATCCTGTATGAATGAATTTCTACAGTCAGATTAGATTTTCTTCTGAGGAAGATCATTTAATTGCATATATATTCAGGCTCATACAAGAAGAATAACCAAAATTTTTCAAATGTCATTTTTAATGTATAGTCCTGCAGAGTTAATATTTAACTAATGTAACAGTATGCTTTCTTTTAAAGTCATGAATAGGTTTGAGTATTCAGGGATCAGAACTTCTGGAACTTTAGTTTAGCAAATCAGTCATGTCTCTAATTACTTATATCTCAGTGTAACTGCTAATTTTTCTGAACAAATGCAAGACTTCTGTAAGTCTTCACATTCCAAGGGTATCTCTGAGAACTCTCAGCATGCCAAAAAGAAATAGTCTTTAGGAAAAACCCCCCAACATTTCTGTACAATTAGGCTTACTTTTGATACTAACATTAGCAAGTAAAGCTACTGCAAGCTAAGTAATTCAATAGTAACTCTAGAACAAATAATTTCCATGGCTTTGAACATCCTCGTTTCCCTAAAAAGTCCAACTGTATTGTTCAGTTTTTCTCATTTAAAATCATGCAGAAGATTTAGCAACTGAAAAATCCAATATGCAACTTAACTGGAAAATGAAAATTTAAGTGGTCAGCATTCTTGCTGACCATATATGAAGTATACTTATTCTTGTGTGCATGTTTGAAGACAGAGGCAACAGAGCAACTGAAGGTATCAAATCCAGACAAAGCACCATATTATATCTGTGACACTGATTTATTTTAAAGCTGTTAATTTACAGTGTTTATGTCTTCTTGGTGCTGTTACCTGGTAAAGTTTTCTGGTCCTCAGTGACTGCAGGGAATTCCTTTACCAGCTCCTTATCCTCTCTGTTAAGAGCTAGCCAGCAGTTACACTCGAAGTTCAGTTCTTGTTTTGTATTCCACTCTTGTAAGTGAAAAGACTTCACATGCCAGCCCTTAAAGCCTGGCACATCATCACAGCTGACTCGAATCTTGTATACATCTCCCAGATCTTCAGTCTCAACCTGCACCAAATATCAAGAGGAAGAGGATACTGTCAAGGCTGGTTCACTTAGATTTTTCCCAATCCCAGCGTAGAATTTCCAAATTTAACAGTAAATTATGGAAAAGTTGAGTTTGAGGCTGGGATAAATGTGATGATAGAATCAATCCTTTTTGTTTCATGGTATAATCATTGGTGATATTATCACCTTTATCAGTATTGTAAGCAGGATAGTCTGTAAGCGTAAATACTGTAAGCATGGTAACTTTAGAGTGAGTCACAGTTAAAATTAGTAAGATCTGTGCAATTAGGCTCTCTAGACAAAAGGCAACACAGAAAGTTTTGACCCTACTGGATAAATAGAGCATTAACTTACAATTAAAGATTCTAATATCAGCAGCCAAGTGAGGTATTAATTTTAAGATTACTATTATGGGCCTGGAATTGCAGAATTGTTGAGGTTGGCAAAGACCTTTAAGATCATCAAGTCCAACCGTTAGCACAGCACTGCCAAGTCCACCAGTAAACCATGTCCACATCAACATGTTTGTAAATCCCTCCAGGATGGTTGGATGGTTACTCAACCACTGCCCTGGCCAGCCTGTCCCAGTGCTTGACAGCCCTACTGGTGAAGAAATTTTACTGAATCTTCATTTGCTAAATGATTTTGTCTAGAACATAAAGCTACTTTATAACCAATTCTTCATTAAAGGAAAGGGATATTTTTGAATAAAAATATATCATTCATGTTACAGAAATAACTGTAGGACAACACAGCCCTGTTCCCATACTACATGTGGAAATTCAATAACTGGTTGCTGATTGTAGATAATGATCTCATGGCATTAACCACTGCATGACAAGTCATCTGAACAGCAGGAAGTAATGTGGCAGCCATTCACTGGGCAACTACGAGAAAGACAGTATGGGAAGTGATTTTTGAGTGAAACAACTGAGAACTAGTAAATTTTAAAGGCAACAATTCTTTTTATTAAGTATCAAAAATACTTAATACAAAAAATTGTTGCCAGTGGCTTTGTTTCTCTCCCATATTGCTGCTTTTTATTTCCCCCACACCACTCACAACATAAGATTTGGTGACTTTCCGGGGAATAAATCCTTTGTGCACCCTATAGCATCACAATAAGAAACTGAAATTAGCCTTACACAGTCATGCCCTGGCTCTGGCAGCACCACCAGGAGATTGGCTCCTAAAACAGAGCACAGACCTCATAACAGATAACTTTATTCTGCTTCTCAGCTGAGCTCTGAAGGTGACAGCCCTTCACTGCTGACCTCACTTGCTTAAAGCTAGTTCATGTGCATTTGCACAGTGAACACATGCATGCAGGGATATATCAACAACCTTATTCTAATTAGAGAGGTACTAAAAAAAAAATGTGCTTTTGTCATTTTGGGAGCGTTATACACCATTTTTAATAACTGTTATGCACATAAGAAATAGTAAAATATCAGCGTATGAAGGGGAATAATTAATTGAAAATAAATCTACCTGCCCAAACTGTTTTACAGGAATTTTATGAATGGTTTATGATGCAGAACTTACTAAAAGAGCCCTTTGGAAGGAAGGAATTGCACTTGATGGATTAAAAGGTCTTTTCCAGTCTGAATTTCTTGGGGTAAGTATCATAAGTGGTTGCCATGTCACTCCTGCACAATTTCATGACTCAGGGTATTGTTTAAGGAGCAGGGAAGAGCTCCTTTTGTTGCCTATATAAAAGCCCTGGGCTGCTTGGAACCTCTCAGCCCCAGAGCTGTAACTCCACAGTACTCATAAAGGCCACACAGCAGAAGTTCTACACCAAAGAAGAGGGCACCAGACTCGTCCTCTCTCTAAGCCTAGCCTGCCCTACCTGTCTCTGTGCCATTGTGCTTACAGAGATCAAAGCTGTCCCTGCCTTGGTCTCCAGTCCTGCACTGTGAAAAGCGAAATTTGTGGGCAGAATTTCCATCAAGGTTTTTCATTCATGCTGTGTATGTTGCAAAGGATATCATTAGCAATGTATCATTAGCTGTGGTGGACTGAGTGGATTAATTCCTCGCAAAATATGCATTCCACCTGATTAAACTTAACAGGAAATATTTGGGTTCATTGAGAGGAGAGTGCACAGGTTCTTCACCCATCTAAACTACAGTTCTTTGACAGGCAACAAAGTCATTGCTTCTTCTCTTTCAGAACCAGACTACTGACTTTTAAAATTATTGCCTGCAGTTTTTTTTCCTCATACATGGACCCCATGACTGTATCACACAGCTTCTCTAAATGCTGTGAACAATTTATTCCATAAAGCTCTCTGTCTGGGACTTGCAAAAAGTACAGAACTTGGTTATTTTTATGTGACAGGGCAAGCTGTAATTCACATTTTACTTTGTCTTCTGCTACCCAAATTTGCAATTCACTAAGATTCTAAGCTGGCATAAATACATGTGCTATCATTCTTGTAGGAAATGCAGAGAGGGGATTTATAGGAAAATAATTCCAGAATACAGGACAGACTATTTAGAAGCCACAATTGTCTGTTTTGTTTCTAGATTCACAATTTCAATTAATTCCCTGACTGCCTTTGAACCAGCAAATACTAATAATCATCCTGCTTATGATCAGTGGAATTAAACACCAGCTATTTTCAATTGAGTGTATTAGACAGTTCCCCTTTTTTCATGGATTTGTTTTTTTCACTTGCACTTGTGTCCAGTATTAGCATTTTTGTTCAGATCCATCATTGTACCCAGTGCTGCCATTACAACATTCTTGTAATCCTTTCCTGACCAATTTAGTACAAGCAGTTTTCTTTTGGAATATGATATTCTATCTTTGATCCCAAAATTGTCTGTTCCCTCCACCAATGTCTATTGATGCAACACGAACTTTGAAGCAGATACAGACATATAATCCATCACAAAGTATATATCCAGTGAATATCCTGGTTTTAAATTTGGTTGAATATTTGCAAGAGGGTACTTTACCTCATCCATTATTATAATTTCCTAATTATTTTTTTCATATTTATTTCTTCTGAATAGTTTTCTCTAATATTCAGAACTTGAAATCTTAGCTGAGTTGGTGTGATTTGTCACATACTAAACACAATATGTTTTCCATTACATGACTTAAGGAGCATGGCTCTTAAAATTAGGAGGAGCCACTGGGCTTCTGAAGATCTCAGAGACAGGTAACTGATAAAGATGATTAGAGAATTTCATAACATTTTAAATCTTTTCCTCTCTAACTCACGCAGGTGTCTCTTCTCAAAGACATCATGCTTAGGGTAATTAAAGCCTTGCAAATTTTACTTTTTGGGTGCATATTTAAATGTAATTAAGTTTCATACTTTTCCCTGTTAAAACAAAAGAAAGAAAAACCCAAGCAAATCACACCCACCCACCAACCCCATAAATTGTTCTAGTTAATAGGGTTTCATCAAAGCATCCTAAAATTCAACTGGACAGCCATCTGTCATATATTCCAGAAATCCTTCTGCTTATTGTTTGGAGCATCATCTCATAGTGGAAATCACATGGATTATTGTATGATGTGATTTGAAACTTTCTGTCACCTTCTTGATTATTAGCACAAATACATCCAGAATTTATTATGTATTTACCAACAGTCCTACTTGAAGAGCGCCATGGCTCATTTTGTACTAACTGTGCTAGTGTTTTGGACAATAGTTTTGGGCATCCTAATCTCACACTCTGTCCCATGTATTTTATGATTCTCTGGAGAACAAAATGTGAACAATGCACTTGGACTTTCCAAAGGCATACTCTGACAAACTTACTCCACTAGCAACTAAGAAACAAAGAAAACTTTGAGAAAGATCTATATACTTTTCAAATCTATTCATTCTGTGTGAGTCCAGTGATTGATTTCAACCATCACCAGACTATAAAAAAAAAACACCTCTTCACTCGTTTCTTGCCATGCTGCCTTCAGCCCTACAACTCCTGTCAGATTTCATAACATTGACACATTCAACTATTTTCCAATTTTTTTTTTAGGACTAAGGTGTTCTAATTCACTCTTATTTAAGCAGCCCAACTACCATACTACACATTCATGAGACTACTGAAACCCACCTGTACCTAAGAGCATGCTGCTATTTTCTCTCTTTTAATTTATTCTTTATGCTTGCTATGTGCAATTAAACTACACCTGTTCTTTCATAAGAGTCAATTGGACGTATTTTGGATGGAATAATCATTCTGAATATGATACACATCTGTGCATATACTTGTGTGAGAACACCTGGAAAATCAGGAATTTACACGCCTTTCCATCCAGTGTGCAATAAATATATCTCTGAGATCAAAATTAAGCTTACTGTTTAAAAACTATGTGAGCTGCCTATAGCACATAACCTGTTCTCTTTACTGCTGTGTATTGTTAAGGATGTTTGTCTAGGACCAGGGTCTTTGGGGGAAGTTAAAAGTTCATTTATTCCTGCTTGTTGGAAAGCTGAAATCACAGCTTGTCCTCGTTGTGATATCACATTCATGCCTCCAGCCAGCTGCTACAGTGAGAAAACATAAGCAAAGTTTCTGCATTCTTCTTCACAGTCTAAGCAAGAACAAAGAAAGGGAAAGCAAAAAGAAACTGGGTTTATTGGCTCAAGCACCTAAAGAGGCCATGAGGGTGTTTGTGGAGATACCTGTGAATGCCCAAATGCCCCTTTATACCGGAGCTGCTATTCTGTCAGCTGCACTGTGAGCGATGCAGCAGAGAGATAAAATGTCATGCACAGTAAATAGAGCTCAAATAGTACTAACTTCTCCATACAAAGCAATAAAAACAAGGACAAAAATAGCTGTGGGGAAAATACAGGCACTAACCCAAAGTCTATCCAAAGTATGAGCAAGCATTCAGAAAGCTGCTGGTGTGGAAGGATACAATGGATAATGTACTGTGTACCAAGGATAGTAGACTATGAGGGACAACCATAACTGACACAGAGAAATACTAATTTTTCCTAGTGTGATACCCAATCATTGAAATTAGGCAGCCTTAACAAGGAATACGTGCCATTTGGGAAATTACCAGCACATTTGATGTAGCAAAGGTTTGCTTTATGCAATGATGCTTGCCAAAATTCAGTCAGCTGGTGCTGCTGCTCCATAGATAGATTCTGCCTCTACTGACCTCTCTATTTATGATCATGGCATAGGATAGGAAGCTTGTTTTTTTGCTCAGTGTGTTTCCTATATGTTTTCTGATAAGCAGCTGCTTCCTTGTCTTTAAGAAATGGCATTTATCTTTTCATTTACTCCCCATAAAGTTCCTAAATTGCTTTAGCTTGTTATTTAAACTAAAAATTCAGCCTGGATCAGGCCATTACAATGAAGCTTTGACATAATTTTCTAAATGTAGTTTAGCCATTGTTTTCAGAGCGTTTATTGCAGCCATTGAAAAGTCTTTCTGAGCTGTATAAAACTGCCTTGAATTGCAAGCTATTTCTCCCATCTTGCTGGCTAGAAGCTGTACTTCATGCCAATCAACAGAATTTGCAATGACTTAGCCTAGAAAGCCAGGACAGAATTTGAAGATTTAAAAGATGCCTCAGATGAATCCTTTCAAAGCAGTAGCATGTGTGTCAGGTGTACAGGCGGTCAGGACTGTGTTAGGGTTGATTTTAATACTGGCCATATATAAGCTATTTTTTCAGAGTTCACCAGACTTTGATATGCATGAATGCATTCTCCAGTGATTTGTGATTATCCAGAAAAATCCTCTGCCTGCTGGCCTGAGAGACACAATGATCCTGCGGAGAGTGGATACTGCTTTACAAAGATGGAAATGAAGGAAAGAAAAACCCACTTATGTCCCTTGGGAATGCTGCCCAATCCTTCATCTTCTGCATTCACAAATAATTGTATATTGCCTTCTGTATGAACTTCAACTCAGGAATCTTTAGGGAATTAGAAAAAATGCAGGATGAACTGGTGAATGGAAATTACACAGAAGAGTCCATGGAGGTGGATGTAGCAGAACAGGACTAGCAGTAGAGATGACCCAAGACCTACATTTTCTTTGAAAATAATTATATTATTTTTTACCAGACAAATCAACTGTGTATATATATATAATGCTGGTTATGTATACACACACACACACACAAAAACATATATATATATATATATCTCCTAGAGGGCAATGTCATGAGGAGTACTTTGTAGTACTGTATATTTCTGACTTACGATGAATTCATCAGTTGCTCTGGGGAGAAAACACACATGTCCTGGAGTTTGTGGAGAAAGAAGAAGCTCATCACTTTTGCCCCCTGATCCATAAATCACAAGGGTCCTTTTACACTCCTGTGGCTCTGGGGAATCTCCATCTGTTTTAACCTGCACTCTCCACCATTGTGCTAAAACAGGAAAAACACTTTTAGCATCAATCTATGAATTAAACATTTTTAAGATCAATGGTAGAGAGAAATGGATGCTTTTGTTACTACCACAATGAAGAATCATGGATTACCATTTTACATCCCATTTACTATAAATAAATAAATAATAATTAATAAAAAAATCTCTTGAAGATAAGTATAGCTCAGACTTGATAAACACAAGACAATTGTTGAAGTGGGTATGAAAACAGAAATTAACACCTAGGAAGCAGAAAAAAGACACTTTTGCTAGAGGTATTTTTTGCATTCTCTGTAACAATTACTTTAATTACAGTAATTATTTTAATAAATTTCAGTTCTTAGAATGCTCTTATGTAACATGAAAAGAATATTAACATTTTGAAAGACTTGTATGTGATATATTTGCAAGACCTGTTGGCTAATACGTAACTAGCAATGAAATTTTAACTTTATTTTCTCAGATTTTTCTGACTTTGTCATGTCCATTCCGCTCATTTGTCAGATCAGATCACTCATTAGGGTTGAATAACAAATTCAGGAAATTTTGAAGAGATGTTTGCACTGACCTCACCTCATGGATTTGGCCTTCTTGAGGTTTTTTTTTCGTAAGTCACCTGTACTCATAACAGTGTTAGAAGTCCAATATGCAACTGGGAAGCTGTTCCAGGTGTGGGAAAAATACAGTGTCTTAGATGGACAGTATAGTTTAGGAAGCTACTTAATTGCTTGAAGGTAAATCAACCTCTGAATTCAAAGGAATTATTTGTTGAAAAGACTCTTCTTGCATTGCAAGAGGAACTTAACATTGGAAGCAAATTAAAAGCTTTTTGTTTAGACTGTGGCCAATACTGTGATAATACAATAATTTGCTAATGGGGCAGTTATAAAGAGAATTATTTTGTGATTGTGTGTAAGCCTATAATGTAGTTTGCTGATAAAATGAATTTTAGAATAATTTCATTCAGAAATAAATCAGATTTTTCTTACAGAACCGTGTGGTTTTTTCCTACCTTCTGTTTTTCTCTGCCTGTGTAAAGATGGAGACTGGATGAAAACCTAATCTGGTTTCCTTGATTTTATAATTTTACTTTTTTTTTCCTTATTGTTTTTTAGCTAATCCTGTTTTTCTTCTTGTTATAGAACCTGTTTCTGCCTTGCATCTGACTGTTCCCTAACTCTTTCTGGGCTCAGCTAGAAAACAGCAGGCAAATAATCATCTCACAGCCAGTCTTCTGAGTAACACACTAGCTGAAATGATCCTTCCATCTGAACTCTTATTTTAAGGTCATTTCCAGCAATGAGTCAGACGTAGTGTGTGCAAGATCCACACTTTGCCTAATGAGGAATTTTTGCTGTTTGATATATGTGCCAGCTTTGAATTTTATCTCCTTGTGCCAGGTTGGCATGTGGTACTCTTCAGGGTGTCACACTTGGTGAAGTCAAGCATTGTTTGAGCCTTTGCTGTTCCTGAGCACTCCAAGGGTTTATGAGGAGCTTCAAATTTTTACAAAGACTCCCAACATAGCCCTGAATCTCTTATCCTGTCCAACCATGCACTGTTTTGAAGGGTGTCCCAGGAACACAGGAGAGAGGAAATTAAGATAATTTCGCAGTTCTGCATTTCCCAAGTGGAGGTTTTTTTTTTCTCTTTGTAATATCCCTCTGCTCCAGGAGAGAGTAAACTCTAAGTTAAGAGAAATCCCAGATGCATAACTGCCTGTTCCCTTCTCAAAGAAGCAGCATGTTCAGAGAAGGTATTTCAGGCAAGGTGATTTATTTTAACTAATATCCATGATTGTGTTTTTAATTATTATTGCAGTAGGAAAGCTAAGACACCAGTTGGGTTTTCCAGGGAATAAATCAGTGGTTACAGATTTAAGGCCTCTTAGTGTCTGTGATTCTTTATTCTCCTACACTTACTTTTAATGTTTCTACAATTCGGTAAGTGAACTAACACATTTTCTCTCAGTTCAAAAAATTCATTTAAGCTGCTCACGCCAGAAGAATCAAAAAAATCCTTTGTCTAATATTCTATTCACTTAGACATCTACTTGGCAAGGATGAGACAGAAGACAGATGCCAAGTATTTATTGTGTTCAATGATTTCTATATCTCTTCAGGAGTAAAGTTGTGTAAATGAGATAACTGGGCTTCAATAGGTCATTTTCTGTGTTTCATATGTGTGGCCACATTAAAAAAGACTTTTCCCCTGATATCACTGACCTGTGTTAACTTCCTTTCAGACTGATTAGTATGTTGATGGGTTGCTGTACTTTTACAGCTAATGTGTAAAGCTAGAGCCATTTACTTTGAGACATCAATGTGGGAAGCATTAAAATTAATAGTAGGAAAAAAACCCAGAAATCTGTGGGAAAAAAAGTGCTAGAATTCTCTCATTTCTGTAATGATATAACCAAGAATCTGTTTCACATTATGGAGATTTACACAGAGATGTGTTAGGATTTGAGATAATTTCTTGACTTTCAAAAATTAAATAGGATCAGTCGTAACAATTTTCTGCCAGAAATTCTTTTAGCCACTAGTCTGGAACCTAAAAGTTCCTTTGATAAAACTGTGAAAATCAAACCTCCAATGACTTCTGTACATAAAAATATGGGCATGGCAAAACCGGAAGTCAACATTTCATAATGTAATTCAGAAAGCTGAAAAATGAAGGTTTATTTTCTGGTTTCTTTAAAATATGAGCCATTTATATATTTTTTTAGAATTTCCAATGCTGTTTTTGCAGTACACTATTTCAGGGTTTTTTTCACTCTGGTGTTTTTTGGTCTTAAGACCTAGAATGCCATTCACACTTTGCAAGACGTGGGAGTTGGTTGCTTATTTCCTAAAGATTGTAGAAATTTGTGTTGCCTTGAGGTAGAGCAGTCAGTCTGCTTAATTCTTTTTCTTAGGGATTTCCGCCTCCATCTGGCAATGGAAACACACTGTTGTTGCTTTTTAGAAGTAGGTCCATTCCCTTTTAAATTTAGGAATCTTGTGATTATTCTTAGTCTATTATCAAGTACTTGCAAGGTAGGGAATCATTTCAAAACAAAATTAGTCACGGCAGAATTTGCTGAATATTTTCTCTTTTCATATGAATTTTGTATATGCCTTAATACCAAAAACCTTGCACAAGAGTAGAAGAGCCAACTGAAAAATGTCTATTAACCAAACTCTGCTACCGAACCACGCTTTATTTACCACCCACAAAACCCCAAGACACCCTGCAGGCATCACATTACAGGAAGCCAGCTCCTTTTAGCTGACTGCAGTGAAGATATCATTGGAACATACTGTGTCTTGTCTCCTTGCTCTGAGAGAAAAGACTTTCCTATGTGCTATTACGATACCTTGTCTATTTTGAGGCAGAAAAGGAAAATAAATGGAGGAAACAGAAAGAAAAAGTAAAATATCCCTACCGTGTAAGAAACTTTTAGAAAGTAACATAAAGTCCCATTCGAATCAACTTCAAATCTGTCAAATCAACTTCATTTGAGAGCTGAGAACACCTATCTGCCTTCTCCACCAGGACAATACACTTTTTCTATTTATCTTACATCAAATATACGAGGAGAAATCACAGGCATACAAATAAATTTATTCCTATGCCTGATTTGACAGAGCCTTTCAGTAATGTACAAATGTGCAAAGGTTACTGAGAAAACTTGATATGGGCAGACTGCATTTTGGCAGAACCCAATACCAGCAGAAGCAGTGACAGGGATCTGGGATTTGTGCTTCATTAGAGCTGGCATAATGCCAGCCTGGCTGAAAAAGCACAAAGAAGCCTCAAGTAACCTACCTAGAAATGATGGTTTTCGCTTTGTCTAGGTGGTTGAACGTGTTTCTATCCACATCTAAAGTGAATGAGATTTCTGACCTTCAGAATGACTTATAAAATACCTTGTTCTGTAACCAGTGCTTTAGACCTGACCTAAGCACATTGATCTTACCCTGAAAATCAGCAAACACTGAATTATGCCAATCAGCTTTTTATGACTTTCTCTGAAGCTCATTTGCAGAGCTCATACAGAATATGACCACATGAGTGCCTAAAACAAGACTCCCTAACATCAGAACTTCCACTTGCCTCTTACTCAGCAAATATATGTTACATGGAAAGTTTTCACCTCCACTCTGAAGGGGACTGCTTATCACTATTCCACCATGTAAAATCTTCACTGCTACAGGTGCTGGGAGAATCTAAGGGAATTATTTTTTCTCCCAGGACTCTGAATCTCGTTCTCTTACCAGCTCTGACATTGGCACTGAGTCATGATAGAATGACACAGAACTGACTACAGGATATCTTTCCAAACCCCTGTGGTTGTTACCCTCCTACAAAGCTCAGTCATGCAAGGTCTATGAGATCACTGATATGGCAACACAAATTAGACTGTGAAAAATCAGTCCATCATCATCTTTTTCACATAAGGCATAAAAGTCCAATCTCTAACCTATCTCAGTTCCTCACTGGAATGGCTAAAACAAGGATGGCTGAAGAGCAGCTCAAGCTAAGCTAACATAGCTAACTGACAGATAACTTCCTAAAAATGTTCTTCTCTTTTATAACCTCTTTTTTCAGAAGCTCTGATCTCAGCAATCTCTGAGTCCTCCTGGACATCTTGACAGCGTGACATTTCAGAAGCTGGTTAAGAATAAGCCGCTCCTTTCTCCTCATAATCAATATATTGAGTCTGATCACTCTTGACGCTCACAGGCAATGAACAGCCAGTTCATCTGTGCCTGCTTACTATAACATAATGAAGAATGAAACTGTGATGGAAAAAAATTTGAATTGGTTGTAAAATATAGTCTATTTTCTGAACATAAGGTAAAACAGATATTATGGTTGTGTCTCAGAACTGTGCACTTAGCAGAATGCAGAATCCAATTCCAAGTCACTCGTGAAAATTAACTTTCTCTGTGAGAAAGTCTTTATTTACCTGAGTTCATCATTCCCCTCTTGTCAAAGTTATGTTTTTGTGGAATAATAAAGCTGTTGGCTAAACTGTTTGAATGCAAATTATTCAGTTTTCACTGAAACTGGAACTAGATTGAGAGACTAAGACTCATTCTACAGAAAGTGAGTCACTGTTTTAAGAAACAAATGGAAGCACTACTTTTTTTAGTTTAGTTGCTCCCGTAAAATTCCGAGACACAGTTGCACAGAATAGCCATTTACAGTTAAATTTTCATAAAAAGTACGTGTGTCACTCTGTTTCTATTTTCTGGTCAGGAAGAAACATGGAGATGGCAACTAGTGCATTACAGGGATGAGACTGTCTTTGTAGATATGAAAACAGAAAGCTGGGTGGGGAGTTATTTATTCATGTCCTTTTATTAATCCAAGCAGATTTAGCCAACTGAATGCACATACTACATTTAGTTTCACTGGAGGATTTGGAGTTTAAGTTTGCATTATTTCTGTCTACTTTGGAATTTTGACCTGAAAATGTTTCCACTGACACTTCACAACACATTTTTCAACTTGCTGATGTTTGCTAGGGGACCTATCCCCAAGTATTAAATGACAGTGACATTGGGATAAACAAAACAACACGTGAATCTCTTCTCAGAGGAATACCTGGTTGATTTTAGGACAGAATAGTAGCAATAGGAAGAAAACCAGAAATGGTTTATGTTTTTTTTCAATTGTTTATAAAGGTGTAGTCCTTCCTGGAGACTACTGCCAGCCAATTTTTCATTTTCTCTCACAGTTGATATACAACAAAACAGACATACAAATGAGGTCACTTGCTCATGAATTTCTTGCAATACAGATTTAAATTCAAACAGCAAAAACTATGGTATAGAAACCAATGGCTGGAAAACAACTCTTACCTTTAAGGGATGTCCTCATTGGACTGCCATCCTCTAAAATATGAACAGGAAAAATAATTGTGAGTTAGCTTCATTGTCACTTTTAACTTAAGTTATGGTCTTATCTGGAAGGGTTCTTCAGTAATAACTAGGCATTAAGTATATACTATAGTGCTAACAAATTTTCTTTAATAAAATACTTACTATTGGCAGTTAGCTCCCTCTCTGTTTTCCCATCATCTTGATATTCATCTAACCATCTTTCATTGCAAAAACAAAAAATAATAAGATTAATAAAAATTATTAGCATAGTACATATATAATCTGACCATTACCTTTTGTCTCCAACAGTATTTTTTATCAAATGTTATCACCTTTTATAAAATTACACCTTGAAACTACTTCCAAGATCAAATTTTCTTCTTCAGCACAGTTGGCCTTATTCATATAAGAATTTGGCTCAATTTGCTCCAGGCAAAGAGGAATTTTCATGGTATGAAGTGTGGTAGTACTACATGGAGTGCATTATATGAAATACTAATTATTTATTGGTTCAGAGACTCAACTCAGTACATATGAGTACATGTGAGGGAGTTGTAAAACCTGCAGCGGTTAGTTATAGTCATTGTTCTCAAAATTATATATAAAACTTGCAGGTCTGGAAGTTTCTAAAACTTTGACAGATCTCCAGCAACAAACTTCTGTTCTTTTCTTCTATAGTGATGAATTTAAGGAGCTTTTCTGCAATATAATTTCACTGCAAACATACATTCATACTCCTTCAGTTGAACCCCCTTGTTCACATAATATTTTTCAATCTTCAACAACCTCACTCATTTAAAAATAAATAAATACGTGTACACTATCAGCTTCTATTCTATTGACTACATGTTGATGATGTAGTTGTTTAAACCCAAGGATCCATAACACATTTCATTTCTTGTATGTAACAAAACTCTATGAATAAATCTCGTATGCATGAAGTCTAAACTCCACTGTATTTCAACTCTTGTTGCAATAAATAGCTCAATTAACTTTTGAGACCTATCTCCTCCTTCCATCCTAAGAAACAAAAGATCACTAGCAGTTTCCAAAAGTAGAAAGCAATTTTTGACAAAAACTGAACACAGGATTAGAGATGCAGCCCCACCAGTGCCGTGTACAGGGGGCAATCACTGCCTTTGTCCTGCTGGCCTCACTATTGCTGATCCAAGCCAGGTTGCTGTTGGGTTTCTTGACCACCTGTGCACACACTGGCTCGTGTTCAGCTGGCTGTTGACCTGCACTTCCAGATCCTTTTCCACCAGACAGCTCTTCAGCCACTCATTCCCAAGTCTGCAGCACTGCATGGGGTTGTTGTGACTCAAGTGCCTCTTCCTTCAGTACCCATGCCTGGATCACATCCAGCCCAATAGACTTGGATGTGTCTAAGTGCTGCAGCAGGCCTCTGACTATTTCTGCTTGGATTGTGGGGTTCTTTCTGCTCCCCACTTCTTTCTTCTAGCTCAGGAGGCTGGCTATGAGGAGAACTGGTATTACTGTTGAAGACTGAGGGGAAGAAGGCATCAAGTGTGTCAGCCTTTCCTTCATCCAGTGGGTATCTTCCCTATTCTACTGCAACACCAAATATGTCAGAAGGTTCTCTTCCATGGGCTTCAGGAACCTCCTAAACTCCTTTTCCTCTGCTGTACTGTATTTCTAATCCCTCCTGAGGACAACAGCTGGCAATTGTGAGACTTCTTCCAGCTGCTCATAGTACATTCTGTCTGCCTCATCCTCCTGGTTGGCTGGTCTGTAACAGACCTAGACCCTTCTACCATGACACTGGCCTTGCTGGCCTTCCCCCCATTTCTTAGCCATAAACATCCAATTCTGTCATCTCCATCACCAAGCCCTAGACAACCAAGAAATTCCCTGACATACAGGGCTACCCCACCTCCTCTCCTTCCTTGCCTCTCCCTGCTGAAGAGTTTATAGTCATCCAAGGCAGATCCCATCATGTTTCCATGATGGCAGCTATGTCATTTCAGTACAAAAAGATTGAGAACTGAAAGCTTATTTATTTTCACATGGTTTCTGTATAATTTAGATTTTAAAAAATATCAACACACCTTTCCTCTTATACAACATTTGATTTGGTGCTTCTCTGCATCAGGCTATGACTCCCTTCCATGCCAATATAGGAACATTTTTTCCTTGTCTTCGGCTGTAAAATTTTGCATCACTTGTATGTTGAAAACTCTGGGGCTTGCTCAAACATCTAGGTTGTGTGCACATATCTGCCCTAAAATTTTTTCATTACATTGCTGGCAGGTAACAAATTCCTTTTCTCCATGAATGACATACCTATTACAAGGAAATACAACCTCCTGAGCTTCCTCTCCTTCTTTATATTTGATGACAATCTTATCCAGGAACCATCCACTGCCTGTGTTGAAATGACAAAAGTTTATCATGTGAAATCATACTCTTTTTTTAAATAAATTTTAAGAAAAAGAGCCCAGATTATCTTTTTCTAGAAGAAACACAGATCATATTAAGACAGATCTCATCTAAATAAATAAGGTATGTTAACAGAATGAAAGCCTTATTATTTTTTTTTTCTTTCATAAGAGATGCAATTCTTCTCTGCTTTACCCTGTTTTAATTTAAGAGGGGTGTTTTTTTTCTCTCAGAGACAAATACATGCATACATCTCTGAACTGTCAACACCATTCACATCCCAGCCTACATCTTTTGTTTCCCTGTAATCAGGCACAAGGATGTTGGGACAAATCTGCTTATGTCAAAAATCAAGATTAGTGTGAAAGCTAGAAATTTTGGTCCTCTGTGAGAGAACCTCTTGTTGCTTATATAAAAATATTAATTAACAATTTATTAAAACTTATGCTCTCATGTGCAAATGGAGTGGGGCTGCAGCCTTGGAGAGGTTTTGTATGCTTTGGTGGCAGTAACTGGCAAAACTGGGGATCCAAGGTTCCAGAGTCAGCAACCAGAAAGTCTGACTGCCTAAGGCCAGCTACTGGATGTTTTATACATGCATCCTGTACATATTTTTTGTATTTGACACTGATGGACTGTTCTGATCAGCTGCAGAGGGTAACAGGGAAAGGCCACTTGTACTGTTTGTGTACATGCTGAGTTCTGTCTGTGCTGGTCTGCACGGACAGCTATGTGCACACATGTGTTTTATAAATGTGTTTGTGTGTGTGTCTACTGGGAACACACACTCAGTCTTGCTACTGTGGGACCAGCAGGCACGGGGCTGTGCAGTCTCACTTCTGCTGGGCTACTGAGTTCATCTTTCTCTAACTGCAGAAACCACTGGCTCATCCATGCTGATCTTTTATATCACTTCCAATGACCATCCTAGTGACTGGTCTGGTTGTCCTGTGATGCCCTTCTCAAATATCCTGTTCTCACTGTACCTGCACCACTCACAACTTGTCATATTGCTTACAAGGTTTTGCCTGATTCACCACTACCTATTGGCACATTGCAGCAAAACAGCATGTGGGATGTTTTGATCAGAAGCAAACAATCATCCTATTTATCTTTATGCTTTGCCTCCTTGGCTGCATATGAGTCTGGAAGTCCCTAGAAGGCAGCACACAGGAAGGGCATTCCCAGGCATTGCATGGAGCAAACCCTGTTCTCTAAGACAAAAGTCTTACTTTCCTCATTCACCCTCCTTCCTCCCTCTCAACCCCCAAGAGGTTGAGTCCCTCCTGAGACACCATCCTTCTCCAGTTCTCAACCCCTCAGTCACCTCAGGCAAGGCTTATGTGGGACCAGCTTTGGACACAGCTCGAAAGGTGTCTGTGAGATCTGACTGTGCTGAGTACATTGAACAGCCTTTTGAATTACTAAGGCTTACATTTTGTTACAGATAGAATTTAATCCATTGTCCCCTTTAGATAGTCCTTCAAACCCACAGATTTGAACTGCAATGTCAAAAAACATCTTGAGATAGCTGAACTGCGTTACAGATTTGTAATGCTGATCCTGATGATCTGTGCTGCCTATTAAAGGAGATGTGAGGGAAGAGAGCGTGCAGTGGGGAATAGAGGACAGGTGGGCTCCACCACAGAGCCTTTTGTGTTATGACTTGGGTTACTACAATGTGAAACTCTCAGGTGTGCAATCATCCATATTGCTGAAGGCAGCAAACTGTATGGAACTACAGCTACAGGAAACAAGATTACACACCATTCCAAGGCTGCACTATTCTGGCTGTCTCTGTAACAGCCACAAGCCTGCTCAGAGCCTTAGGCAGTACAGACAGCAAGATGGGCATTGCTTGGGGCCATTTCAGAACAGAGTAGGGTAAACAGGCTTTTATAATCTGTCATCAGTGGAGCACTGAACTGCTTAAAAATCTTTCTCTTTACTTAGCTTCTTCCTAGATATTTATCAATTAATTAAGCATATTTGCAGTATTTATCTCTTTGGTGCTTTTAAATGTTTGCTTTCTCTTCATTTACATCATTCCAGGGAGACGCACACTTCTTCGAGGGCCTGTACCCAAAACTCATCTCATCAGCAAATTCTTTCTTTTTTCCTGAAAAATCTACAAATGAATGCAATGTCACTCACTGGAACAGCTCCACATTGACTTTCACAGACCAAATATATAATCAAATCTTCTACAATTGCCCAAAGCAGCAAGGACATTGTGTTATAGCTACTCAAATTTTGTCAGGTAGCAAATCAGCTGCTGAATATCTTTAATTCTTTCCTGGATAGTTGTCACTGTTTGTCTAGTGAAAGATTGTCTTACCAGTGTGAGTCACACTTTTGAGAGTTTTCTGCATGCAAATAAATAGTGCTTTCTGATAAATAATCATGAAAACAAAGAGTGGATTAATAGTATATGACATTAAACTCATGTAATTTTTTTCTGTCCATTACCACAGTTTTTCATCATGCCATCACAGTGATCAACCTGCAGGAAGACTTTTTATCACTGCAAGACCTTCTGTCACATTTTCTGTGAAGTATGCAACATAAACAAGTGCATTGGGTTTAAAAAGAACTTGAAAACAGACTGGTCTCTAGGAAATTAATTCCTACCTGGACCAGCTCCATCATGGCTAATCAGAACTTTCTCCAAGTCTCCCAGTGACACAGCCTTTATGCAGAAAATATCCATCTGTGGAACCATACAAGGAAAATGAAAAAAGTCTTAAACATAGCTATTGCTTTGACTCTAAGAGTATATAAAAGCTTTTTTTTTTTTTTTCTTCTTTTTCCTTTTTTTTTTTTTCCCCAAAATGAATGTAGTTGGTTTGTAGTCATCCTGGCCAAACAGTAAGGATCCTTTAAAACTTTTCAAAGTGAATAATTGAAAATTACTTGAAAAATTTTTTTTCAAAATGCAAAAATTGAAAAACTTGAAAATTACTCCACAGAGACAGCACTGATACCTTTGGCATGACACAATGATCAGTTTCAATTATTTGATTATGTCTATGTTGTATTTTCTAGCCCTATGTGTCTCACCAATACTGGAAAACATGCTTAGGAATACAGATTTAGAACTTGATTCTGAAATTCCTGATGTGATCTCTTCAGGACAACAAAAATGCTATTGCTACCATTTTATCTATGTGTGCCATACAAAATAACCAAAATACCAACATTCTAATATCTAAAGCTCACATTAAATGACTGATCAAGCAGACAAAAATTATCATTTTGATTAATTTATGTAAGCAATTTTGTATAAGGAAAATAGTCAATGCTTGAATAAACCTTGTAAATAAAAAGATATTTACATTTCTTGATGAAACAGTTTGCTAGACGTAATTTATCCTTATTTGTCAGAAGTAACATTGTTTTTACTTCACCTGTCCATGTCGAAACTTAACATTATTATTCTTAGATCTATGGAGCTTCCTTTTGCCAGCATCTCCTCTTGTCCCAATGAGGTTGATATAAACGTTGGAATCTGTTTCAGCACCAAGTTTAGCCCCTGTGTATACATGGACCTCATACACCAACACTACAAGAAGAAAAAACTCGAGATTATCTTTGCAGCTTGTACAAGCTTGAGTCTAAAGTTTCCTCATCAAAATTTTGCCAGAAAACTCTACCGATTTTCAAGTTTACAAGTAGCAGCAGCTATCCATGAATTTGTCACTGATAGTGACAATAATTCTCTTCAAAAGATATGAAAATTAATTCTCTTAAAAAATATGAAAACATTAAGCTTAAGAAAACCACATTATGCTGAGCAATATTATGTATTACTAGTTCACAAACTCTTTCTTTGCAATTTATCTGAAGACCACCAAACTATATCGAGTCATCATCTGAAATAAGAGCTACATTTCACTGCCAAAGTATTTTCAGCCTCCAGATTTATGCAAAAATCATCTTGGTTGTTAGCCTTCATTTCATCTTAAAAGAGGAATAACAACCACAGATCCAAGGGGTTTTAGGTGTTTACCCCACATACAAAGGTGTTCAAGCGGATGAACACCTATAAAAAATGAAGAGTCATCTTGCTTTCAAAGATTTCTACATCTGTCACTAGTGATGATAGCACTTCCAAAAACAGCTCTCAGTTGAAATACATTTACAACATTTTAATGCCTCTCCTTATAGTCTAGACCAAAGTCTTAAACAAGAAAAATATATTCATCTTCAAATAATTCTGCAATATAATTTAGAATTACTGTATTAAGATGTTCTATGCCACACTAATATAATTTTTATAACTATTACAATTTATTTTTAAAAAATTCTTTGCATTGATCATATACTGTTATGTTTCATTTCAACTTTTCTCTCTGTGACTTTAAAAAAAAAATAATTCCTGTTTACATTTTAATGGCAATTTTTCCATGCAGTGTTTCTATTCTAATCACAGCTGGCCATTTCTGCCGCTATGTGGTAGATCACAGGGAAGATTACTGTTTCATTTACATGTAATCTTAACAGTTCTTGGGAGTGAAGAAAAGTCATAGAAGTCCTAACAAGCATAATTAGTTCCTTTTAAGAAGGAACAAAGATGAAAACAGAACATGATAACAAAATTCTTGAAACTGAACAAAACTCTACAAAAACTAGTTAAAATACTGTTACCCTTAAACCACCAAATAGCTATTAGAATTAGAATAAATAAATTTCTTATTCACTGGTTCCCAAGTCAGCTTATAAAACTCAAACATCTTGTTGTCCACCTATTCCTGATTCCCAGAGAAGCTGAACAAGCATTAAAATAACACTGCCAGCACTTGAGGGAAAAAAATAGTCCCACATGTATTAAAAGAGATGAAAAATATTGATGGATAGACTCTAGGCTTAATCAAATTAGGATATTTCTGTCAATCTGTGTAAAATTACCTTAAAACACTGTGTCTCCAACACTTTATCACTATTACAACTGGGACTCTAAATAGAAGTGATTTTCCTTGACCAATTTTATTATTTTCTGTAATTCCAAGCACTCATTGCAGCTCTCACATCCATGCATTAATGTACCAACACTGCCCATGACACATAATTGATCTCAATAACACACACATATTTTCAAAATTTTGGCAGGTCCTTATAAAAATTAGTTTCAAGGTTTTTAGCATTAAAAAGTCATGCTAAAACAAATTGTAGCTATGAATAGCAAGTAGCAAAGATAAATTGACCTGATAATTAGCATAATTGAGATATATATCCAAATTACATTTTATATCAGAACTGCTAATATAATCATAGCTGGCCAAAGGGCAGAGGATGAGGGGTGGCAGCAAACTGTGACAGAACATGTGCAGCGAAGAAAAGAGCCACACTGATCATGAAGGGGGAAAATCTTTAGGAGTGTGGAAGGAGACAGGTTACATTTAAAGAAAAAAGATAAAAATTATAATAATCTGTGACCAAAAATTTTAATAACAGGGCTGTACTACCCATGAAGCAAGATGCTGCAGGTAGTAAAAGAAGGAACATATTGACATGAAATCTCCTCCACACTTTTACACTCTTACTTAGATTCTTAGTTTTTCAAATGCAAAATATCTGTGGGAGGAAAGGAAAGGGTATAGACTGTTTTTGTTATGAATGTTTACATATAAAGACTGGTATTTGTAATACTTACAACTACAAGCAATTTCCTTGATCAAAAATAAAAAAACCAGTAACTGTAAGCACAATATAAAGCATATTCAAGGCTTTTTTTTTTTTAAGAAACCACTTAACAATAAATGTTTACAAAGTCAAAATACCAACAAGTCCTTTCATGGAAGGACACACGAGAAGAGAACAAGAGGAAATTATAACACAACACAAAGATATTAAAAGATAAATAAATTACAGTGTGTTTTGTAGTGCTGTGCATCTCTGTCGTAACCAGAGAGACTATAATGATCTAATCATTAAATAGAGCTCTTTTTTTATTAGCATAAATAAATCAATCTGAAGTAGACAACATGCACATCTTGAAATGTAAAAACTGGAAAATATTTTCCATAGATTCTTTTATCTACACATCCCTCACCATCTGTAAAATGTTAGGTCTGACATTTATTTAAGCTACACAATCTGCATTATTTATACAGGAACCTTCTTAACAAAAAAGACCAGTTTGTGCTCTAAATTTTTCTACAAATATAGGCTACTACAATACCTGCTATTATATTAGGAAAGTAAAAGGAATGTTCATACCCCTTAACTTGAGTATATGTTACAATACATTTCATAGGAGTCACACAAAAAATGAAGAAAAATATTGTCCAAAACACACATGCCTAATCAGAACATGGTGAACATGGCCACTATGGTGAAACACCTGTACATTCAAACAAATATTCACGAAACAGATTGTGGACATTAAGCCTTTCCTGTGCAAATGGAAACCTAGGCACAGACCAGCCTGAGAGGATTTAAATTTTTCAGATTTTAACAAGCAGTTCCTTCAGATTGTAGAACTACAAAAGCTACAAAAGGTGCAAGTGCTAATGGCTCCTGAGCTAAAGATTGCTTAAAACTAAGAACAAGAACAATGGTGCCACCCTGTAACAAATAAAATAAGGTGCACCTATTGTTTGATGGGACAATACAACCAAATCTGGAGAACAAACCTACCCACTGATTGTACTCCTGAGACAAAAAGATTCACCATATGTGAAATTTTTCCATTTGTAGTTTTCTGTATATTGTTCACAAAACACAGTTTGTTGTGTAGAGAGTAACGTAAATCTATCCTAAATAATGTGTTCACCCTCTGAGACTGTGGTTTCATTTTTTTGAGTAACCAACCTATTCTAAGGCCCCCACTGCAGGCCCATCTGCAATGGAGACCTCCTTCACTGCAGGAAGAAAAAAACATCCCAAAACTCAGGAAATTAGAACTTTATAGCCTGATCCCTTATTCTGTAGTAGTAATTTCATTTTGCTTTATGCTGATGCAGTGAAACTACACAAGCTGTAAACTGGGGTGACAAAACATGCAGAGAGGTAAACCCATAGGGGAAAAAAAAACAAAGGAAAAAAAGTTGAAAATTATTTTATAAAGGCCAATCAACAGAAGTCAGCATTGAGAGAGACCTGAGAGACTCACATCTAGGCATCTGTCCAATGTGGAGCACATCAAAGTAATAGAAGAAATGTTTTGGAAAATAAAGTAACTTTGATAAAGGATATAAAAGGATTAATTAATACAGAATAGCAGGGGGAAAAAAATCTCAGCTAGCACTCAGTAAAATAGAAAATGACCTTTCAGAAAATAAGTGATTGAAATCTTTAAATTGCTCAAAGGGTAACCTTAGATAAGCTCTAGAAACCAAACAGAAAAATCTGCAACATGGATGCATGGATGAAACAGATGAAAAAGGGAACTAAAGTGCTTTCAGACAGAGGTGAGGAGTTTCTAAAAGGCATACTTTAAAGCAGTATAACTATGCTAAAAAATGACAGAACCAAATATATTAAAAAATACTGTAGAGTCATATGAGCAGTCAAGTGTACTAGTACCAAATTTCCAGTTGCACAGTCTATAAAAATGCTACCTCGAGATACTATCATGAGGTTTCAGGAGTTTTCTAAATCCCAACTCCAGCTTCTGGCATCTATTGATAACATAAGAAATTAACTACCTTGGACAAAAGAGAGAGAGAAAGGAAGTTTTCCCGGTTATGAAGAAGAGGTAACCTAAGGGAGTACTTAGGGCAATAAAACACAAGTTAGAGACCCATTTTTTCCAGATTTCCCATTCTGGGCACCTGAATCACAGTTTCCAATACAGAAAATTGATATATTCCTGAGCCTTTTCACCAATGACAAGAGATAGTTTGGTCCCAGTTTGCAGGAATAGTATATAATTATCAATTCCTTTTGAAGAAGTAATGTACAGAACTCAATGACTTATGACACTTGCCTTTGGAATATATAAACAATAACTTCTCCAGTTGCTTTGCATTAAAGACAAAGTTAATATTTTGATATGTTTTGGGAGAAGAAAACAAACCTAATAGAATTAAAGAATTTATTGTTGAGAATATAAAAATTAAAGTTTTCATGGCAGGAGCATTGGTCTCCTTCTGCTGACTTGGTGCAAACTGCTGTCTCGTTGTCAGCTCTTTTCAAAGTAATTCTACTAAAAGTACAGTCATTGAGAATTCTAGCTAGGAGAAAATGAATTGAAGATCCACAGGTGTCTGTGCCTAATGGCACTGGTTTGCTTACAGCACCACTGAATCCCCTGGCTGGCTCTACTTCTTTCTGGTGTGCAGCATGGAGTGGTTTCAAAGCAAAGACCTAGGTTCTTTTTGGATGAAACTACACCAGATAATACATTCCAGGAGCACAATGACAACAATCTTGACACAAACTGGCAATCAGCCTGTGGGAACACAGACTAGAACAAGCCTGAAGTAACTTCCCTCAAGACTCCCACAAGGAGGACGTTGGACACTTAACTAAGCATTATTTTAGCATTGAGTGCTTCACTGAGCAAATCCACTCCCACCAGGCTGCCAGAGTAAACAGATAAACTGGCCAAAGAGCACAAAACCTGGAGAGATATTAAATGACACAAAACATTAGAATTATCCAACTGTTTCTTTTCAGTCCTCCCTTTATTCTGGCATACCAAGACCCCAGAATGTTATTGCACATCCTGTTGCCTTTTCTCCATAAGCAGTGCCCACTTGAATGAAATGGTCATTTTGGCTCAATCCATCAAACAGCAAGTTTGAATCTCTGATGTTAACACTTGGTGTTTACTACCTGGGTTTCACAGAGTGTGGTTGGCATTTTGCCGTGACAGAAGGGTAAAGATACAGGTTAGTGCAGTGTTAAGGCTAAAAGGGAACAAATCCTTAATGGCTGATACTGGTTAAGAGGGACTGTCTCCCTCAGAAGTGGTGCATATATTAATTTAGAAGACACAAATATAAAAACAATATCAGGTTAGGACATTTCAGTTAGATTTAACTCTAATCTCTAATAAATGCTATCTAATCTCCAATGGTATTATTTGGAGCAAGAGTCTAAAAAATATATATTCTTCATGACATGCAAGAAAATTATCATCTTTGAAAAAACACACTGGTTAATGAATCTTACAATAAGGAAGCTTGACTATTTATCTATGTAATTGGTGCCTTCTGAGTGATAAAACAGAGATAAAAATTTTGTAGAGATAATATTTGTGTTATTACTATTTGCTTTGGTCATCTTTTGCACTATTGCAGTCAGAGGCCACCTTCTAGTTTTTCTGTATTTGCCTGCACACTTCTCCACGTGGAAAAAGGCACTAAATCTTTGGAGCTGGAATTTTTTTCTTTTTTTTTTTTTTTTTTTTAGCATCTTGTCTTAAGATGTGAATTTATTTCCTTGATCTGTTAGTTTTTCCTTAACTTCCTCTCTGAACTTGCTTCTTTGCCATTTAATTTTCTCATCTTGGTAACACCTCTCAGTTTTCCTGACTGTCCCTCAGCCACTTCAAAAAACTGACACCAATCTGGTCTCCTACTCCGAGTATTGACTTCAGTTCTTTCTCAATCTCTCCAAGTTTTTTTTATGATCAAAAGATCATAAAACTTGGTAGGTCTTGTGATCTACCACATAGCAGCAGAAATGGTCAGCTGTGATTAGGATAGAAACAGGTTGAAAGAAACCTCCAGGAATCTCATGGTTCAACAGAATGCTGAATTCAGGCACAACTTCAAAAACAGATCAGATGAAGTTTTTTAGATCTCCAAGGCTGGAAAAGTAAAAGAGAAGATGTAATAGGAAGAGAAAAAGGAGCCATTGACCCAGAATCCTTACAAATCTGGAAATCCTTACAAATGTGGAAAAAATAAGAAAAGGGAAGACAAAGGCAGACATGCATTGGAGGGACAAGAAACCTGAGTTAGGAAAGAAGTTGAGAGTAGTGAGATGGAGAGATTTAGAAAGAACTGAAATCAATACTTGGAGTAGGAGACCAGATTAGTGAGAGTATTTTCAAGTGGCTGAAGGACAGTCAGAAAAACTAAGTGGTGTTACCAAGGTGAGAAATTTGAATGGAAAAGAAGCAAGTTCAGAGAGGAAGGTAAAGAAAAGCTAACAGATTCAGGAAATAAATTCTCATCTTAAGATGAGCTGCTAGAAAAAAAAAAGAAAGCCAAGGCATCAAAAAAACTCTTCTAAGGCTTTGGGTCCATATTGGTTGCATAGAAAATTTCAGCTGGGAAAAAGAATAAGGAAAAATTACCCTTTCTTCTAAGAGAGAAGTTGAGCAATGAGGTAAGTGCTTAAGATCAGCAATTAAAAGACCAACGCCTTCTGTGCTTAGTTTACATTTGTTCACTTTGTTTAAAGTTTCCAGCACATGACTTTTATACTTATGCAAATCTAGTATCACCAGAAGATAACAGATTAAACTGAAAGTACAGAATACAAACTCCTAAATCATATCAAGTTTTCAGCAAGTAATTAGCAGTGTGTAGTTTCTTCTGCTGGGGAAAGTGACTTGATGTGGTTTGTTCAGTCCTTGTAAGCAATTAGCTTCTAAATGGGAAATGAAAATGGATAGTGTTTAATTTGCTTGTTCTTGAGAAAATAAATAGGAAATCCTTTGGACTCCTTGCTGAGTTTGTATTGATGTTCAATTTAAATGTTCCTAAAATCAATAACTAATTAGTAAAACTTCAAGTTTTGGGAAATTTCCAAGTTATTTTGGAAACGTGTCTTTTCTTACATACTTGAAACATATTTTAATAAAGATCCTCTTCCTTTAAACACAAGGAAATATGCAGTAATACAATGATTAAAGACTAAATAAACATGCCATTTTAAAGATATTTCCAGCATTTGATAGAACTGGCTTGATTTTTTATATACAAATATATAAATAGAGTGCACTGACCAGAATATTAATAGTTTCCTATGAATAGGTTTTTCAGACTGCATAATGCAGATTTGAATTATTGATGTTGAATTGATTGTTCGTACAACTTAATTGGCTTCTGCACTGCTTTTCTATTGCACCAGTAAATGACATATATGTCACTGTGAGTGGCATATGGTACTGTGGTACATGTCAATGATAATAAAATTTGGTTCATCCTGATCAGTCCCATTTTTTGAAATCTCTTATTTAAGTCAGTAACTATTCTGAAAAAATATAAAAAAAAAATAAAGAGCAAAGCAGAAATGTGAGCTGGCTCATACATGTTTCTTAGCACCTTCTGGCCTCTGTAATAAAACATTCACACTTCACAGTCTTAATTTTTTTTCAGAGAATTATGTTCTTTTGAGTTATGGATTATCACTTCTGTAATATTTTCTTCTGAAATTATTTGATTGTCACTTAAGGAATGATGATTTTTTTAAAGCTGAATCCCAGATACCTTGCAAAATTCACTGCATCAGTTTGAATCCAATTTGCTAAATGATAGCACCTATCCATGTAAGACCTATCATTGGCAGACATTATTGGACACCAACTGCATCATTGTCATTCTATTAATGTAAAGAGAGTCTATAAAAAAAAAAAAAACACACATAGTGATTATACTGAATCCCTACTCCTCTCTAATGGCTCAGGACTTTTTAAATAATAACCTTATATGATGGGCTATTTCCCACTTCACTTGAAGAGAATAAAGTGCATTAAAGCTGTCATAAACTTTGAAGTCCCAAAGTGTCACCCTGCAGCTAACAATTTCTATGTGAATGGCTGTGACACAAGCCTGATTTGGAAAACACCTGTGATGATTCAGATCATGAATTTCTGGTAAAGTATGTTTTATGCAGGACAAGAAAGGATGATCTCAAACTTGCTTAAGGGAACTGGATATCACATGACATTACATACCTTGATTTCCTGCCCGATATCTTTCTCTAAAGAGCAGTATTTACCAGCCATGTATGGCACTCTGAGAAATCAAACGTTTTATAGGGTATAATGTCCTGGTCACAGCTATTCTGATTTTGGGAAGGAAAGGAATGGGGTTAAAGGATCAATTCCCAGGGATTGCTCCATGGTTACACTGGCTTTTGGGCAGGCTGCCCTGGTGGAAACAAGAGAAGCTGTCATATACTCACAGGATATGGTTAGTGAACACGAGATCTAAAATACTGAGCACGTACATGGCAAGAGCTCCTCTGCAGGGCTTCTTACTGCCACTTCTCTCCACGTATCACCTTCATCCTTGTCTTCGGAAAGCCAGCTCTCTACGGGGAGACAAATCTCTTCATCAGAAAGAGGGACTGTTCTTTCAAGTCTGACTTCCTTCAGGTACCAGCTGGGATCATTTCCAGTGTTGTCGTGGCCAATGCGGATTTTATATAGCTGCCCAAGATCTCTGAGATTAATCTGAAAAAAAAAGTTTCAAAAATTATCCAGATTTTAATAACAAATTACACTGCTGTCTTTAGCCATCCTTGTTATACTTGGCATGCAAGCTAAATGTGCAGCTAACATAGCCAAGAGTAATTGAGTTTTGTTAGAAATGCAAGCCTTAATAGACAATGAATCCCAGAGACAAAGAGTAAAAACACAAAGTGTAATTTTATTGACTTCAGTGCCACGTTATTTAAAGTGAGTAAAGGTCTCAGACAACCCAGTCTGTTTCCAGACCTCTTCAAGGAACCGTTTTCTAGTGTTATAATGTAAATCTCTATTTCTAGAGAAACACTTTAACAAGCAGAAATAAGTTCAGTCATTGCTACACAAAATCATACAAGTCCATAAAGTTACTATCAGCAGAACCCTATTAACTATTCCTACCACTTATCTGTCTGCTACTTTTCTCATTGACTTCTGTTTTTATGTGCACTGGTGTCAGGGTTAACTGTTTCTGTAAGTGCTGATGCCACACTGCAGCAAATTTAAACAATAAAACAAGACTATGTCGCATTGAATACTGCAGCCTTGAAATAGCAGCCACTATGTTTTGGGTCACAGAAGTATTTTGGGCAATTCTGATGGAAGGAATCTAAGCACAAAAGCAGGGTTAACCATTTTCAACCTTTTTTTTTTTTAACTTTTTTTATCAGTGTTGTATTTGAAAGGTCATGGTAATTGTGAAAAAAATCACCAAGTGAAAAAGAATAAAAAATAGTAGTTTTCTTTACTATTATTGCAATTTTGAACTATTTCACATCAAAACATAAAGGAAACAAACATCCCTGAGGCAAGCCTGGCACAACTCAGTCTCATAGGGTGAGAGCATGACATGCATGCTAGTAGTAAAAAGTCTGTACAGAGTCACACTTAGGACCATTGTAGTAGGTTTTGCTATATTAAAACCGTATGTTAAAGTAAGATGTGCCAACTGAAGATACAATTATAGCATTAATGCAATAAAACCATGTACCTCAAAGATATGCTGCTAATACTCACAGCAGAATTACAGCAGCAGATAAAAAGGAATGGCTGAGGGAGCTGGGCTTGTTCAGCCTGGAGAAAAGGAGACTCAAGGGTGACCTTATCACTCTCTGAAACTTCCTGAAAGGTGGGTGTAGTCAGGTGGGGGTTGGTCTCTTTCTCCAGGCAGCAGCTGACAGAACGAGAAGTCACAGTCTCAAGTTGCACCAAGGGAAATATAGGTTGGATATTAGGAAAAAGATTTTTTTACAGAAAGGGTGGTAAAGTACTGGAATGGTCTGCCTGGGGAGGTGGTGGAGTCACCATCCCTGGATATGTTTAAAAAAAGACTGGATGTGGCACTCAGTGCCATGGTTTAGTTGAGGTGTTAGATTGAGGGTTGGACTCAATGATCTTGAAGGTCTCTTCCAGCCTCATGATTCTGTGATTCTGTGAAAATGCTCTGAAACTAGCCACAAATGTAGCCAGAATACAGGCTTAGTTACCTTTATAAGTGTCACCCAGCTGCAAAACAGAGACTGCTCCAGTAGGCAAGGGATTGCTAATGTTTCCTTGAAAATATATATAAAAATATATATAAAAATATACATAAAAATATATTAGAACTCACAACCTTCATTGCAAATTGAGTAGAGTACGGTATTGGTAAACAACAAAGGTGGTGCTCTGCTGAAATGTAGGCACTGGCTGCTGTTTGTGGTGCAGAAGTGTTAAGGGGCAATTTAGTAAACAAAACACTGATACCTTGTGCCTTCATGGCCATGATTAAATTCTGGTTTAATCCCTGTTGAAAGAGAAGCATCACAGCCATCACGGATTATTGTATACAATAATCATTACCATGATTAATTAACAGGAAACTCTAGTAAAGAGCCCTTTTCAATTTCTGAAGCATCTAACCAGTCATTTGGCTATGAAGCAAACTGCAACAGTGATAGAGCAAATACTGCATATTTGTAGTGTATATATATATATATATATATATGAGTTATAGAATTTATCATATGAGTTGGCTCAAAAGTGAAGCTAAAACTTTTTAAATTATATTGATTTATCATATTATGATATATATATGATATATAGATATATATATAGATATATATATATATGATATATTGAGATATATATATATATATCTCTCTAAGATGGGAGATATGTTTCCAGGTGAATTTCCATGCAAAGACAATGAACATGTCCTTCTGGTGCTTCTCATCCTGCTGTGCTCCAGCAGATCCTTTTCCTTCTTGTTCTGGAAGCTCTGGAGCTGGATGCAGCACTCCAGCTGGGGTCCCTCGAGAGCAGAATAGAGGGACAGAATCACCTCCCTCAACCTTCCAGCTGCATAGTAGATGACCTTTGGCAGACCACTGGTACAAGTGGAGAAAATATCACAAAAATAAGCACATGTAGGAGAGCTGACCAAAAAAAAAGGGGCGAAAGGAAAGAAAAAGAAAAAAGAAGAAGCAGTTTGAAAATGGAGAGGGAATGATGAAGCCCATTCATCACCATATCAGCATGTAGGGACTTCCTGTTACTGGATAAGCAAGAGAGTAATCCATCAAACCTAATCAAATGAAGTTTCAAGAAAAATCAGGAGAGAACAGAAAGCTCTGTCCAGACCATTAGGTTTCTCCAGGAGATGCATCTAGTTGCAACTAGTTCAATTACATTTGTTGAAGTCCTGTTTAGCATCTCTAAACATGTATGTCCTTGTGTCTTTCTATACTTCCTATCCTTCCCCAACATTTACACTCTAAAAGCAGGTATGATATAACCAAATTAAGAAAGCTAAGTGCTAAAGGAGAATTTGCCCAAAGTTTCAAGTCAAATATATTTGCTTGTCTTCAGCTAAAGAGAGAAACAGTATAAAGCATCCTTGTCTACTTACAAATTAAGAGGTTTTTGATATGATAAACTATGCTGGACTTACAGATAATGGCATATTTCTGAGTCTGAAAAGTCTCAAAAATAATTCAAAACACAGAACACTGCCCATTTGACAACATGCTTAATAATATGCTTAATCTTTTTGCATAACATTCTTTTTCTGAATAATTGTTTATCAGTGACTTGGGGGGAAAATGTCAAGTTTATTCTTAGATGGAAATTAGGCAATGGCAGAGGGGAAATCAATTGTATATGATGTTCGGAAAGATGTATAATACAATTAGAAATTTATTTTCAGTACCAGTTGCACATTTAGGGCTTGGAACAATTCATCTTGATGTCAGATCAGACATCACATTGGTCTCTCAGTGGTATTGACTTGCTAACACGTTATTTTTTGTCAATTGGAATCCCATCAAATGTATGTCAAATTTTGCTCTTGCAGTGAAATGCAGAGGAAAATATTCTCATAACACTGTAGAGCTAACGATATTCTTTTGACAACATAAACAGTGTCTTGAGGTTGCTTCTTCCTTTCCTGTGTTGAATAAATTGCCTTGAACTTCTGCATGACTTGAACACAACCTGGCATTTAGAAATCTACTTTCACAGCCAGAACTTTCTGTAAAAAGTTGTAGAACAAAGTTGACTTGTCACCCTTGTAAACAATGTGCTTACAAAAACTGCAGTCTAGCTGTTTTATGATGTTCCAGCATTAAAGCTGCAGAAGTAACATTCCTTTTTATATGGAAACAGCCATTCTGATCAGTCTGTAATAAATGTCCAAAGAGGAAAGGATGAGTTCCAGGACGAAAAAATCATGCAGCTAGATTATATTCCTGAATCTGCTTTAGGCTTCCTAAGAAACATTACAAAATTCACAAGCCCTTTTTGCTTCACTTTCTCAACTCTACAACAAGGACAACATTTACGTGTCTCTTACAGGGACATTGCAAAACTCTGTTCATAAATTTCAAGATCCTCAGAAAAAGGCACCACTCTGGAATTCCTTATTTTTTTCTAAAATGTTCTGTTCATTTTGGGTTAGTTGCTACTTTTCTAAAATTCAGTTGAGATATCAAGAGTTATGAATTGTAACGATGTAGTAGAATTTGGACATGAAGGGAAATTCAAATTCCATTATGATGTGGCTTATATCAGCCACCTGTAGAACATAAATAAAACCTAAACTGCAGAGGTAACAAATAAGGTCATGGAAACACAGATTGAGCAAAAGAGATCTAGACACCACAAACATCAGGTATGGTGATCTTCTTAGGGGTGATCTGTCAGAGAATTCTTCTACAAATACCTTCTACAAAAACCTCTCCCAGAAAAAGATTTTGCAAAACACCTGAATCATCATCTGCAGTTAACTTGTTTGTTGATTGTGAAATTCCTTCTGATGCATCAACCAATTTGTGTTAAGTCCTGTAAAGGGGATGGGCCTCATATAGACCTTGCTTATGTGACAGACTGCCAGCACTTAATAAACTTAAAAATACCATTGTGACTACAATGATAGTGGTAATTCTATTGTCTTTGTAGCACTTTTCTTCACTGCTGCAGGCAATAATATCAACACATCATTTTTCATGGTTCAAGTACCAGTACAAATTATTGAAAAAACTGTCCACCACTTTCAAAAGGGCCATGTTTTCACACGCAGCATCTTTGATTTAGTCATATTCTAAATTATTAAACCAGACTGACCTGCTAAACAATACACACATCTATATGCTTTGTTCATTGTTACTATTTATAGGACTAAATAATCTTCTTACTGTCAGCAATGGGAACATTTTTATTAAATCACATGTTAGACAACTTGGCCTTACTTTTTGAAATTGAAGCTTAAAACAGCTCATATTTTACACTTTGTCTCTAAGCATAAATTTAAATCCAGGTTTATCAGCAAGAAGTTCTACCTAAAGAGGATGCAAGGACTAAATTTTAATTCCATTTTTAAATGAGCTATGCAAATACACTTTTTGGTCCCTAGCACACCTGTGATATTTTGAGTAGAGTAGGTATGACCTATCTTCATGTACTTAAGGTGTTTGACTAAGTGAAAAGTGAAGTTCCTGATCTGAACAAGAAATGGTTCAGTGGAAAGATACTTCAATAAAAGGAGGGAAAGAATACATAAAATGACACCATTTCTCTTTTATATACTAGAATAAGTGAAATAATATCACTGTTTTCCTGTTGCCCAGAAAGCATCCTGCAATCTCTTTGAGATAAACTCAGGCTAGCATGAAAATCATTTGGATAAATCAACACTTCAGAAGCAGCTGCACCAAAATCCTAATGTCTAACAGACCCAGCAGAGAATATGCTTGACAGACAGTTATTAATTTCATGTAAGGCCACTTCATTAACAGAATTTCAGAGAAGTCGTGTTCAGCAGTTGGATTCCCAAAAGAAAGAAAAATCATTGACTGCATTAGTTTAACTTCTACAGCATCATCATATAATAGAGAAATGTTTGGAAGAAGACAATATTTTTTAATTGTGAATGTACAGGTAAATAACTGATACAATAACTATTATACCAGTACAGTACCCAGGGTCCACCCATGCTGCTCGCTTTTTCCAGATGTCTGAATTTGTTAATTGTGCCCAAAAAACTTGGCACAGTTACACACTAACAGAAGAATTAGAGTATGTCACAGGTGCTCACACAGAAACGTAAGAGTGTCACAAAAAAGGATGGATATAGACATGTAAGGAATAGGATTAAAGGCCATACAAAGATTAGCATTATTTTTTCCTACTTCATACTTGCTTTGGTCACAAAAATAGATTGGGTAAACAAATACAGCTCATTGCACAGTGACTGTTAAAACACTTTCTTTGCCAGTGCACTCAAGCTCTGGAAGAACTTTTACTGTGGGGTTAATCAAATTATACCTACAGCAAGTACAAATATACATATACATATACAAATACATATACATATATATATATTTCTACCCTTGATAACTGCCTAATTACTGAACAAGTAACACCACATTCCCTACTCCCTTTTTTTGAAGATGAGATGAGTTGTTTTTCCCCAAGATTTTTTGTGAGCTCTTTGCAATCCTCTGTTGATTCTTGGAATAAGCTAAATTTTGTTCAATGCACAGCCCATAGCTGATGAAGATCATTTTACATACTTCTCCTTTTTATCTCAGTAAGGGATGAGGTTCATCCTGTTATCATATGCATTTCACAGACAGTGACAGTTTCAAGTGGAGTAACAGTCATGAGTATGACTTTTATGCTGCCTTAAGCAGGTATGACTAAAGCCTGGCCTTCTTTAAGTTTTATTCAACTGGTTCTGGACCTAAATGGTCATTATGGAAAACAGGGACAGCTAGCAAATAGCAGGACACAAGCAATGTCCAGCTTTTAGACATCATCAGTCTCATGGTTAAGAGTGTGGACAGCTACATTAGTGCTTATGTTCACTTTTGCAATCTTCCCACTCTGGAAAGATTCTAACTGAGCTCATTTCAGCCTCTTTTATTTGAACATCACGAGCAAAAGCATGAAAATGGATTTGTTTCAACCTATTTTTACAGCACTTAGTTTTCTTCTCAGCGCTTCTCATTTTACTTTGGAGATCTCAGTTTTGACTGATGAACAAATGACTACAGATCCAGAGTACAGGAACGGAAGACTCACAGTGAAACACAACGGATTCTTAGAGTCTGTAGGGCTGATTTTAAAGAAAGAAGTTTTAATTATTCATGTATAGGTTATTTAAAATAACTGATAATTTTATTTAAACAGGTGGAAATCAAAATGAAAAACAACAGATCAAGTTCTAAGTGTCACACATTCCTGAGATGCAGTACAGCATGAAGGTGCACCTGATGAACACAGCTCTTAACAGAGAAAGTAAAGTGGAAGTGGAAGGAAAATGGCTGTATTTAATCCTTTAACAGTCTCATCATAGGAGCACTATTTATTTTATGGTATTAGGTATCTCTTCAAGCATTATAGGAGCACTGCTTTTCATCTCCGTATATTACTTTCTTTATTTACCCTAGACCATAGGATTAGTTTAAAGGATTGTTTATGCAGATGAAGAAACTCTAAATCATGTAAATGGATGTGGCACCAGCTTTAAAAGTTAGAAAAATGAGCTCATGCAGCAAAATTCACACCAGGGATGGATTTCAGTTTCCAATGCTCCTAAAATATCATGCATACTTCATGTTCTGTACTTGCAAACATGGAACAGCTACCTTCCTTACAAAGACAGCCACCAACCACAAAATATAACCTAAGGTTAAACTGAAAATTTTGAAGCTTCCTTAGGAAAAAATCCAGCACTTCTAGTAGTTTAATATAATGGAATTTTTTTTAAAAATTGACAGTGTGTTGAGATTCTTAAAACAAATGTTGTCGTAAAGAGATTGAAGAGCTGATAATGAAGCAAATTCACAAAGCAAATCATGGAAAAAGGCTTGTTAGGGAAATGCTAGGTCCTGCCACCATCACTAAGGCGAGCAGTATTTTGAAAGCAGATCTACTGAACCAGTCAGTGTTTTTACTGACTTCGCTATTGCTAGAAAAGCAGAACTTGTACCCAAAGGTATAGAATTATTATGTATAGAAGTAATAAAAATTGAGAGATTGCAGCTGGCTTTTACAGGACATAATAGGCTTACAGTCTTATGCTTAGTTCTTTTTGACACAGAAGGGAATATTTGGCATGACCAAACATTAAAAGAATACTTTTAAAAAGAATTTCTTTATCAAACATTCTATACAGTCATAAGAGATAGTTCGGCATGTTTCAAAGAATGATGATGCAGAATACAGGGCTCCAGAGAATATCATTTAGAATATAATTAAAGCTCCAGTGTCTTGAGCAACCCAGCATTCTGCCAAAATCACTATTTTTGAAATACTGAGAAATACTCAGGGACTGTGGTGACACCAGAGGAAGTTGCAGGAAACAGATCAGCATTGTGATGAAAGCTGTAACTTACGGTAGATTGATATTCCTCTACTGGAGAAGGAATGACTCTCAACAGAAAAATTATGCCCTAAAAACTATGCCTGAATTGTAACAGAAGCAGAAATCCACAACCCAGAAGTAGTTTCTTTGAACACACGGGAACAATTCAGAGCAGAAAAGAAAATCCATCAAATTTAAATTCTGGATTTTTCCTGTTCCCACATTGTTTATCCTTGACATACCCACCTGGTAGGAAAAATTGCCAAGCCACAAGAGCAAGTGTTGTGCAGAGTACATATGACTGTCTTGTGGAAACCTAGAACCCAGAACTCCAGTCAAGAGCTCTCTCCATCACAAAATTGTAAATTGCCTTCAATGAATTTCATGTACTGCCATCATATGGAAATCTCCAAGGGTAATAGCCTTGTTACATTATATCTGCATTACAATGGACTTCGGCCAGTTTTTAATTTCATTTAGGCAAACCTTAATCAGAGATAGCCAAGGTTAATGAAGTTACACTTGCTTTATAAAGTAATAGAAGCAACAATAAAATTAAGTTCTAGAATGATAACTTAATAAGGAGCACCAGCTGATTTACTCAAGTTTTATTAATTTTCTTTTTTCATTATTTTTAACTTTACTGAATATTCATTGTATACTTTTAGGTATCCAAGTTACTACACAATTAACTGTGCTTTCTATCAGACTACTGTTCTTGATTCTTATTAAGACAATGCAGTATAGTTTGGCCTCATTCTCTTTTTGTGGACCATTTCTCTGTGATTTCTTATGGTTGTATGTGTAACTTACAGGGATTTTGAAACTATATATTTTGATTATTTTTGTGAGGCATGACCATGTTTTCTTTGTTCCCATTATATTATGCTGATCTCTTCCAGCACCCTGTGGCTGGCTAATTTTGATATCAAAAGACACTTTCTGTCCCATCTGTCACTGATTCCCCATCATCTGTTTATTATGCATAAATTATTCAAACCTGAGTGACATACCACAGATGTAACTACTGCAACAGGTACAATCCTGACCAAAGAACTGCGTGAACTAGAGAAAATGGCAGGAATTACAGGGTCTTGTAGAAGTCCTGAGAAATGTCATGTTTCTGAAGCACATCTCAGAGACTTTTTTTGTCAGCAGAGAGAAATGTCTCCATTTGCTTGGAAAAACAGGACAACACTAGTTAAAATCATGAGTTAACTTAATCCATGTGCTTTACCTCTAGTTTCTAGCCATCCCTCCCTTTCCTTCTTACTTTCTCCAAGAAAAAGTTCACATAACAGTGTGCTTCAGTGGAAGTCTGAGGAAGATCCTGGAAGAATTTACAGTGGATCCTTCCAAAGATGGATATGCAGCACAAACCATAACCAGGACTACCTTAACACATACACGCAGAGAGAGTTGTTTTTACTCCTTCAAATGAGCATCTAGGGTAAACTAGCAAATCAAGGAGATGCAAGTTTGAAGCAGGTTGTGAGAGACATGTCTGCCACACGCAGTTGAGAATACATTGCCCGACTCAAAACTCATGGCTGTAAAAGTCAGCCACTCCCTCAGAAATACTTAATCATCCTAACATGTTTCTTTGAGTCTTTTTTATTACCTCTACTATCTAGATTTGAGAACAGCTACTTTGCATATGTTTTGAATTCTCTGGTGTTTATATAACAGCCATATTATACCTTAAATGTATCTTCACTCTTGGGATTAAACAGCTGCTGTTTCCCAGATCCCAAAAGAATAGGACCAGAAGCTTTGTTTTCTCCATAAGCATAAAGGAGTACTGTTGCTGTTGTGCCAGCTGTTTCAAAGTCTCCAGTGACTACAGTTATCTTCCACTCTCCTTCTGTAAAGTAAAAAAAAGAATAAAAAATAAAAATGCTTTTAAAAATGTTACTTATACAAAGCAGTTTGCTTGAAAGATATAAGTGGAATCATAATTTGGTCCAAGGACTGTGGCTCTAAGGTACCTAAAAGGTAATGAGGTCAGGAGAGGCAATAGAGGATTGGCCAAATGCTACATCATTCAAACTCATCTTAAGTGAGTTATGGATCAAGAACTGAGGAGGCTTATACTGCACTAAAGCCAGAAATATGAGCACAGAGCTAAGTGAGATTTCTAGTGATAACCCTGAGGACCAACACAGGAGAAGACCACCATGCGGAATTTGGATTATGACGAGAGTATAACCAAGAAATGTGGCAGGAAAAAGGTCAAAACATCCCAATTAAGTACACTTTCCTCTCATTTTAGGTTGATGTGATTCGTAACAGAATCCTGTTTGCCTGGATGGGGGCATGATATTGAAATCAGCATGAAAAACAACAAGGTTTTTCAGAAAATTCTGAACTGGATTAGGACTCATTAGAAAATTATTTTATATAAAGTTCCCTGACACTAAAATGTCATTTCTGTTCCCATACAATATAAACAAATTTAAATATTCAAAAGCAGATTAATATAAATCTTATTTTAAAAAAGAACAATTCATAATTTTAAAATGCATTTCTACATCTGAAAAGATGGGATTGCATGCTTCTCCACCCGTCACTGATTGCAGCTTTTGTCTGCGTGAAATTCCACACAGCGACTTAAATTCATTCTGTTCAAGGAAAACAATAAATGAAATACCAGCCCACAGTCATCTTATAAATAAATGCCATAGCATACACTGCAGTTTTCTTAGTAGAAAGCTGTCTGGTAATGACTGCATGATTTAAATCTGTTGTCTGACAGAAGTATTTATCTTGAGCCAGCCTCATTATCTCTCAGTAATCTGCCCCACAGAAATTGAACTGGAGAAAGAGGCTTGATTTCCTGTTTTCCAAGTCTTTAGAGGTCTGGCTGATGTCTGGTTTGGGAAGTTGACAGAATTTTAACTGCACACAACTACACAGCTGGGAATTCAGAAAGCAGCAACAACTCATTTGTTCTGCCCAATCAAACCTGGCCCCAGACTGAGGGAAGGAAGCGTACCCCTGTACTCTGCTCTGATGAGACCCCACCTGGAGTACTGCATCCAGCTCTGGGCTCTCCCAGGGCCAGATGCAGCAAAAGAAGGATGTGGAGGACCTGTTGAAACAGGCTCAGAGAAGGGCCATGAAAATGATTAGGGGCTGGAGTTTCTCTCTTGTGACAAAGGGTTGTTGTTCATCTTGGAGAAGAGAAGGTTCCAGGCAGGTAGACCCTTTCAATATGTTAGGCTTTTCAATATATTAGGGGTTTAAAAGAAAAGCAAAGACTTTTTGCAAGGACGTGTAGTAATGTTGGGGGGAATGGTTTTAGTGAAAGAGAATAAATTTAGATAAGACATGAAGGATATACTTTTTTTACTGTAAGGATTGTAAGACATTGGAGCAGGTTGCCCAAAGAAGTTGTGGATGTCCCGTCTCTGGAAGTGTTTGAAGCCAGGTTGGATGGGGCTCTGAGAAACTTGGTCTAGTGGAAGATGTCCCTATTGATGTCAGGGGCTGTAACAGATATTTTTAAAGATTTCTTCCAACCCAAACTATTCTACAATTCCATAAAGGAAGTGAATCACCCAATTTTCATTAAGAATTGTCAGACTCCAGCTTGTAAGAAACTCTTTTGTGCCTCTGAAAATCTCCATCTTCACAACTTTCTCTATAGACTCACTTTCTTGATAAAAGAATCATAGCACCAGAAAACAAAAGGATAAATATCAATTAGAAGAGTGAAAAGCCTCTACATTGTGGAAACAAAGAGCATAAGGCAAGGGCTCCCTGCCCCATAGAAAAAGAGCTTGTTTATAGAAAACTCAGCCTTTTCAATTTTCAAACAATATATTGTTAATTTCCTAAAGACAAAGTTCCTTTGAATCATTTGACTGGAAAATAAGGACAATTCCATTTACAAGAGCTTACGAAGAATGGTGCAGACAAAGAGCAAAATATGACCCACTACTTCTCCTAAAATTTCAAATATCATTCAGAAACAAACACTCATTTTAAAGTAGGTAAAATGTATTTTCTTTTTGACGTGTTCATTGATTAATTGTGCCTCAAGTGGCTTTGATGGCCCTTTCTATTGTACTACCCTCTCAAAGCCTGTCTTTTGTTAAGCAATGGGGTTCTGAAATGATGCAGTTGCTGCTATTGAGGCTCTATTTTCTAGCTAGTTCAGCTCCTACCTCCCAAGTATAAGCTTATTATCTGTAAATTATTCTGCACACAACTACCTCTCTGAAGGTAAATTAGAGAATCAAATTTCCCCAAAAAACATCATCAAAAAGAGTTCTATTTTGAACTCCTCTATATTGACTTTGAGGCTTGTTCCTCTTTTATGGAAGTAGAAAAGACTTGTGTTTGAAAGACAATATGGGTATAGGAAAAGAGTCCTTAAATTTCTAATCTCTCTGATGCCAGAAATCCTTATTGCATTGTATTGCATGCTTTCAAATAGAAAAGGGAAACAGTAAGAATTACAAAAACACAATTCTTGTTGGCATAAAAAGCTGGATTGTTCTGATGAGGTAGAGTACCAATAGTTCCTTAATGATCGAAGAGGAGCACACTTTGAGAGGAAAAGAATATAGATAATGGTGTTAAGACATAACTTTCCTTTAGCATACATAGAGGAAAGATGCAATTTATCTCCTGGGGTTCTGGGGACATCAGAATGCTATCTTACCACAGATGACTGTCTAGACTTTTATTTTTTTTTATTTTCTATATTATTAGAAACATTACAATACATTAGAAAGTTCTGCTTCCTAGAAAAACAGCTCTGCTTTTTTTAAATATAAGTGATACAGAAAAAAAAATGCAATATATTTGAAAGCTTATGGGAAAAAAAAGGACAGTAAACAAGCTCTCAGGTCAACCACTAAACCAGGAATTGGAACAATCCCTCTAGGAGTAGGATACAATTTCAAGTCTCTTTCCCACTGATCCATGTTTTACTGGGTGTCCCAAACCAGAAGCTATTTGTTGCATACACTTTTGACTGCCTTACTCTGATTGAGACTTTTGCACAGCTTAAATGACACAGCCCAGAGACTCAGCTGTAGGTGCAGAAAGGACTAAGCAGACCAATTTGAATTCTGGAAAGGAGGATCTCTCAGGGCAGGGAGGTGCAAAAGCGAAGTGTGCGGAGCAGATAAAGCACAAAGAGTGATGAACAGAGAGCAAATTACTGCCTGTTGAAAAAAACATAGAAAGCAAGGACAAAGATACTTCTGACTCAAAAGAAAGCCTATAACAGTGTGGATTTTAATAAATTTTCTAAAACAACTGGGCAAAAATTTTATCGTCAACGACTTGCAATAGGAACAAGGTTTAGGACAAGGTAATTGGTTCTTCATGGATATTCTGACTGATAAAACAGATTTTGAATAACCATTTTCAAACTTTCTCACAATGTCGCCTAGATCGTTGTTCAACCTACAGCATGAAGCACTTCTCACAGCTGAGAAATTCTAATGTGTTATTAAGAAATTAAATTTAATCTGCTCTGGTTACCAGGACAGAAACGTCAACCTGAACAAATATGAAGTCACAAGTAAAACAGAAAGTGAAAATCTATTGTTGAGAACAAAACTATAGATAGGACTGGGAAAAAAATCATGTTTTAAAATGTTAACTATAAAAATCTGAAATTTACATAGATCACCAATAAGTACTAGAAAAATAGGAATTTTTTAAAGAAGCAGAAAGAAAAATGACAGAATAAAAAGGAAGCATAAACAAAGTTATTTATTTTTTAAATTAAAATGTGACGTTCAGAGTTTACTGAAATGTTCAAATAGTGTGCTATAATTAATGTTTTAAAATAAATACAAATGGCAACAAATGTGTAAAGCAATTAGTTCTGAAGCAGAAACATTCTTCATTAAAATCAGAAAACAAGAGCAGCATTTACCATTTGCTTCTTGCATTTTCAGCTGCTGATTTTTTTCAAACTCTGTCAAAAAGCAAAAAAAAAAAATCCATTAATAAAGGATTTATCTTTTAACATTATAGAAAAGATTTGAAAAAAGTGATCAAAAAGACATTCAGTTTTTCTAGTCAATGCAAGAAAATTCTCTCTCATTCTTTCCCTCATTAGTTTCTCACTATCACCTATAGCAATTATATAAACTGTGTTTCTCTCCCAGAAATATAGCAAAGCAAGCTACAAAATTGTTAACTCTGATATTTACAGTGCAAAATCTGCCCAGATTTCTTCAGAGGAAAAGGATTACTAATGACAGTTCTTACTTTCATAAAGTTACAATAAATCTTACCTTGAGGGTACAGCTCAATTTCTGAATGGATTTTACCTTGAGACATAAATGGAAGCCACCTAAGAATAAGAAAGAAAATAAGAAAGCAGTAGGAATCAATTTTTATTTATATTGCCAAATAACTGAATGGTCCGTGTCTGATTTTCATACTGAATACACCTAACAGCAAAGGGTCTCTACTCCTAAAATTTTAGTATTTGATTTATGTTAAAGTAGGAATTATTTGACTCAATGAAGAAACTTCTTTTGTGCAAAAGTAAGAGGTATAGAGGTGTAAGATGTATGTAGGTGATGCACTTGTATCAGCTTAAGAGACTCATATGGCACTACTGTACTTGTTTCTATAGCTTAACAGAAGAATATAGCACAGGACATTTTTTTCAGTACTGTGGATTGAGATGCAAGTATAATTTGTATGTATCTATTGCAATATTTCTTAAAACTACAGTTCAGTGTAAAATAAAAAAAGATAGAGCCAAACATTTCTCTTTCTTATTCCTCCTATAAACTGAGGACAGGTAAATGAGTCTAAAAAAGGACAAATAAAGGAAAACATTCTTAAGGTTTCCTAGTAATGTTGCTCTAGGCTATGTATAATTTTGAAAACTTTTCATTCAGAACATGGATTACCAACACTTTTATTTCCTCTGCCCTGGCAAAAAAATCAGCTCTTTTTTTTTTACCAGAAAAGAAATGCAACAATCTTCTGGGCTTTAGTCTTTATTTCCTCAGTCTACTTCCATGGACTCTCCAGGAATGACCTAAATCATTCAGTCTCCTATGAAGCCTGTTGGGATTCCAGTACAAGCTGGGCAAGGAAAGTCCAGACCAACTTACAAATGTTCCTATTTTTTGTCTTTAAAACATTACTTGGCCAACTCGTATATGAGCTGATCCCTAAGAAATAAATTTTCTCTTACTAAATTACTTATTTCTATCACTTCTGCTAAAAACTGATGGCACAGGTATCTTCTGAAATCCCAGATGCTAAAAGGTATCAGTAACTAGTAAATACTGTATAACTGAAATCGAGTAGAAACTATTAGACATTCAGAAAGTAATATCAGGTTTTCAAGACAGATAAAATGCTTATGCTCCCTTGGCTAAATGAGAAGAAACAGAACTTTTTTCATGTCCTAGATCAGAAAATAGCTATGTAAAATAAAATAAATGTGAGGCTGAATATTACTGAATTAGATTTTGAAGAGCAAAAACCTCCCTCCTTGAATAGAGCACATTTTGGCAAACATAGAAGCTACACCTGATCCCCACCACTGACTTATTTTAATCCCTTTTCAGCAGAAGGGTTTCCTTATAGAGAAGTTAGACATTAAAATAGAAACACTTGTTTCTTTTAACACTCTCTATCATAGAATGATAAACAGCTGGTGTTAGTTATTACAGAATAATACAGAAAAGTGCCCTGCCTAAGCCATGTTGCTCACTAGAGATAGCTATGACACAAAGAAAATTTCACCTATATTTTTTTAGAAAGGTAGCAAATACAGCTAGCAGCAGCAGCTGGTCCACAACCAAATCTACTCAGAGAAATCCTCAGTCTTTTACTACTATTTATAAGCATCTTACTAGCTGAAAAAAAATCTTAGATTTAGAGACTCAATCAAGGTGAGAAAACATCTTTATTCCTGTTTTTGAGGATGTGACACCAAGAATTGCAAGAAGCTTCCAAGGTTATGGAACATATTCATTAAAATCCTGACAAAATAACTAAGCAACATGCATTAATTAAATATGATTAATTAAATATTATTTATTCTACTGCCTTGTCACATAGTCATATTGTCTCTCTTCACTTTCTTTATTTCACTTGACTCATGCATATACCCACAAGACTGTAAACTGAAAACTCCAAACATGGGATTACCACTTTTTTCTAAAATATGCAAAATGAAGTATTTTTCTATTGACTTTTAAGATGCTCATTTAATAACTGAAACAGAACATCTGCAAAATAGTTCTGAGAATCATATTTGTCTGGCCATGCTGTAAAGAGAGTGAAATGCTAGTTTTGGATGGAAAATCTGTGTTTTTTTCACATTTAGAAATACACTTAATTTAGAACATTTCAGGTTCTTTATCTTTCCTTAGTGAAAGGTAAATCACGCTCACAGCACTGAGCTGTACTACTTATCCTGTAGGATAAGGCTGTACTCTAAAATCTAGGAACACAGACTCGATATAAGTGTTCAAACTTTGCTACAGACCATACAGAACATCAATTCAAGCAATCTGTTCTGGAACAACATATTTTGTGGATTTTATAAAACTGTGAAATAATAAAAAATGTCTTTGCCTGGAAAACTCACATTTAATACATCAATTGACATAATACTTTTAGTGATACACATTGAAAAATATTTAATATTGTTGTTAAAACTACCTTTCACAATTGAAAACATATTCTGAGTTGTTCTCGGCTTCTCTGACAATGACTTTATCACAATACCAATGTTGGGACTTGCTACTGGCCTCACAGCGCAACAGCACCTTCTGCAGCTTCCCAAGAGATACAGCTTCCACTTCAAAAACACTGACCTGGAGACAGAGGAGACAGTACTCTGCAATTTGCTACAAATAAGGCAGTCCAAAAACTGAAGTGTGTTAAAAGCCTGATCAACTCCCACAATGTACAAAGATTTCAATCTGTTTTAACGACAGCTGGCCTGTATTCAAAGAGTTTGGCTCTGAAGAGTTAAATGTCTTTTGATGAAGTGTCACAGTAAATAAGAAAACACAGTCAAAATCAGGATGAAGTAATAATCTCAGATAAATTGGGCTTTTACAGCCATCATCCAAAATGCTGCACACAGCCCTTTAGCATGGTTTGAAAACCTTGCCTTTTACATTTCTCTAGGTAAGAAAAACATAAAGCTGTTATTTCCTTTGTTGATATTACATTAAAACAGACCTTCTCATCATTTTCTTTTTTTGGTTTCACCTCCTCTACTTACATTTTATTCTACTGAAAGAAACTGAAATCTGACATGCCATTTTCCCCTTGTTATTCATCTAGGCTTGTGCTTATAGTTGGAAAAGATTGTTTTCATAGAAGCATGAAGCTGATCAGGTTCAGGTTGATAATTTTCTGTCCCAGGAAAAAGCATCAGCTTTCTGTCTCTAAACGTAATGGTCCAGATCATTCTTCTCAGTAAAAAGAAAATGAAGGAAAGAAATACACTAGAAAATTCATATCTGTAAAGCTCTCAGTCCTCAGCAAATGGCAGAATTGAGACTGCCTGTGCAAGATTACTTATCCCTTGTGTATTGATAATATATGATCACAAGCTATTCTCTCTGAAAGATTCCTGCCTCAAAGTGTGCTCAGGAGGATGACAGATTTTCAGTATCTCTTTTTATCTTCATTATCTTTATGACTCTATGCATTATTTACTGCAACTACCCAAAGAGCTCAGTGAAACAGAACTGATTTCCCCAGTGACTTCACCTTTGCACATCTCCCATAGCACCCTGGTTTTCTGCAACTGCTTAATCTCTTTCTTGAAAGACCATCTGCATAATATTTCAATTTACCTACATAGTTAAAGCACAGAGTTTACTGCCAAAAGCTGTCAAAGATGCAAAGTGGTGTGGGTGCTCATCTGAGAAACAGAGGGGTTAATTTACTGAAATATTTAACATTTCAAAGAGCTTACTAGGTGCAGAGCAGAATTCTATTTGAACTCAGTTACAGCTATGGTTGCTCAGAAAAGCTAAACTGGTTATGCAGCAATACATAAGCATGAAAAACGTGGTCACTCAGGAAAGTTTTAATTTAAGCAATTTGCCCATTATAATGCAGAATGTCATGGCAGGGATGAAATCAAGTTGTTCAAGTCAGCATTCCACTATCCCTATACAAATGATATATCCCAGTCCCTGCTCTGCTGCTCCAAACAATCTACTGTCTTATTCACGCATTTCCATAACAAAGTGCACTTTGAACCATTCCCCTTAGCCCCAGAGTAAATAATATGCTGAACTGACTATCAATCAGGCTAAAATAATGCCCCCCAGAAAATTCCACTTAAATTCTACATTTTAATTTGAATAGAACTTTATCTCTCATACATTAGTAACAGCATAACATATTTATATTTTAGAACAGTATAGATTAATTTAAAGTTTCCCAGTAGGTTATGGCTAGCTTTAGCATTTTAGGTACTGCTTTTCATTTTGCAATTAAGTGTTCAACTAGCAGCTTGATACCACTGGTTACACATACAAGTGTTAATCCTCAATAGATCACAAAGGAAGAAACAGGCTCAAAAGAAGGTCACAAGAAGACTAGTGGCAGAGTTTACATTAAATTCAGTAGCTCCTGAAATTCAACCATATTGCTGAAAATCAGGATGATGTATATTTTACTTTTGGAAGAGCTTGAAGGTAATAAACTGAGAGAAAAATTACTTTAAGTCTCTCCTGTATTAATCACAATACTTTACTATTATACATTAAAAGAAATACAAAACAAACAGACCTACTAAGATCTGAAATCATGGAACAATTTCTTTATACTCATTTGGAGACAACTATAACTCATCATACTTTGAAACGAAATATTTTAAATTCATAAGCAGCTTTTCTCACCATCTGAGGGTAGGCCCTCAAATAATTTCCCTTTTCCTGCCTATGTTTTCACTCATCCTATTAATCCCTGGGTCAGTAGAAATATATTTTCCTTAGTTCTTAAAAGTTATTTGGATAAACTTATGTGGTTTGCTTTATTATTGTTATTATTAGGAACCTGTATAAACCGTATACAGTTACTTAGCTATATTCATAAGGCTAAGAAAATTGCTTTTCAGACTTACCATTCCTCTCTGAAAAACTGGTACACCAGTTTTATGCAGAAGTCTTAGACCAGAATCCCCTCTTTTTCCATAGATACACAAATAAACTGCAGAATCTGTACCAGCTTGCTCCAAGTCACCAGTGTGGACATAAACATGGTATAAAACAACTTCCAAAAATAACCAAAAGAAAAAAATGCAAGTTACGTGTAATCACAATTAATTTTACCCACTATTACAGCTTAATGATGACAGTAAGTCTGATATGCAATTAATTTTCTGGAAGATACTCTCCAGAAATCAGTCAAACTATTTGCATTTAAGATTGCTAGGACCACAATTTGGTTGGCATTAATACTGAAAACCAGGTAACCAATATATAAATAAGTGTACACACATACTTGGATAGATAGGTTTTCCAGCTTCCACTACTGGAAGTTCATACAGAAATTCTCTATCATCACGATTCTTTGATAACCATGTGTTTGCTGGAAAATTCAATGTTTTCTTGCTCTTTATATGTTGCAATATCACCTGAAGGAGAAGCAATTTCAACTGTGACTCAGTTCCAGTGCTTTGCTTCTCAACAGCAAAACATATAATTTTTTTTTATTTTTTTTTTTTACAACTCAGAAGACAGTAACACAATCAGTAAATATGACATACAAAATTGCAGCTTGAAAATATTTTTATTTTGGCCACTACTGTGCAACAAACAAATCTGTAGTTGAAATTTGTGGGTTTGCCATTTGAAATGTCACCAAGTCTGGTTTCAGTGGGTAAACCATCTCTATGTAACACTGCCTGGAGGACTGATGACTGAAAACCTTCTGGTAGATGCTGTTACATGACACTGAGCTTTTGTAAGATGTAGAAAGATGGACACAGATTTTTTTATTTTAGAATGAAAACAGGATGAAACTCATCATCTACATCCTTCTGAAATTTGACAATTAGAGGATACAATGGAATCTTAAATCAATTTATATTATCTTAGGCTCTTCTACAGCAAAACAAAAAACAACCTGTGTACCAGCACCACCTCTATATTCTTAAGATGGTTAGAATTCCAATTTCTAGAGTTATTTCCTGCTGTACAGTAAGATAGCTGCCTTGTTTACTATAATTACAGCACTCTTTATTCTCTTTTATGAAAGCAGTTTTTGTAGGTCTTGAATTACAATACTTACTACAGGGTTTTTCCAGAGGTTTTTGACTAGAAAAAGGAAATCATAAATTATCTTTCTGCAGTTGTAGTTTTGAGTGTGTATATAATATGCATAAGCCTTGCAAACAAAATTATAACAACGATTACTCACATCCAAATTCTAACACTTAGGGAATCAGGGCAATAGATGTCTTTATCTGACTTTTCCAATAAATATTATTTAAAGTAAAGTGAATACTGTTTGCAACACCAAAACATGTATTTATTCTAACATGAAATACTTAGGCAGCACTGATTCCTAATCTCTAATATTTATTGGCAGAGCCCCCCCTGCTGATTCATAATAGTTGCATGTATTAACTACTTTTTCAGAAAAACACAGCTTCCAACATGATTCATTTCTTGATGTGAAATGAAGTTTTTGAAATCCCTGGCTTACCCTATGAAATTTGGAACAAAATGTTAAAGAAATATTTTCTAACCATCAGGCTGGAAAGTGAGATTCCTGCAATCATTTGAGCAACTAAAATATTTATACTCACATTCAGTTTTACTACAGTCTCAGTTAAAACCTTTGGGTTAATGTAAAATCCAATATTATTGCCTACTTTTGATTGTCTAAATCAAACTTTTTAAGATTACTCAAATGAAAAAGAATAAACTTGTCTCCTTTACAAATTCAGTATAAGAAACAGACAAAGAATTCTTATTCCAGTTCTGAAATAAATTTTACATGAGTGTCAGTGTTAGCAAGCATTTAGAACAAATTTATTATGGTGAAAATCCCTAAATATCAAAAGAAAAACAGAATTAAAACAAAACAAAAAAGAAGAATTAATTCACCAAATAAATTAAAAAAAAAAAAAGGCAGCTTTCTTTTCCCTGAAAATATTCATAATTATGAGGAATGGTGGGGCCTATTATAACTTACTTCGTTTACCTTTCAGCAAATTTTTTTCATTCCTTGCAAGTTGTTGTCATGGAATGATTGTTGCTCCATCATTTTCAAATTTTCAGAGCTGGAATTTAAAGCTGGAATCTCCCTAACACACACTGAAGAGTACAGAAATACCAAAGAGTATGGCAAATTTTCAAAAAGCAAAACTTGGTCAAACACATCATTACAATAAAATTGCTGTCTGAAGGAATTAGGAATAATTGCAAAATAATCCTGCATATTTTCATCGCTTAGGAGATGAACTATATCAGTGTTTTTGCCATCTCTAAAGCAATCCTAGAATACAAATCAGTAAGAACTTATCCAAACCAGCATTTACTGATTCATAAACCTATGTCTTTATGAAAAGATGGGCCTTTAGTTCATGTAAAAATTAATAAAATGGGAACAAAATCACCATAAAAGTCTCACCCTTTGTAAGTTCCACTCGGGTTGTTCATTTGGTAATCCACCAAGTTCAATTCTTATCTTGTAGATATTCCCAATATTGTTCATTTTAACCTGAATAAAGTTAGAATAGTACAATATATTACTACATAAAATTACACCTTTATCTTTTCAATAGATTCTAAATTTATCTGAACCATTGTAGTATCTGAGTGCTCAGGAACAAAACATGATATTTGATTGTAGATTTGAAGTTACAGAATTCAGAGAGAACACTGCTTCTCTTTTGACTAAGCAGATTACTGTATGATCCCCAGGTTGACCAAATTACAGCCTAGTGGAATCACATTTCTTGCCAGGAGAAGATTTGGCAGGTATTTGAACTCTTCCAAGTTTCAGGAGTAAAAAAAGTTGGTGAGGGTTGTTCGTAAGAGCAATGAGCAATACAAAATTACATCCTCTGACTACGAGTCACAAATCTTTCATAATTCTGCACAGTTAGATGACCACAAACTCTAATATATCAACATGAAGGATATGAAATTTTGGAGACCTTAAAGAATAGCTCCCAAAAGCTGACAACATCTACAAAACTTCAGAAGTCACTGATGCCATCTTTGCCTTCTGACTATGATTTGCATTCATGTGCACTTTCAAGCATTATGTGTGCTCTTACTTGTAAAAACTATTCTATGCAACCTATCTTCAAAACTTTAAATGAACCCTCACTTATCTAGGGTTCATCTAAAGTTTAACCACTATTTAAAGTAAGCATAAATAATTTTAGGTCATATGTAATGTACCTTTAGGAAAGGAAATGTGTTATTATGCTATTTCTCAAATAATAACTGTGTTCATAAAAGGTTGGTAACAGCCTATTCCTTTTCACCATTTACATCCAAAAAGCTATTTCAATTGTACAAAAATTATTTTTGTACTTTTTTTGTATTATTTTTCTCATAGAAACACCTACTAGTATATTATCCACTCATACTTTACCTTTATTAACAAAAGCACTCTTCTCACTTTAGACATCAGAATTACCTCATTTCCTGTATCAGCTTTTATATCTTTTTGCAAGAAAATTTTATGTTATAGTCACAGCATTGCCACGCTTTAGCTAAAGAAAAAACTTTCACTCTGAATTTCCTGAACACTGAAATACAGATTGAATGGTTGTTTGAGACAGAATCTGCGGCTTTCACACATGTTATTTGTATTGGCATAGTTGTTACATCAACCTGAATTCCATTAACCAAATAAACGTGAACACCAGGCTTGCAACACTGATGTGACATTTTAGTTTCTTTCTTTTCCATTGGCTTAAGAAAATAGTTTTGCTTTGCTCTGCTGAGTCATATCCTTGCTTATGCTGCATAATATTCCCCTCTAAGAGTAGTTCTACTGGAGGTAACCTGGAGACTTGGGGATTAATACAGCAGTAAAGTATGGGACTAAATCAGCTTGAATGCAGAACAAAACCCCTGTTGTCTTTCCCGCCATTTCACAAACGAACTAACCTACTTCTCAAGTAGTATGGGATATGGTCTTCACATTCACAGAGCTGGTGTTCCCTGCACATATAGGGCTACTGTGTCTATTCTGTTTATTCCAATAAATCCCTCTTCAGACATTTAGTTAACAAAGAAAAAAGGTTGCATGAATTTCATGTATCAACACAAAACAAAATGTAGTAGACTAAGTCAGAATGCAAGAGTATTTTCTACCTAAAACAAGCATAGGTCTTCCAGAAGAAACGCTCTGGTAGTCTTGATTTTTCTCATGCACGATCTCTAGAATGATTAAACAGGTAATGAAAACTCACATGGGTGAGTCATATGAAATCATATTAAATGGTTTTCAATTCTTAAGTTGGTTCTACTCGAATTTTTCATAGTTGCACATGTTACTGATAAATGAAAGGTTAAAGAACTTCAAACTGATTCCTAATTTCTGGATTATTACAGCGTTTCAGAAGCCACTTTCTTCCTAAAACTCCTGTCCAGAGCTATGATTAAACAGATTGCTTTAAAAATAAAATTTGGTATCCTCTGTTCTAGAATATATCAGTGAAAACACAGATGCTCAAAGACAGAAATGGTAAGAAGAAGGTATAACATTTTTTTATGTCTTAAATTCCTACTGTCATTTCAAGACCTATCCTGTTAAACAAGTACAGGATAAAGTTTAAAGTGAAAAGGAGGAGAAGGAGCCCTTACTCATTGCTTTTCCTTTGTGGATTTATCCACTGCAGATTAAAGAGCCAAAAGCACTTCAGTGGCATTTGCTGTTTCATGCCTGAAAGCATTAGTGTCAATGTGATGTAAAAAATCCTAGTAGTAGCCCCAGGTGCTGAGAGAAAGATCCTGCTCTCACACAAGATCAATATCTGCAGCACACAGCCATAATGGGCCACATCCATTGTAGAGAAGAAAAACTGGTCCATCTCTTCTGAACATATGAATTAACTTTGCAAACATGCCATTTTCCAACATCACTTATAAATTATTTACTAATTAGGAGAACAGGATTCCCTGTGGATCATAATCTATAGCCTATATGCTTAGAAAATTAACATTATAGTAGGTTATCTCCCTGCCTATGCCCTATTCATAGACAGTATTATTATTATTATTATTATTAATATCATTGACAGTAGCAATCTTGGATTGTGCTAAGATTGCATTAGAAGAGTTCATGAGTCCAGAAAAAAATCATGAATCATATAACTTGTGCTTTAGCTACTGAAGACAGCAGTGTTAGATGCATCTCAAACAGAGAATTAAGAAAAACAGAAATCTTATCTCCTTTGGTAATTTCCTCTTAGCCTACCTGGACATTATTCCCTTATTAAAATAGAGGTGGGGTTATTCTTAAATAAAAGCAGAAACCCTGTGTTTTCACAACATGGTAGCACATAGATTTAATTGGACTTTTAGTTATTTCACAGGTAAACATTTCTGGAATTTTGGTCACTTATAATATGGCAGCTCTAAAATGGGTTTTCTTCTTTAATTGAACAACTTCCATAGCATACATTTTATAGTATGCTTTGAAAACTGAATGCTGGAAAATTTAATTGCTAAAGATCCCTAAACAATATGCAAGTCTTTTATCAGACATGGTTTGTTTCAGAATGAATAGTTTTTAACGCTAGTCTCAAATCAATAGCCTTAAAGAAATCAATTTACTTCTGCGGTTGTGCCATTTGATCTTCTCCTCTTGAGGGAGGAGGTCTAAAAGAAAGATTATATCTTTTGTTGCTTACTATAAATAACAAGCTGATTTAACACAGAATTCATGGAGATTAGATACAGATTAATTTTATGCAGTAAACACAGGAAAAAACCCATTTCTTCTTTTCACATGACAGGATAATCCTTGGAAAGATACCTACTAAAATAATGTTCTTAGCCTTCATTAGCTACCTGAAATTCATCTTCCTGCCTGGGAAAAAACATCTGCTTCCTGTTGTCCTTGCCAAGAGTTATTGGTCCAGTTAATCCTCTGTCTCCATATATCCAAAGAGCAACGCTTGCTTCAGTTCCTGCATTTCCTGTCAGTATTGACACTTTCCATTCATCATCTGAAGGAAGGGGACACTCACCACCTTGGGGATTTCTCATTTCCTCTGTGAAATGCAGAACGTTAGTGGAAGATGAAAATTGACATGAAACTGCCAGCTGCTGTTGTAACTTCAGCACATAAGGAGGCCATAACAGCAGGGAGGTCATATTTTTTCATGGCAAGTGAGATAGTCTGAAAAGATTGATTTATGTTTCTTGTCTAGACCAAAATGTACTGATTAGTTGAGCTACAAGAATCAGCTGGAAAAGAACAAGTTATCTCTCACTCGTGCTATCATCATATTCTTTGTACGTATTCTGGAGCAGACTAAGGATGCTATGGTGCAGAACTTTGACCATTAAATTGACATTTCTGGTTCCTTAGTCTGACATTTAGAAACAAGTAGAATTTCTCCTCTAATGCCGTGTGTTGGGACATTGTTAGCAGGCTCACGTGTCTGGGAATACAATTTTCATTTCAAATTAAAATAAAAAAAAATCAGGGAATTAACATTCTTCAATTTAAATATCAACTAAATACTGCAAAAAACAAACAAACAAAAAAACCCCAAAAATCACCTCAATATAGCCTTGCCCAACAGTACTTATGCAGTGCCATTTGGATCAAGGCATGCTCTGTATGAATGAGACAATAGCAACACAGTTGCACTTTGTGAATAAATTTCACAGCTCTAATGGCTGAGCAAATATGATTTTGTAAAACACAGGCTTCACTTTAGAACAGCACCTAGTGATCTTCCATCTACCCTTAAGAGAAATACACATATATGCAGAGACGTCAAATGACACCTCTGCACAGGAGATATCAAAAAAAACAGACTCTATTAGGGTAAAGGAATTAAATTTTGTGTAATTTAACCAAAGTGAAATTTACAAACATCAGATGTCTGCAACACTGCTTTTCAATAATGGGACCACTGACCATAGAACTCTCTCCAAAAGAGGGAATTGTTGCTGCCAGAAATTTATAGTCTGTTCTGACACAAGAAGCAGTTACAAGTCCCAAATTTGAAAAGATGAACCTACACATTGCCAATATACAGTGTCCTCCAGGGATTCCCAAATTTTTCACATTAGAACTTTCCATGTGACTACAAGAAGAATTTTTAATATGCCACCAACATGAATTTGTTGAGGAATTCCCAATGAATCACTGTGGATGTTTCTGCTGCAAAAGATATATAGTGGTATTACAGTCTTTTCCTTTTTTATTTGCTTGATTAAAATATTGTATTGGGTTTCTCTGGATGCCCTTACATCAAAGGAAATAAAAACCAAACACCCAAACAAACAAAATCAAACCAAAACTAGATGGTGATGCAAAAGATAACACCACCAGCAGCAGTTTTTTCTTAAAAGTTGTACTCAAAAGGAATTATACAGCTGGTTGGATCATCAGGTTATCCTATACTTAAATCAACATGGTAACTAAAGCACCAAAACTGAATTATGATCCACTAGCATTGATCTCTTAACTGGTGTGAAATATTCACACAAGGAATTGCAAAGGACTTACAATCCAGTACAAAGTTTTATAATAAATAAGGACTGACTTCTGGAATCACAGGAAATTTAACACTGGTAAAGATTATAACATTTGGTTAATCAATTATTTAAGAAATTCAGAACTGGAGTAGCATGACTTTTACAGCAGTGCCTCTAACAGTAGTAGTATGACTTTGGAATGGTCATAGTGATTTAGAATAGGCATTACTGTCATAATAATGGCTGGTTTTATTGTATTCCTCGTCATGACTGAGAGCAAGTTATTCTGAAAGGAAAAAGAAAAACCACACCCCAAAAATAAAGCAACAGGCAAACATTTAGAGTTTACCTGCCTAATAATTTAATTACACTTGTCTTTCAGTGCCTGAAAGAACTATAACAAAGTAATTGCTTTGGTATGATAAATATTTTTGAGAACTTGCCTATACAATTTTCTGCAACTGTAGTTACCTAACTTCTCACCTGTAACTTTGAAAACTAGAGTTCCTTCCAGCTATCTAAAACCACAACTTTTTTACTGCAAAGTGATTAAAATGTTCATAAAATGCAAAGATACTCAAGAAACATAAGGAATCCCATGCTGCTTCTTGTGCTTAGGACAAGAATTCCACTCTTGGGCAGTTGCAACCCAAAACAGTTACTGCACCTCTTGGAACAATTATAATGCACAAACAATTCACAGACTTGGAATGCTTTGTGCCTCGTAAATTCCTGGCTCTTGTTACAAATCTTGGAAATCAGTAGCATTGATTTGCTACAGGCTAAAAATATTCCAGTCTGAAAAGAGGATTTGATGGTTGCCCTGCATTACTCATGGGATTTTACACGATTCATGATACCATGCTGTAAATCTACTGTGACAAAAATTAATTCTAATAGGCCTGCATGAGAATGATGAAGTCAGAACCTTTCCCACAATTTCACAGAAATAACTTTTTTTTCAATTTACTTACTTATCCTAAATGCAACGGAAAAAGAAAAAGATCTTGTCTCAGAAGACCATATGATTGAGTGACACTTTTAAAATGAACTATCAGGAAAACTAATCTCTGGAGCAGAAGTTTGTGCAATAAAGTTGATGTATTTTTATTACACCTGTGTATGTCATCATTTCCAGTGTTATCTGAGGTGGAAATGAGATCACATTTTTATTTGTATCTTATAAGTAAAATACATTAAAAAATTAATAGCAACTAATAATACCAGACATACAGGAAAAGAATGTGGAGGATATAGAGGGCATTTCTCAGAGATACACTTAGTTAATACCAAACCACAGAGGTGTTCTCAAGGTCACAGGCTGCATTTGTGTCATGGAAACTAATGATGTCTGAGCTTTTAAGTGGAAGCTGGGACCTGACATCATCTCTGTACAGTGAAAGAAGTTTCTTGAGGAGCACTGCAATGGGAAAAGTCCCAAAAGCTGTAGCATGGCTTTCAGTTTAATGTATCCTAAATCAATTATTATTTGTGAAAACAAAAACCAAAACACATCTACCAGACGCAGGCATAAAAGTGAGGGTCTGGTCAGTCTAAGAGCTATCTGATCTGAGTTTGCCTGCTAAGCTTACTGCTGGATTGTACACTCAGTACAAGCATCACCCTTTTCCAAATATTAACTGGAAGTGAAAAATAGAAAATGACAATTTAGTGAATATCTGTTTAAAACTTAAGGCTCACCTGTACATGTCATATGTTGAGTGAAAAGTATATAACTAAAAAACGATCATTTTATTTGAAAGACAGAGTAGCTTTGATATTTCTATTCATTTTCCATAAGCAGAATCTATATTTATGAGTGCCAGAAAAACTACTTAAAAAGTGCTATAGACTCTATGTAACCAATTTCACGGCAGATATTGCTTCTATAAAAAGGTCCTTTGTATCCAACCCTAAAAACATCCAGCTTCTTTGGAAACAGGGCTGATGGCTTGTGCATTGTTGCCATGGGTTTCAGACACAGCATATCTGCTGACAACCCACCATACTTTGGGAAGGTGTTCTGACACAATGATACAAGGTTAAGTCTGATAGATCAGAAATTGGGTGTTTTGAGCTAAAAATGGAAAAAAGAATTAAGTATTTATACTGATTCACACCTATGCTTGAAATTTAACTAGAATACTTTGGCTGAATTGAATTTAATTAAAATCCTGCCTGATACTTCCCATTATACCCTATGAACAAGGGTGCCAAATGTGATGTCTTGGTCACACAGCCAAACTTTTCATTTACACTTTGAAACAGTCTGAGGATCACGTTTGAAATCAAATCAGCAACCCACCTGAATTGTTTGCTACATAAATGCCTTTGAGAATACCTGTAATTGAGTAAGCATGTCTCTCATACTGGAAGTTGCAATATGATCTTGTCTTTAAAGCCCTTGTAAAGTATCAGACGTTTTTCCACCCTGTGAATGTGCCTCCATGTGCTGTTTGCAGCTCAGTAGTTTCCATTTACCCCATCTGCTTTTCATGGTGATATGACATGATTCAGACTGTCAGGGTGTTTGGATAGATTGAAATAAGAGATGCAGGAAGCAAACATGATCATCCCCACTATTTAAGAGACATATCAGTCCCTGTTTTGTTTCGTTATCTTAGCGTGATTACTAGGACTCTGAATATTCCAAAAATTCTTGGTTTAGACCATTTATGCAATTTCTTTAGCTAAAGATAAAACATTTTATTCTAGAAAAAAAGCCTACTAGACCATGACTCCAGAAGCATGACCAGAACATTATCTACTCCTACTTCCCAAAACATAGGTATAGATGTAGCATGCAGTGCATCAAAACCTTCCTCTTTCTTCCAGTAAACCATAAAGCTGAAAACATGAGTGTGAGAGCATAAAAGGGAAATACTCCATTCTTTCAGTGAGCCTTAGATAGGGTTCTGCACCATATCAACCTCTTAATTTCCACAGTAAGTTACTAATAAGTACTATCAATAAGTTAATTTTTTTTTAAAAGCTGATTGTTGCCTTATCAATAAACCACATTCCAATGCTCCTTTTAGAAAAAGAGTGACTGACAATGTATTTTATGTACTGTGTTTGTGTGCATAATTCAATGATCAATAAAAATCAATAAACCAATTCAATAAAAAGCCATTCACTGTCCTTCCTGAGGTGAGTCTCTGCAAACACGCACAGAGGACAAGCATAAAACAACACACCACAGCTGGTTTGTAAACTCTCACTTACTTGAGGGTGGGGGAGTTGAAGGCCTTTGAGGTTCTGGCTCCTGGGCTTTTCCTGATTGGAATGGAGATTCTCTGAACTCTTTCTTCTCTTGTTTGGGTGCTGCAGATGTTCCCATAGGCTTTTCCCGGCCAACTAAAGCAATGAAATGCAAAATCTGTGTCAAGCTAGAAGCCATTTGGTGTTTTCTTCTCAGAAGCAAGCAACAGATCTCACAGTTGTTCCACACAACACACATAAAAATCTTTATTGTTAGCAGAATGCTACAAAAAATGGAAAAAAAAAAAAAACTGACATACCAATTAAAATCTGTTCAATGTTTTAAAAATCTAAGCAAAAATTTAACACTGATGTAGGAATAAAATGACTTGTTAAAATTTAACTTTCCCCAAAATAAGCTTCTCCACCCCTAAAATGTTTCCTTTCTTAACAGTGGAAATGCTGAAATGAAAACTGCTAGAGACCATTTTAACAATATAAATTGATATTTTTAATATGAAAATGTGAAAAAGGCAATATTTATTGCTTGCATAGAACATATTAGCTCCTTTTTATGTTCCTTTTAGTGAGCAACACAGATTTAGAGGGGTTGAAGCCTGTGACACGGTAACATTTAGCTTTATTTAATGAATAAGCACTGTCTTGTTGAGAATTTCTATTGAAAACACTGCTCTTCCAAAAGGTAATAAAGACAAATAATTTCCTCATTTCTACAAGGACAAAGTGATCAAAATATTCCTATCACCCTGCAGCAAGCAGGGATGGAACAGCAAGGATACACTTATAGTGACTTTCGATCACAATACGCATGTAACAGTAAGAGTGGTTGTAGGTTTTGATACTCTCTTTTTGAAAAGTTTGTTCTGCTTGGAAAAAAACCTGACCAACTTCTCAATTGCAAACTGATGCCCACTTAGCCTTGTCATGATTTTTTTCGTTTCCTGATGTCTGTTGTCAAGTTCACCAGATAAGAATACATTTCCTGTAGAGTAGTTTCCTGCAGCTATCATGTAAGTCAGCTGGCGTTGGTAGCCAGTTTTTCACCAAATTAAAAACTTTGTTCTCCTGAAGGGGAAAAGACAAGCAGACTATCCAATGACAGTGATCCAGAGTGTGCTGAGACCCAGTTTCTGAGTCCTGGCTTGTTGAGTAGGTCAGCTCTCTATTGAGGAAACATTTTGGCTGCAATAGTTCTCAAATCTGACTATGGGACAGAGGAATGACATAATGAATATACTGGGTGGGGACTACGATGTATTTCACATCACTAAAAAAGAAACTGAACACTGACAAGTAGGCCTTCTTGAAAGTCTACTAATTCTCCTATGAAATTGGGAAAAACTGTGTTAGAGTTGGAAGCAAGACATCTTACAGGCTTCCAAAACCGGTGGCCAGAATGGGGAATGAACCCAGGAAGTCAAAGCCATTTTTATCTTGTCCATTGTTTCAATTCTCATTTTCAAAAGCTTAGTAGTAAAACAATTGACAACTACTGTATCATTATCATTATTATTATAATTATTATTTTAAATTAGGAAGGAATTAAGTTAACTGAATATGTAGGAGAAATTAAGAGTGCTTACAATAAAATTTTCAGTTTTAAAACTACTGAAACACAAGGGAAACTGTGTCAATGTATCTTTTACACTATTGCTTTGAATTTTGTCAGTTAAAACTATTAATTACTATGTAAATCCATAGGCTGTTGAGAAATCACTTACATCTGATGACCTGTGGGTAGAAGAAGATATTTCTCTCCCCAGTGTTAACAACTGGTTTAGTCTGGCCATCTGGCAGAAGACCAACATATATCCCTTTATTTCTCACTGATTCCAGACTCACAGATCCAGTTTCCAAATTATTCTCAATTTTAAAATGACAGTATTCATCACCTGTGCCCTAAGAAATTGAAAACAGAAACATGAATTCAACAATTGAATTAATGTAACTAGAGGATGTTTCTTAAGTCTTAATTATTACTACTTTCCAGTAATACTTCAGATTAACTTTACATTCTTCACAACATGCTACATTACTACACACACAGAGACATACCTGTACCTAATCCCTTTTTAATCCTTTAACCAGAAAAACTAATCACATAAGTCAGGGAAGTGAAAGACCAAGTGAAAGCATTCTGATTTATGTTAGGATTTAGGCAAAAACTAGGATATATTCAAAGGAGTTTCCCACTTAAACAGTTTCCAGAGGATTAAGAAATGTGAAAATAGCTATTTTAGAACACATAGGGTATTTCTATACAAATTTTATACATAGCACAGGTTTGCTAATGCAACATAATATAACATGTATTAAATAAATGTCATTTTTTCCCTCAGTTTCATAGCACTTACAAGTTTAATCTCAAAACCTTTACCCAATGTCACTTTTTATCTGGACCTCCTGATCCACTGGTGGAACACTGCTGAAAAATAATATACTCACAAAGCCTAAATTCAAAATATGGATCAAGCATTTTAATCTTTGAAAGTGTACTGGAAGCAATGACAAAACTCTTACGGACCTCGTATCTGAGTACTTATACAGCTTTATTTCATATTCAGTTGTCTTCAACTCCCAAATAAAAATTATGAAGGAATATTTCTTACATAAATGTGAGAAATATTAACGTAGATGAACAGAAACACACTTTAAAAGTCAGTTTACATATACAGTTGCATATGTCTTAATTATTCTTTAATAGGTTTTATCTACATCATCTATCTAGCAGTACATAAGTTTTAACTACATCCACATTCTCAGTAGTTTAAAAATATAATCAGATCTTCACTGATTCAATCAATTGCCAAACTAACACAACACCTTCTCTTGCTCTATTTTTCTAGAGTTTCTGTGGCAAATGAAGGAAAAGATTTGAAACAAATTAAATCTGAGCAAAGTTTTATGTCATTTTGATCCAGGCAAATTAAAAAAGATTCTCTCCTATCACTGACAATTCACTCAAACTATCTGCAGAGGAAAATGCAAACAAGAATTGCTTACTGTTCCATCACACCGGTCATCTTTGATCTTCAGATACATTCTTGGTTTTTTCACACTTTCAAACATGCAGAGTCCAGAGCCAATTTTATGCACCTTCCAGTAGGATTCCTGCTGCTGCTGACCTGCTCCACTGCAGCTCCCATCAGGTCTAAGGGACAGAGCCTGGCAGAGGCTTGTGTTGAGCAGAATGATGGCACCATGGTGAAACACACCCTTTAGATCAGAAACGAAAAGTCCTCTGTGAACAGCACTCCTTTTCTCCGTATTAAATTTTGATACTGATGCTGCTCCTACTGTTTTGATTTAAGCACTGATTCATGAATGTCCTTGTGTGAAAGATAAAAGAGTCAGTCTCAAGTAATTGAAGTATACCTCCAGTCTTTGGATATTTGCTGCTTTCTGTGCAGGCACTAACCAGCAGTGGAAATCCTTCCCTAATCTGTAGCATCCCTGCTTTTCCTTGCTCAGCAGCACGGCACAACATCCAGAGCACAAGGAGAGTGGCAAATTAAGGAACTTATCTCTTTTCAACAGCAGCTCTCGTGAGCTACTTTTCGAAGATCTGCTAGGAAGTTTAGGGTCTCATCTTGCCCGTGTTCCAGCCCAGCCTGTTTGCAGGTAGGAGCTGCGGTGTGGGCAGCGTTCTCCCGGGGCCAGCAGCGAGGGGAGCCTTCCCAGGTGCCGCCTACACGTTAAACTGTTGTGGAGCTCCACCTCGTGGAACAGGATCCCCCTTTTAGCTCGCAAACCTCTGAAACTCGGCTAGAAATAATCCGCTTTCTAACAGCACCTTGTGTAACTGGGAGTCTTCCTAATTTCCCTCTGCCCGCCTTACCTTGACGTGCACAACAAAGTCTTTGGAAAGCCCAGCGTATCCTGATCTTTCACCGGCTACTTTGCCTTGGCGATTGAAAGCCACAGTGTGGCCTGGGTAGCTGGCTGACTCAAGAATGGCACAGCTGTCTGGTTGGAGGTGAACACGGAGCTCACAGCACGCCTTGTCTTTGCTCTAACATAGTCAAAGAAGGAAGAATAAATTATGCGAACTATACGGCAAAATCCAAACCTGAGAGTATCACAGTATAGTTTCTGTGTTGTTTGAATTCCCATAATCCTAGCAGCCTAATACAAAAATCTTTCCATTTTTCAGATTTGCGGTCCTAATAAGGACTGAAATTGTGGACCCTGTGGAATTTGAGAGAAACAGTTCATTGTAAGATGACATAGAACTGACAATAATACAAAAGATACCTAGGTACTGCAGCTGGAGAGTTTGTCACAGCCTATAAAGATGGTAAAGAAGTATAAAAGTGACACAGACAGGAAATGAACCACAGTAATTCTTGGGCACTGGCCCATCTTTGGCATGGTTTCCTTTTCTGTTTGTCTTCATTCATTTATACTGTCCTCACAGAAAACACTCAGAGAATCATGAAATATGGTACTCTTTACATACTATTTACATGAAATAGTAAAGCAATACACTTTACTCCATGTTTGCCTCTTTAGCTTGGCAGGCTCTACGATCTCATTGCAAAAAAATCATAATTTAATATTTTATCAAAACATTTAGCAATAAATAATAATACATATTTAAATAGTTTATCCACTTATCATCATCCTCATATTTAAATAAAACTAGAATTTAAATCAATGTTAAATGCTAAAAATACCTCTAATAATTGATAATACTTCTGATTTACATCATCTTAGAATTTTCAAGACAACTAAGAGCCAATATTGTTATGGAAATTTTTAATTTTCAAGGCACTACCTTCTGAAAAAAAAGCTAAAAGAACAGTCTATTAGATACAATATATCTATAAAAGTAAAGGAAAAATTGTATGAAGTTTAGAAGTACTTGTGAAACAAGTAAGTAAGCATGTCCTCAAAGTACAATTAAGTATATAATATGAGGCAAATTGCAATTTTATGTAGCCTTTTTGTTCCTCCAACACCTGAGAGACAGATATCCTGTCTTAAAGGTGTCATAAAACATCAAAGACTCCCAAAGCACCCTCAGACTCTATTCTGAGGCCTTTCACCAGAGAATTGAAAGCTTCCCTTCACAAGGGGAGGTACCTGGACATTCCCACCTAAATTCTGGTCTTGTGAAGGACCAGAAGTCAGATTTCCATGATCCCTGTGGGTCCCTTCCAACTCAAAATATTCTCTGATTCTCTGATCAGAAGGAACTGGATTCTACAACTCCATTTACCTACCAGTATACTGAAAGTGATGAGGAAGAAAGATCATAGTAAGACTTGAAGCTGGGCTAAAACAAATCAAAATGCATCAAAACAAACCCTGGATTATACCAGTTGTTTTATGACTGGCATGTTACTTAAAAAAAAAAAAAAGAAAAAACACAAAGGAAAGGAGCATCAAAATTCAAGCCAGAGAATTTTTCCTTATCGAAAAAGAGGAGACATTAGGGTATTCCAGGTATCTTGTCAACATGTGGCAAACAAATATAAATGACATCTTGGAATAGTCTGGTATATCTGAATTAAAGAAATCAACCAAAGAATAAAAAAGTAAACTGTGAGAAAACAAATCCCTATCTCTAAAGTCACCTATTTATCAGCAGTTTCCTGAGTTCAGTTCTGCAATTCTTCACTCCTTATCAGACTGGAAATATTTATTAGACAGATTTTTAAAACTTTTTTTTTTTTTTTTCAATCAGAGAATGACATGTCTTTATGAAGCAGGAATCAGTAACACCTCTTCCTACCTTTCCAGTTACACGGCCACTGACAAGCGCAAGAGCAAGAGATGGCATCTCATGACTGCTGAATATACATCTATTTCCCCTTTTGACATTTACATCAAAAAGACCTAAGAGTTAAGAAAAAAAAAAAGTTAGAAATATGAAAGTATATTAATTCATATTTACATTTAATTACAATCAATGGTTTATCATTTTCAAGGGAAAAGAATTAATTCAGTGTTTAACTCAACAGTTTGACCTCTCCAATCAATAAATTCTCTCATTTGTTCAGGAAAGGGCATCAAGGGACTACTGTCTCTTTTGCTGCCTTGAGGAGAAAAGCCCTGAGAGGTAATGATAAGGAACAAATTTCTTTTTATCAGCACATATGCTTAAAAAAAAATCCATAAAAAGGAGCTGAGAACTCCAGCATGATGAACTGGGCTCTAGCAATGAATTTAGATGATAAATAACAGATGATGTAGGGAACATAAAGCTCTCAGGTAAGAAAAGAAAATTCATTTTCTCTATATCCATAATAGAATTTGTAAAGCAAATCCTGCAGCATACCTCATGGCTTCTCAAATTTTAAATCTGGCCAATTTTCCAAATGATTAACTCTTATAGCTACAAAATAGTGATGAAAGGTAAATTCTTGCCATTTTTATTGTTCCCAGGGACAACAATGATTTTTTTGAGCAACTGTTCTACCAGTCCATTATGTTGCCTTTTTGTAAGATGCAACTGTCTCTGGAGGAATCCTGCGGTGCCCTGATGCACTCTGGTGTGTTCTGAAAGATTCCATCACTTCCAAAAAGATCTGTGTAAGTTCTCTGTGTAAAGTCCCTGGCGAGATGTCAGAAAGACTGAGCAGCTCCATCACTACCAAGGGGATAAAATATGTGTACCTAATACAACATGTATTAGAGACAAGTGCTACTAATGCAATAGGAGTAAAGCTAAAGGGTGGAACTGGAAGGCTGCTATTAAAATCAGTTAAAAAAAATAGAATAAAATTAATTTATACATATATTCTCTATATGTGTACACATACACACATATTTATACTCCTTATTAACGAACTCTACAAAAATTTTAACTTGTTATCTTAGATGGATCTAGTTTCAAAACACTCCAGCTGTCCTTGACATGTGAGTTCTGTGGAAGCATCAAACTGCTGAAGACAAGACATTTTTCTATTTGATAAAGGAAAGCCAGCAACAAGACACCATATGAGAATGTGTGTGCATGTGTGTGTGTCTGTGTGTGTGTGTGTGTGTGTGTGTGTGTGTGAAGCATATATTTTCTGATTTTCTGAGTCCTTATAGTCACTAATACATGCATATTTTAAGCAAGGAAAATGTTTAGTGTGATTATCCACTCCTATCCATTTTAGGAATCTCAACGTTAAAGTCTTTCTTCCTTGTATCTCTCATGCAAACATCCAGATGGAAAATACTTTACCATATTTATTTTTCTTGTCACCAAGAGCATCAACTCTGCTGTCTGGGTAGAGGCAAATGAAGCCACGGGTGAGCCTGTTGTAAAATTGAAGTGTAATGCCTTTCTGAAATTTCCACCTTTCTGCAGCCCACTAGTTTTGTAAACAACAAACAGAAAAGACTTATGAGATGATATGCAGCAATTTGTCCTACAAAGCATTCAACTGACCTGATTTCACTCAAAGCATAATTTCAATGGTTTAAATTAAAATAAAAATATATACTCTTACAGTTTTTTCTCTCTTGAGTTCCAGCTCTTGTCCTATGCAGATAAAAAGAGTGTAATTAATTTACAGAGATCCTTTCTTCCCTTTGAGAGAGTTTTCTCCCCCACCAATTTTCACTTACTTCCTGGAAATGTGCTGGCATCTGTCACAGGCAGTTCTCTAGCAATACTGCCATCATCCTGTCCCTGGTCCAGCCACCTAAAAACCAGAACCTCTTTCAGTAATAACCTTCACTGGCAACTTCCAAAGTACGCATGGCACTTGGATATCGATACTTGCTGTCCTATGCATTAAAGTCTCAAGGCTGACAAACAGCAGTAAAAAATCCAGCTTTAGTAAAAAGAGATTAACTTCGGCAAAAAATTATTTCTGTTTCTTGTTCTTGGTGAAACATAAGTAAATGCTTTCTTTGGCTGAGGTACAAGGGCCTAACCCAATTTTTACAAATCAGTGAGCTCATATTCATCCCAGATCAATAATGAATTGTGCAGTGGTCACGATGTTTGTTCTTCCTATCTGCAAGAAGACTACAGCAAGATGCAAATTATTCTGTGCCCTGAAAATCCCTATAAGAGGAGGCAAATCCAACAGTGGCAACAGTTTCACCATGTCTGAACTATACTTTCACAATGCCTTTTTTACACATCTACTTATGTAAGTCTAACTCCATTTGAGTCAAAAGCATTCACACACCCAGAGCAAGACGGCAAGCACGGCATCAAACTCTAACAATAGCTAGCACATACCCTGTATTTTTCTGCCTGAAATGGAGTTGAACTCTCCCTAAATTATGTATGAAGCCAGCATTATAGATCTCTTCATAGCAGTTCATCTCATCTAGAATACAGACTCAAAATTAGGTCAGGCAAGGATGAGGTGCTGTATCTGATAGGCAGAAAGCCCTTATTCACACATAAATCAGTTTCAGTGTGCACATCGCTCACTCTGGGCTGTCTCAGGCAGTTATTTATTCACTCAGAGAAGTGAGACCAGGAAATAGAATTGGGGTGCCACTGGCAGGCTGCAGCTTGACTCTTACGTGACTGGACTTTACCGTTCCTAATATTTGCACTGATAGTTATAGATTAAAATTTTTCCACAAGGTGTTGGGAATTAATCAGACATAGATAAAACTGTAAATGAGTTACAGAACAGAAGATTCTGAGCAGCAGCATCTACAGGGGAAAAGGCAGGGAAGTTGGGATTGCTTCAAATTACATTGCAGCTCAGCAAGAGGCTGAAAAGCACATGACTAAAGGGGATGTGGTCAGGTAGCTGCATTTGTGATTGCCACTTCACAGGACCTTAAAGTCTGATCCTGAGCTGACTGAACCCCACATTCGTCTCCATACTAACTTCAGTAAATCAGGAACAGTTTGCTAGAAAGACAGCAAGCCACTCTTCTGACTGCACTGCATGACATGGAAGAATGGATGAACCTGCTGGTGTCAGATACAAGGTACTGGGTATGGGAAATGTGTAACAAAAGCCTATCTTAAATAGTTCAAAAGGTGCAAGAATGGAAAGTCCCCAGGCAGGACTTTTTACTGCTTTTACCTTAGTTCAAATGCACCAGATGTTTGAGGCAGATACAAGTCTTAGAGCTGTAAGAAGAATCAGACAGCTCACTTCTTAGGAAATATGTATTTCCCCTTACAGGGCATTTCAGGAGAAAAACTAAGAGTAGTTACAAATTTATTAAAAATTTAACCCAAATCAAACACAACTAACCTGTGACAAAGAAAAGTATAATCCAAATCTGTTACAGGATCCTTGATCACAACTTTTTCCAGAAACCATCCATTTCCTTCGAAGAAATAAAGTTAAAAAAAAAAAAAGTTTCTTCATGAGAGAAAAATTTATGTATTTAATTATGTATGACTTCCTGTAGTTTTCTCTTTTTTACTGGAACTGCAAAATCTGCATCTACACTGGCAGGTTGCAAGAGCCACAGTCTCCACTCGCTGGAGACAAGAGTCTCCAGTCTCAGAGCTGGAGAGAGGACAGTACCTGCTCCAGGTACTCTAGAGATTCCTTATGGGCCTGCAAGCTGCTGGGTCTCTCCCTGGCTACATCCCTCCCTCCTTTAACATTGCCATCATATGAGACTTATTCATTTTGCCAAACAAAATATCAACAAAATTAGATAGCAGCTTATAGGCCCAAAATAAGTTATATTTACAGTATTTAGGCTCAAGAGTTGGAAAAGTAGGACTTGTGACTTCAAGCATTTTAATTTTTACCATTAACTGGAAGTCTAATGATAAGATAGTGCTACAAAAATCTTCAATTGTATCTTTACAGTGTAACTGATAATGCTAATCCATCTAAAATTATATTGGCTCATTTTGACTCTAATACAAGACACAATCAATGTCTTAACATGCAAACATTCCCCCTCTCCACAGTTTTTTATAGGGATTAGTAAAAATTACTGTCAGATGCTGTTCTTAACATAATGGTTGAGAGTATAGTGAAAGTGAGATTTCTGACCTGATCCAAGCCCATTGTGTCCTATTACAACCTTGTACAAACATCCAAGGTGCACAGCTTCAACAGCAAAGATGTCAGTCTGTAATCAACCAACAAAATTTCAGAAAAATCTAAAAAGCATAGCATTCTTCAGCCACAAAATTGCGAATACCCATAAACCCTTATAACTCTTTTGTCAAGATCATCATTTGAAATATTAGCTGAAACAGTGGCAGAAGCCTGATCACTTTGCTAATGAGAGTAGTGCCATTCAAATGAATGGGATCAGAGTCAGGAAAGAAAAATCAGTTGAATGGCTAAGCACATACAAATTACAGCATATGTCAACATTAGAAATGCAGATAAAAAATGAAAATTTGTTTCCTCTTCGCTTTTTAAACCAAATTTTTAGAAGAATGAAAACCAAAAGTACACAGCTTACCTATTTTACAAATGAAAATTCTCACTTTCAAAAGCAATGGTATAACATTAGAAAGTAATAGGAAATACTTAATTAAGGAATTCTGGGGAGCCATTGGAATACAGTGATCATCTCTTTTCTAATTGCAACTTTCTTGGATGTACCACCCACTCAAGAGAGAAAAGCCAGCCAAAGACACCAAAAATGCTCTTTCACTTACTTGTCCTTTTAAAAATTTCTTGGATTTCTGTGACCTGAGCAGCTGTCTTGATCCTGTATCACCTCTTTCTCCATAGACAGAAATATAGACATCAGCCTCAGTTGCAGCATTCCACAGGTCTCCTGTTGTCACATGAACTTTGTAGACAGTCACTGAAAATAAAAGATGACAACTTTTCATATCACAGGCACTATTATAGTTACAATAACATCTAGCTGGCTGTAGAGTCCAAATACACCGGTGTCAAGGACAGAGTATAAAATATTAAAAGTGCTATTCAATAAAATAAAATACAAACTTGCTTTTATGTTTTTTATATTTTCTACATTTATTGTTGTGTCCCAGGCTGTCATTTGTGGGGAATGCAAACAGAAGTTAATTCTAAATGCCCAGTATTGGTCCTGCAGCATCATTTGAAATCATCATAAACTGAAAAGTAAATAATGTAAATCCCAGATCGGAGTCACCGTAAGTGGTGAGATCAAAACTGTAAAAAGGAATGGGAGCCATTATCATTTTGAATGTACTGGTTAACCAAATAGGCTAAAACCTAGCACCATCGTTTCAGTTTCCAAGGACCTGAAAACTCACTGTTTTATTATTTTAGCCATTCATGTTTAGGGTACAATCCTAGAATGGTTTGCTTTGGAAGACACCTTTAAAGACCACCTAGTCCAACTCCCCTGCCATGATCATGGACATCCTCAGCTACCTCAGGTTGCTCAGAGCCATGTCCAGCCTGACTTTGAATGTTTCCAGGGTTAAGTAACCTCTCTATATTCCATATGGAAATTTTTTTAAGGATATAAATTTAGGAGGAAAAAACTAAACTTAAATTCAATAAAATTAAACAGTTTAATAATTACTTAATTACTTATTAATTACTTAATAAAAATGGATAATGCAAGTAAGATTAAATTTGAGTCAAAACCTAATGAAACTGAAGGCTATGATACATAAAAATATCTACCAATATCAAACTGTGGTCCTTAAAATGCAGATGCAGGAGCTCCATAAAATTCAGAATTAAGATAAAACATGCAATCGTAATCTTCAGTATTAACATGGGAAAAGCAAAATTTATGCCAACATACACTAACAATGTCTTTTTAGACCAGGTGAGGTACAGAGAGAATGAAAGGGGAAGAGAAAACCTTATTTTCTGGCACACAAGCTCTTCTTCCAAGGGTAGATGTCTGTGTGCTTCTCTGTCTTGCAAACAGAAAAGAGTTTCTGAATCACTGGGTCAGAAACAACATCAACATTATCATCATTCAATTGTCAGTTTCTATTTGAAACATGTTATGAAGATTGGCTGTAATTCTCTGAAGAAGGTTGCTTCCAAATCTCACTCTTCTGATGGCCAAACACCTTCCTTTTATAAGCACTGAAGATGTATTTACCATCAGTCTGTATCTGCAATTATGCTAGGTGGCTGCTCAGTGTTACAATTCTTCCCTTCATCCTATTTTTTTCACTATTATCTCCCACTTATTTACATGGTATTTTTTGTGCTTGTTACTAAACAAGCTTTCTTTAAAGAATTCAATTCAGATAATGGTAACAATTTGGAAAAAACACTTAACAGCCTGTACAGGTTTTAATGTGCCCACACAGAATGCTAGTGGTAGTTTCCTTCTGACATGAGAGCTAACTCATTTTGAGATCAGAGCCTCTGAGCTCCTCTGAAATATGTTGCAAAGATCAGCCACATTTAACACACAGAAGCTTTTGACATTCTTTAGTTAGCAGCAGAATCAGGCACTATCTTTCCCAGTGTATGCCTGCCTCAATACTCAAAGTAGTTTTCATTAAGCAACTGTTAATTCATACTGCATTATACCCTTATAATTTCATATGTCCCTACCTGATCTATTCGCTTGACCAATTTTTTCTTTGCAACACCCACATGAACACATGTCCCATGAGCAGACCACAGCAGAGGAAGAGAATTAATTTCTCTCTGGACCAAAATTCCATGCATAGGACCACAACAATCCTCTATCGCAACAATTGCCTCCTTCAATAGCTACCTACTTTATAATTCCTGCAAGAAGAAAAGCAAAGGTCCACCAGCTACCAACACTGTGTAACCCTGATTTATTCACAGGATATAATTAATGATTGTGTCATAAACTATGAGCAGACAGGGACAGAAGTAGAATGGCAGAGGATAAAACGTCAAATGAATGCTGCTCAGTCCTCCAGCATTACAGTAACAAAGTGTCTGTGTAACTCTTCTTAACAGTTTAATTCCCATGTTCTTCCTTTGAATAAAAAAGAATGTTAAACCAGAGAGTGTTTCAGCCTCTTTTTATTCAGAAATTGGTTTTAAAGTGCCTCTCATCATCTCTCTTTCACATTGAATCCAGATCCCTTCACTGTTCTGTTATCAAACTATCTTCTCTGAAGTTGAAAGCTGTGTTCCCTTTTCACTGTCTCATGCAGAAATATGACACCGGCAAAAAGACACAGAGGCCGTCTTTCAATTACTAAATCAGAGATGAAACTGCCTTCTCCAAAGCCTTCTGCATGACCCTTTTTACACTGAATCAGGTAGAAATGCACAGAAGCTCTTTTCTTTCTCCCATGTGTGAGGGAGAAATTGTTAACTACAAAATGCAGATTGAGAGGTTGGTTGTAAGTGTGCCTTTGTGCTTTTCATACACCGAAGATTACTTGGTAATAAAAATCTTTCATTGTATCTTTATTTCAGAAACAATTGAAACCTGCTACTCAGAAAGAGCCCAAAAATTAGGATGTTCAGAGAATCACAGAATATTCCCTTCTGTTGGAAGGGACCCACAGGGATCATTGACTACAATTCTTAAGTGAACAGCCCATATAGGGATTGAATCCACAACCTTGGCATTATTAGCACTATGTGCTAACAAACTGAGGTTGTTGAGATCTGCACCTCAGAATATTTAAATGAGAGAACTTTTGGGAAGAACAGATACTGCAAATAGGGGAATAGAGCATATTCAATGTAGTATGTCAATTATCATTAATTAGTGTTTATTCAAAGGGGTGAGGAGGCACTTTTATACCAGTGTGTTTGTATGTCCCCCTATACAAAAAATAATAATCTCCTGGCCAAAGAGACCAAACCTGTGAGGAAGCAGGCTAAGTGCCTCTGAGGCTTCTCATGTCATGAAGATCATGACCACCCAAGACCAAAATTCATTGTGGTTAGTGTGGACAGGACCCTCTCTAGAGCACTTTATGAGCCTAATGTTTTATGTTGCTAAGTACTGGGGGAAACCTCTCTCGTTATTCTTTCTCTCTTAAAACATACTTTTGAGGCACAAACCTGTTTCTTCTGATCTTCTTGTTAGGTTCTTAATCTCAGAGCTCAGACATCACAGGGAAGCATAAATATAACTTCAGGTCACCTTATGACAAGAGCAACTGTCCCAAGGTATGCTTTCCCACATCCATGGGCCATTTTCTGGCCTTCCATTTTATTTGTATATATCTTCTGCCTCTAGCCTGCACCCACAATATCTATTACCACTGAAATACCTGTTACAATTTCTACTTTACAGGATCAACACAAGAGACCACAGGCACACCATAAAGCACTGATAAACTGTTAAACATTCTGGAAAAGGGGTTCCATAATTTTTAGAGAACTCAGAGCGGAAATTTCTCTCATCCTATTAATTTTGTCCTCTGCAGTTATGATTTTTGTGGGGAAGAGAAGAGGAAATGTCCCAGGTGGATATTGTTCTAGTGAAGTCCTAGCACAAATAATACCAGTGGGGTTATGGCTTTTCCTCCTCTAGCACCATGCCTCAATGTGATGCAAATCTGCCACAGCATTCTTACCCCCTCACCCACATCTCTCCCAGGACACACTGATCTTGCTAAGCCCTTGTAATTTTCTTAGAAATTTTCCTGAAAAGGACAGTGCCAATTGGAGAGAAAGGAAGAACAAACACAGACTTTCCACTCCCTTTCCATTGATCAAGCAGATCAATTTTATAGCAAAGCAGGGATTTATAGCAAAGCATAGCAACATCAGGGACTGGTGTGGTAGATCAGGACACTAAAACAGTGCAACAGCAACAGCCAATAATTTTCATATCCTTTGGAATCATTCATCTTTAGAATTACAATAAAATCTCCATGTGAATAATGGAGATTTTAACACTTACAGACCCTTGAAATATTTATTCTGAAAGTTTTATTCCACACCCAAAAATTAAAAGGACTCTGGAATCTGAGCCACTTACCAGAAAGAGACTAAAACAGCAACTACAATAGTAATTCTGGAGCTATAATCCTCACTTATTGAAAACAGAGTCTGTGACCTGACTCATATGCTGGTCTCATGGTGTTTGCGTGTCTGACATGTCTTTACTATTGCCTTTATTTTAAACCAAACACAAGCACTGAAAATCTTACCAAACAAGGAATCCATTTAAAGAACGTGTGAAATTCAAAGCATTAAAGACTCTCTCGACTCTTTTCCAGAGTTTTTTAACCTTTTACCTGAGTATGAACAGTAACAACAGGAAAAGAAAGCAGAAAAAGTGATGTGGCAGCCAAAAGGTAACAGAGGGCCTGATGAAAAACAACAAAATCACCCCTATCAATATCAGTCTGGGGTCTGACTTTGCTGATGTGGTATCGTGCTTACCTGGAAGAATAGGCTGACCCTGGTATAAAACAGGAAGCTCCACAGATACTTCCCCACCAGCCTGATCCTCAGCCAGCCATTGATGTGCCGGGAAAGAGAACTGCTCCCCTGAGAAAAGGTTCAGCAACTGCACCTAAATAGCACCAAGAATTCCAATTTAACTTGCTGATCTCAGACCAGATGGAACAGAACATGAAAAGTGTGGGATGCTGTTGAAATCTGTGCAGGTACATCTTTGTGGGATGACCACAAAACCACAGCATTTCTGCTCCCTGGATCCAACTGCCCAAATCTGACTTTTCACTCAGCCATATTTGAAAGCTCAGGGCAGAGTAATTCAAGTGCAACCGAGACACAGGATTTTGTCAGCTCAGGAGCACTCCCACAAGCCACAGCTGCTGTTCCAGCTGGTACATCCGTGGGGGCTGGCACTAGGTGGCATGGCTTACCAAAGACGGAACTTCTCACTGGGGAGCTTGTCAATGCTTGTATCTACATTCCCTATACTTTTAGCAGAATAGGAATTAAAGGGGCAGGTTTTGATTCTTCAACACTCCTTGTGACATAAATAAACTATGAAAGTGCTAGCCCCAATACCAGCTGAGGCCTACACAATGCCCTACATTATTTACTTCCATATCCACCTTCAAGCACGTAGCAGCAAAAGGACCATATGCACACCAGCTGAAGGAGGAAAAGAGGCTAAGTTATTTTGTACTTCAAAGTGCTCCTTAGTAAGCATTTCAGAGGCTGCTGCATGTTCTAATAGTCCTTGATTATGCTAATTTATACCCATATCTACACTAGATTTTGGATCAGCAGAGGGAAGGAAAGACACTCCTACTTGTAGCTTCACTCTGTGCTTTGCAGAATCTAATCTCCTTAATTTGAATATTGAACAAACTCAGAATTTCTGGAAACAGTTTTATGTCTTTTGCTGCACGAATATTAAACTTTAAAGACAAAGATTCATCTTGTTTGAAAAACATGGCACACCTTAGCCTGACAACATCTGCTGATGAAGCCTGAAAAGGAAATTTGGATTAGAGAAGCAGCAGCTTTGTGGACATTTCCTGGTCTGATATCATCTCAGTACAGATACAGACACAGAAATCATGGTACACTCATGGAAAACTAGTGTGCCTAACTACCAGAAAAGGTCTGTGGTTGTAGAACACGCTGCTTTAATTTTAGTTCTTCCTGAAAAAAAAAGTAGGTTTCCCAAGAAACAGTGATACTAAGTGTCTGTAGGTTGTTCCTCTTGTGTGAAGTCTAGAAATCAATCCATTCCTTTGTCTCTGACTGTAGGGTTTGAATGTATTTCTTTTTTTTTTTCTTCTTTTTGACTTTGCGCACAAAGTCGCAAAGAGAGAATGACCTGGCCCTGGCTGATGAACCACTCTCTAAAAACTGTATCTGATGGACTGAGATTCCATAAAAAGACAATTAAAATTTATAAATAAATAACTAATGGAACACACTGAAGTGCTGAGGTTTTTTTAATTTTACTGTTGATTTCAATTAATATATCCTAGGTGGACAGAAGTAAAATAATAACTTTTCATTTTTCTCTTTCATTTTTTGTCAGACTTCCTCAGTCTCTCAAATGTCTGTCCCCAAAACTCAATACAGCTGGAAAACAAATACCTAGGTTTTATCATCAGGCAGTCATCACTTGAACTGAAAGAGAAATAATCCCCATAATTCTATCATGAAACCTCTTAGAGTGATAATACATGGTATTTCAGTGTACACATGAACTGGCTAGAGGTATGAACTCACAGGATCTTGCCTAAACTTCAGTTAACACTTCCCAGATCTCAGTCTTCCTTCTGAGTCACAGGCCCAGGTAAAAACAAGCATCAAATAGCCAGATATTTTGACCACTGATCAATGAATATTTGACTTCACTGGGAACTTTGCATCAGATAGATCTAGATATACCGTGAAATATAATTTTAACATTGAGTTCACCAGCAGCTTCTGAAGTTCTTCAGAAATTGCAGTCTCTCAACTGAGAGATAAGAAACTCTGGTACAAAGAAGAAGGGTTTCAGGCCTGCGTAGCACATAATTGGCACACATAGTATCACATTGGATATAGGATAAAAGTCAGATCCTTTAATTTCCAGTCCAGAAACCTATATATTATGCTTCCCAACCAAACCTTGAAGTGCAACTAGATCATTCTCTTTGCTCTATTATATTTGCTTAACCTGCATCAAGATAATTTTTACATAAGGAGGGAAAAGGACTTCTTATTGTCTTTTTCTTATCAGAGACACAGAACTAGAAACATTTGCAATGTAGCTCTGGTGCTGTACATAGGGACCCATAGGCATCAGCCACAGATTTGGGGAGAACTTGGCTAGACTTGGTTCAATGATTTTGTGGGTTTAAACAAATCCTAGGCACTTTATAGCATGCAAAGACTGTAGAAGACTCAGACTATATCTGCTAAATTAAGTAGTCTTTTTTGCTGCCCAGCCACACATTTTTTAAGAAACCTAATGTATTAAATTGTAAACAGCCAAACCAGACATCATAAGCTGCTTTAGTTCCACAAAAAAAAACATTCTTTCATAAGTAATCCTTTAAATGAAGATGAAAGCATTTGATGAAGCTAATATAATCCCAGGGATTTTTTTCTTACTCATATTTTGAATGCAATGTCATAGTGACTGATTTGGACAGATAAAATTCTTTCTCACTGCTTTTACCTCTTTGCAGTGCCAGGCAGGGGAGTTCCCTGTATTTGTATGTCCTATTCGTATTTTGTAGAGATGTCCTACGTTCCTAGTATTGACCTGTGAAAGAAACACAACTAATGAAACAGAATATTTGCTAAAAAGAAAAGACATGAAACAAATTAATTTAGTAACTGTAAGGTGAGATTTTAATTAGAGGAATTAAATATTCTGACATTTAAGCAAGTCTTTCATCCTTAGACTTTTGGGTCTTCTAAAAGACAACCCTCAAAAATCCTATTGGCCTGCCAATCATATTCAAATATCTTCAGGAAGTTGTTGTGGTAATTCCTGAGTGAATATTTGCCTCACTGGGAGATGAATAGAGACCATATATATGACTGAAAGCAAAAGCATCTTGACCCTAAAATCTATCTCAGTTCAGCATCTATATTAGCAACCTGCTCCAAAACTATTTTTGTCTCCCACATACCTCTGAGCTTCATACCTCTGATACACCCTCCAGGGTGTATGTCTTACCACTTTTTGGAAACAATTGTGTTCAGCTTTGATGCTTCTTTTTACAAATAATTTCAATTAAATCAAGTTAAAAAGCTGTATTTGAAAGATTAGCTCTTGGGCAAGCTGGATGAATATGTCCAGTACAGATAACAGGGCACTGAAGGAATAACTTTGTGTAAAGGTTATTCAAACAACCTTACTATGAACTTAAGCGTAGAAATAGAAAGCTTATCTTCAAGGAACTGGAAGTACACCATCAGTCTTCCTTTCTCACTGTGTAATTTATTTTGTTATAATGTAGGCTTGATTTTTCTCTCCTTCTGTTGTTTTCCATAGAATTAATTTTCATGTTCTCATGGACATTGTATAGATGGGTGTGAACTGAGTTCCCTGTATCATGAATTTCTCTGAACTCAGTGGTATAAATGATAAAGAGACAAAGCAGTGAGGACAGGCCATGGCTATGTGCAAATACAGTGCAGTCAGAGATCCTTTTCTCTTTCTATACATTTCAGAGTTGGTTCTCCTTAATTGTATTCAATGCTATGAATACTTGCCTAACAGGGGAATCCTAGGTTTCAAACAATGGGACTGTCCTCCATATTTTGCATTTAAAAGTCATTGTAGGTGAAATTAATTTCAGTAATAGCAAACAGCCAACAACATCTATTGTGAAGAGTGTCTTTTAATCTGTCAGGACCTGCTTACTTGTTTTATCCACTCCTTTCAATCTGGCTGGTTTGATATCACAAATGGAGAATGAAATTCTGTATCAGGGGTGCTGGATTCTTCTGAGAAACTCCATAGGCTGAAAAGGGATAAGACCTGCACTTCCTGCATCCCAATCATCTATGGGGCAATTGTGGAAAAGGTGAGTTCTTCATCAATGCTGCCACCTTTTCTTAGAGGGGGAGTTGCTATGCTGGATATTAATGATGGAAGCACCCATTTGTCATATGGCCCTATAGCAGACACCTGTAGACAACCCCTCACAATCCTATTTACACACTCAAGCTATGCAGATTGTGATAAGGGACCTAGTCTGGCTCACCTAAATCACTATGTTATAAGACTGATTGAGAAGAATTTGTTTGTGTAACTGGAAGCAGAAGTAGTTTCAGATAGATTTATTACAGGCATAAAATTTGCCACTATTTCACTAAAGCAGCAGGTGTTTAACAAAGTTAAATTTTTATCATAATTCCTCACTTCCTCATTTAATTTTTAATATTGTAGTCCTGTTTCAAATTTGCAAACAAAACAAGTATCTGTTGTCATACATTTCTTGGTATTTTCTTGGGCACTATGCAAATAAAACACTAGTTCTTCAACAGACAATAAACATATTGCATCAAATCAGCTCTGGGTGAGTGGGAAAGGATATTAAATTTAGCTATACATTTAAGTGTTGTTTCTCATTTCTAGATATGTGTAACATACAAAAAGCTGCCTTTTATCACATAGAGTTTGAAATGTCATGCAACCTGGCAGGAAGCAAAAGGGTAACAATGAATACATGTTACTTACTGTGAAGATGTCTTCATTGCCTCTCTGAAATAATTTTCCCTTCTCTCCATCAAGAAAAATAGGACCTGAACTGCCACGATCTCCATACAATGCAATATAAACCTTTGAGCTTGTTCCTGCAGATGGCACATCACTGGTGAAGACTGACACATTCCATTCCCTAGCTATCAAAAGATGAAAAGACTTGATGAATTACTTAAAGTCAAGATTCTTAAATAAAATGCACTTCAGTAATCAAAATTTTAAATAATAGCATGTCAATGAATACAGAAATATGTGTTTCACAAAATTACAGGAGGCAAATATTGAGTTTGCTGTGTTGGGCATGTCATGAAATGTCAGGTTGTATTCATCTTTTATTCTAAATGTCCTATATGACCAAGTCAAATTTGAATGAACGTAGATCACCTTTCAAACACAGATTGAAATATTGTATTAAATATGGGGTTCTCTTTTCTTAGGATATATCAGCTCTGCTCAATGCAGTGCTGTGTAATGACAGCCTTGACACTCATCACTTTAAATATTAGGGACTCTGAAAGCAAATTAGCTCTGCTGAAAAAGAACTGCTTAAGGATCTGTATCTCTCCAAAAGTGTGATCAACTACACAGATGTAGTACCTAGTTTGGAATCCACTGAAGCTTTACCAGCACAAGAAGGACTTTGATCTGTTGAAGAAAAACCAGAGGGGGGCAGCAAGGTAATCAGAGGGATGAAGAACCTCTGCTAGGAGGAAAGGCTAAGAGAATCAGCCTGGAAAAGGGAAAGCTCTGGGATGGCCTTTCAGTAACTGAGAGGAGCCTAGAGGAAAGATGGAGAGGGACTATTTACAAAAGCATGTAGTCACAGAAAAAGGGACAATGGCTTCAAACTGAAAGAGGACAGGTTTAGATTAGATATTAGGGAAAAATTCTTTACTGTGAGGGTGGTGGGGCACTGGAATATGTGGACCAGAGAATCTGTGGATGCCTCATCTCCGGAAATGCTCAAGATCATGTTGGATGGAGCTCTGAGCAACCTGTCCCTGACAGGTCAGGGACCCATCACTGCAGGGGGTTGGAACTGGATGGGTCTTAAGGCCCCTTCCAGCCCAAGCCGTTCATCAGTGGAAGCTAAGTACCAATGGCCCAGAATTTAGGGAAATGGTATCACTGGTGGATACTCTTCTCAACAAGGTAAATTTGATCAATTCCAAAATTGTCATAGCTTGAACATATTAAACTGAATGTATAAGAAAAAAATAACAACTGTGAGATCTGAGAAAGAGAAGTAACTGCAGACACACATTTGCTATCAACAAAGCAGTGTGAGCTTCCTCAAAAGTTGCTGTAATCTGCTTTTGCCACAGCTGCAATTAGCTGATGATTGAATTCCTTGTTTTGCTCTGCTTGTGTGTGCACCTTTTGCTTTACTTACTAAACTTTATTTCAATCCATGAGTCCTGTCTCCTTTATTATCTCAAATCCCACTGGTGGGGAAGTAAGCAAGCAGCTGTGTGGGGCTTAGTTCTGACTGGGGCTAATCTGTGACACAATGTGAGAAAATTGTATTGACTATTCCCCTTAACTCTTAGAGTAGATCAACATTGTGATTAGATTAATGATATTTGATATCATTAGTGCTATAAAAGTTTAGGTACTCGTTTAATAGTGATACACTGAACAATGCATTGAACAATGGTCTTCTTCTGATATCCTTAGAATTAAGATAAATATGCCTTATGCATTTCAGAGACTACAGCCATGATGATTAGAGGAAATGAAGAAAATATTTATGTAGGAGAAAAAGTTGAGAAAATGTCTGATTTTGTTGATAGATACCAAGGAGGAAAAAGAGAAAATTACAGTGATGGCTTTGGGACACGTATATAAACTAACCATGAGTAGGCTGAGTATGGAAACTAGAAAACATTCAAGACAGACATCAGAAACTGTACTCAAGCTCTAGAACACGTGTCTGGTGGAAGCTGTAATGACTACAGACAAAAAGATTTAAAATGGGATTTAGTAATTAAATGGAATTGCTTACCTAATTGTGTAGTTTCCTTCTAGCAAGCCGCTAAACAAGATAAACTGGGAGTTCCTGGGACTGTGATCTATATGTTACGCTGGCTGTTTCTTTTTAAATTATGGGAAGACAAAAACTGAATTCTTTCCAGATGTATGGCATACTCTCTATAAATCCCAAAATGTTTGTTGAATGCTTTTCTATCTTATTAAAGCAGCTCAACACCTCACGGTGTTTTTGCCTCGGTCAATCAGTATGTTACTGTAGCATTCTGAGGTTCTCTCTTCAGCTTTCTCCAATCTTAACTATGAAAACAATTTTATCCGTGCATTTCAGACACCTGATACTCTCTGTCTTTGCTTCAAGTTTCACCAGGGAGGGTGCAATTGGATTTCAGATTGGATTTCAGATTGGATGACAGGAGAAATTACTTCACTGAAAAGGTTGTCAAGCATTGGTGGCTGTTCAGGGAAGCAGTTGAGTCACCAACCTGAAGGTATTTAAAAGATGTGTAGATATGGCACCTGGGGACATGGTTTAATAGTGGACTTTGCAATTCTGGGTCAATGGTTGGACTCAGAGGTCTTTTCTAACCTAAATGATTCCACAGTTCTCTGATCTTCCCTGTGCTACTAATGAATATATAAACCCTATGACAGTATGATACATCTCACTGTCAACCTTTTGTCCTGCTCTGAGGTGACATTTTATTCCTTCTCTTTCAGTTAACCTACAGAAATCAAAACCAAGTCTTTCAGTTAATATTCATTTCACCACTTGCTGTGGTCTCTGCTAATTGCAACCTGAGGGAGTACCTCACATCTCATGTTTCCAGGGCTTAGTTTGCTCGGTAACTCTCAGTAACTCAGCAATAAGGATCTGATTAAAGATTACTGAACCTAGATCTGGAAACCCTGAAGTTTTGTGAATGCAGCACAGAGTGCTGTGAAACCAGCAGAAAGGCTGTGGGTGATGGAGACATATACAACTATTAATTTACCTATAAATTAGACATTATTTACAGCACAGAATGCTATATAATATTCAGATGGATTGTAATAATTTTGAGTTGCATTTTTCAAACAAAGGTTTTATTTCTGTATTGACATATAAAGGGATGAAAAAATACCACTGAGACTCTTCACTTGGAGCAGCTCTAAAACATGTGAAGAAGGACACCAAAAGAAGTGGAGATGGACAGAGGAATATCAGAAAACATGGCAGCATAGGAAACTATACACACCTATTTGGTGTGAAATATATTAGACAATACATCTTGCTTTAGAGTTATAACTTGAGCTTATTACATAGAATACACTGCTTCAAACAACAGAAATATAACATTAATTTAGGGGGAAATATATCAGCCACTGGACTTCTGAAAAAAATGAGTGCTTCTCGTTTCCTACCTGTGCTATAAACCCCTTTTGCTTCACATCCAACTTCCACTTCCCTTCCACATGCCCTCTGTCCCACACAGACACAATAAAAGCCTCTGGCCCAAGAGGAATTTGCATCAGCCTTTTATTAGGTCCCCAGTCTGGATAATCATAGGATCATGACCCAGGGTTTATCACAGCATGTACATGCTAGTTATTCAAGACAGTCTTCAAGAGTACAGAATAGCCAAATTCTCATTCCCTACCTGAAAAGTGGCACCTTCTTTTTTCAGTTATATCTCTGACTTCATTGACATTGAAGAGAGGTACTGTGCAGTAATTAGAATTAAAAGCTAACCAAAAAACTGAAACACTCTCCCTAATCACAATATTCATTAAATATTTTCCAATTTCATGTGTTATATCATTTACTGAAAATTGTAAACCATATATAGCTACTTACTACATAGATGCATTATTAAAAAAATGCTGTAAACAGGTATCCAAAATAACTCTAAGAATAGACTGAGAAATCCTGGAACATATTGCATATAACTTAGATTCTCAAAATACAACATATTTACAAAAAAAAAAAGAAAACTAAACAAAAAAGCCCACACATGCACAGAAAAAAACCAAAACACAAAACCACAAATACAATCTTTAAGTACAGACAGAGATTAAGTTAGAACACACAACTAAAACTTTCAGTACATGTAGAACAATTTTAAGAGTAAGTGGTGCTGCATCAGAAGGAAATATGGCAAGAGTAGTCAGGAAGTCCATTGACAAAGAGTCTCTGTTCTCACTTCCTAAATATGCCCCTTTTCTAGTGTCCTCTGAGTTAAAGAGGCCAACTTTACTTGGTGTCTGGATGATCCTACATGGAAAATCTCTTTACTCACATACATGTTCAGCAGCTGACCTTTAAAATTTCAAACAGCAATTTTATAATGTTCATCTATAAAAAACTAACATGACCTCTGTTTCCTACTTGTTATTGCATTACAGCATTTGAATAGTATTTCCTACTTTTCATTTCAAATTAAATATATCAGTTGACTTTCTTCTGGGAAAAACATTTCTACTGAAAGGCAGTCTTCAAGCTCCTTCTCAACTGTCATGGAATACAAAAATCTTCTTAGAGCTTGGGCAGGTATTTCAAATTTCGGTTCTCTGTTGAAACAAGTAGCCATCATGTCTCTAAAATTAGATGACTGGTATACAACTACCTCTTAACAGATAATATTTCAGGGAAAAACTGCTTCCTATCTGAGAAATCATTGCCTTAGAAGAAAAACTTTTCTTCATGTGGTGTTTCCCATAAAAATGTAATTAATATTTGTATTTCAGCACTGATATACAATTGTGACTTATTTTGTCTAGTTATTCACACTGGGAGTTTTATTAGTTGAACTGTTCAGCAGTTTATTATGTGATTTTTTTATTTTTTTTCTGAAGATGTTTTTACTAATCTAATGTGATGGAAATTCCAAGATCTTTATTATGAGTCATTCTCATTGTTACTATTTCCGCTGTTCACTGTAGAAGAGCAAATTACTTCTTCTTTGTCTTCTTCTTCTATAGGAAAGGCATTTTTGTTTTTCAGATTTTCAGAGGCTTTGTGTTCAATGCTATTTAAGGAAGTGTCACACTTCAGAAATGTTTCAGAATGACAGGTTTCTGATGGATCTGCCAACATAGGAGAAAATTTTTCTTCAACAATATACATTAAATTTATTCTTAAGGTTTGACATATTTTTTTCTTTCCATTGGATAGCTCAGTATTTGTGCCTGTGACTAGATCACTGGGTTCGTGTTTGGATATACCATTTTGACAATTTCTGGCTTCCATGGGGTTTGCATTCATATCCTCTGAAATATGTAACTCCCCTAAAATATTTGTGTCCTTCAAAGTTGAAGATGCAAGTATTCCAAAGTTACTAATAAAATCTAAGGTGTTATCAGCATAAAACCTATTAAAGATATTATTGGCAATCTTACTGATAGAGTTGTTTTTCAAAGTGACATGATTATTTTTGTCTGTCAGGTCTTGACCTGGCCATCCTAAATGTTTGCTCTTTTTGGCCAACATATTTTGACCCATCTGGTTCTCAATATCAGATGCCTTTTGGTAGGCATATCCTCTCTGCTCCTCATTAATTGGTATTACTGTTACCATCAGTATTGGACAGTGTTGGCCACATATCGCATGGAGCCTATCCAGAGAATCTTCTTCATGAGGAGCACTTCTATCCACGTTACTAGCATTAGTTGGCTGAGACTGGATGGGCACAGCATTTGAAGGCTTTTCCAATGGATGTACCTTGTTATCAGGCAATCTAAATTCCACAGATGAAAAGGCTGGAAAATTGGTGTCAGCCTGTGTGGAAGTAGAACCTGCCATGGTTGATGGATTGGTCATGTCTTTGTTTGGTGCAGGAAGGATCTTACCACTGCGAATAGGTTTGCCTTTTGTATTTGACTCATCCTGAAAGGGGTCTGAATCACTATTATGAGGCATATTGAAGTAGCTGCAAAATTTTTCAGGGGGTTTTACCATGTCTTCAAGTTCTGAAGAAGGGATCTCATCAAGGGTGGGGTACTGATCCAGATTGCCAAAGTGAGAGTATGGAACTTCATCACTTTCAATTGATGTTGTATCAAAATTACCATACATTCCAATCTGTTCAGGTGGTGACCTTCTTATCAAATGATTTTCTTTCAGAAGCCATTTACCTTTATCTATCAATATTCCTTCATCTTCACCAGCCTGAATGCTAGGTTGACAGTGTTGATTTGGAGATTCCTCTAAACAGTCATTAGTATAGCTTGTCTCTTCTCTGTTAAGGGCAGACTGTAATGTTGGTAAAGGAGTATTTTCTCTTCTTGATATAGTGTCATCTTTGTTTACTTTTATTGGATATTCCTGTGATGGTAATGAAGAATGGGACAATTTCTCTGCAGAACAAGACATAGATTCTTGAGAAAAATAAATTATTTTTTCCCCCACTGCAGAGTGGAATCCTTCAGTATCCACTTGAAATACTTTTGATGTATAAGGAAATCCTTTGTGAAAGTCAGGCTTAAATGAAGCTTCTGTCTTGCCATAGAGTCTTTCAATAGTTCTCTTTACATAGCCAGTATTATAATGTTTTTCAAGTGCTTCCTCCCCACTTTCATTGGTCAAGTCACTGGATGCTCTAAAGTTATAGTCACTCTCTTCAGTATCTGGTCTGTAATCTGACCAGTCTGACGTAGCAGGACTTTTTAAGCATTTTTTTAATTGAGAGGTGTCAGAACACATTTTATCCTCCAGTTCTTCCACTTGCAGTTTCTGTTCTCCTTCAGTCATGTCACATTCTGTAATTTGCTTTGATTCATAACGAAATGATAATGGAGAGACTGTAGATAACCTCTCAGAGGTTTCCTCAGATATTTCTTCATCTTCCTTGTCACCCTGTACAGAATAATCCTCATTATTATATTCCACAGAGGTTTCAGTATCTAGTGTAAGTTGGTTTTTTGGGGCTTTGTCAGCATCTGCTGAATTTGGATCAACATTCTCAGCTTCATTTTTATCAGTAGTAACAGGTACAGTGTCTTTTTCACCTTCTAACTCAGAAGTATCCTGATCTAAGATACAATTGTTATCATTAGAAGTTACACTATGAACTGTGGAGTTAGGCTCTACTGAAGATTCCGACTCTTCATTAATGAATGATGTGTCCTGATTTTTTTCATATAGGCTATCAGGCATTTCTTCATTTCTTTCTGGTGTCTCTAAAGCTGATGGAAGGCTACAGGTATTTGAATTAGTATTGGCATATTGACCATCTAGTTGGGTTATGGGAGCAGTCATGTCTAAACCCTCTGTTTCTTTACAAATTTCCCTCTCTACATCAAAACAGCTTTCTGGTTCCCCAGTTAATTTTAGAGCTTCTTCAGAATTGACATCATCCATTGCAATGCAGGGCTTAACTGATTCTTCATGTTCATGCAAACGTGTATCATTAGGAATTTCAGAGATGGGCATATTCTCCTGTGTGCAGTCCTGCTTTTCAAGTTCCTTCCTAAAGTGTAATACCTTATTTTCTGTTGATTGTTGGAGATGTGAGAAGACAGCCTTCAGCTCATCAGCTTGTTCTATAGCTGCAGTTTGTTTCAGACATTTTAACTGTGTCAGTATTTCAGAACAGCTACAGGAATTCTTTTGCATATCATCTGTGATTGTCCCAATCAAACTCTCTCTCAGATTCAGTAAAAGCAGCCAAGCTAGGAGGGCATTGGAGGAAGAACCAAAGGCTGCAGGAGAAAGATCCGAAAAGCTGCAAGACTTTCCAATGCATCCACTATGTCCTTTCTGCAGACCAAGCAAAACTGATTGTAGTTCATGCAGCAAAATGTTAGACATGCAGTTATTCTGAACTTCAATTCCAATTTTCTCACTAACAATTGTGCAATCAGCTTGAACAGCAACTTCAGATCTTTTTCTTTTACATAGGTTGTTAATTTGAATGTCAACTTCTGCCATCTTTTTATCCTTGTCATGTGCTTCATGAAACAAATGTAGCTTACTCTCCTGATGAAATTCTGACTTTAGTGAATACTTAGCTTCTTCTACTATAGATGTGTTAGAATGAATCAAAGAGTCAGTTTGTCTTTCATCTGGATCTTTGGCTGAGTCTTCTGAAATTCTCAGTTTACCAATAGGCTTTAATGGTTTTTTTGTTAAATTATCTTCAAGTAGATGGTTTTTTCCAGTTACATGCACATTATTTGTGATAAATCTAGCTTCTTTTTCTATAGAAGCACCAGTATTTTCTTTGGGAAAAGAACACACACTGCTGTTCTCTGCAGTCCCTTCTTTTCTCTTTATAGGGGGTAAGACAGAATTTGATAACGAATTTTTCAGCCAAGTTTGGACATAATTTTCACGTGAATGTTCAACAGTCTCCTCTTGAAAACCTTCCTGGTTTAGAGACTCTAGTGTAATGGCGCTCTCTGACATATTTAACTTATTTACAACTTTACCTAGATTTTTCTTCATCGCCTTTTGCTTTTTCTCCTTCTTTGATAGCAAATGTTCTGAATTATTTTTTTCCTTTTCTTTTTCAAAGCTGAGATTTTTTGGCACTTCTGAAAATGGCTTTGAAGTCACTGATGAGTTAGGTGTCTGTTTGAAAGTACTGGTTATAAGATGTGCACCTTCTTTCTCAGTGCTAATTGTATCCTGACTGTGTTCAGCTTCATTGTTTGAATCAGCTGTTATTAGACCATCTTCACTCTTTGCAGATGAAATGATACTGCTTTTTTTGCCTGACTTCAATTTTACCTTGGCTAACTTCTTGTTATTACTTCTTTTTTTCTTATTAGATGATGATGATCCATTTTGTTCCACTGAATCCTCATGATAGAACTCATCTTCAGCATATATAGTTTTGACTGAATTGGCAGACCCATCACTGTTTTTTGCAAAATATTCAGATCCTTTTTTCTGAGGCATTTCAGAATATTTATCCATAGCCTCTGTTGTGGAATCCTGTGTGATTTGCAACCCTTCACTTTTAATTACCCCTGAAATTTCCCTATGCTTTTGATTTTCATCTGTACCTTGCTCTAGCAAGCTAGATGATTTTCTTTTCTTCTTCTTTTTGGTGATGGATGATGCAGATTCACTGTTCTCAATGAGCATTGTCATCACAGGTTCAGTCGTGGCACAGATTTGATTCTCACTTTCTGTAACAGTAGGAAAGAATCTAGTCGTTGTATTTATGTTCTCAGTAGGACTGTTACTACATGGAGGTGTCATCATCTTCATCTGGCTATGTCCAGCACAGGTTGAATGCCCTGAATCCTGAGAAACAGCTATTAAATCAGCAGCTTGGCATTTTAATTCTTCTTTTGACTGACATAATTCAGAGTATGTAATGAAAGAACTTACTGATCTTTTTATTTGTTTAATATCACATGACTTTTGGATGTGATCTGCTGTACCTGGCCTAGCTGTCTGGTAAGTTTTTGATGATGGCATGAAACCACTGATGTTAGCTTTGGAAGTTGATACTAAACTACTATATGCACCTTGTCCCACAGCTGATTTCTCCAACATATTCTGTACTAATGCATCCTCATCAGGCACTTCTAATGTCTTCCTATTTGTGGTTTCTATAAACTCACTACTTTTGTGGCTTACTTTAAAAAGCATTTCTTCTTTTATATTTTCTGAAGAAAGCTTTAATAAACCATTGTCACTCATCTCATTAAAGTTTGGGTTACTGACACTTGATTTTTTTCTGCTTGAATGAGCTACCATGCAATACTCAGATGTTTTTTCTCCATTCTCTATTTCCTCACTGTAGGAAAACTGTCGTATTGTTTTCTCTTGAACCTCTTTCTCAGACACCAAGGTGACACTTTCAACTACTGCTTTCTTTTGTCTAACACGCCTTGGCCCAGGGGTGGGAGGCCTATAAAATCGAGGCTTGATATTTTCCTCGGGTACATTGCCTGCATCTAAATCTGCAGAATTGTTCTTCTCAGAGACGTTACAATCAGAAGTTTTCGAATCAGATTCTGATTCTTTGTCTGACATTTCCTCATTGGATTGCTGTACCGAGTCTTCCTCTTCTTTATTGCAGCTCTTCAAAAATGGAGCATCTTTTGGATTTATACACCCTGATGTATTTGCATTGGATGAGCAGTCTTCCACATTCATTGCAGAAGAACTGCAAATGGAGATATTTTTGTCATTAGAAAGGCCAGCACGACTTACGGTGGTTGTCCATTTAATGGTTTCTTCCTCTTTAATTTTGAATCGAACTTTCATTTCCACTGTGATACTGCCATCTTGATTAACATGAACAGATTTCTCAATGTCATCTTGATACTGTGCCACAGATAAGTCTTCACCAATAACTGACCGATTTCCTTCTATCCCATTATGGCTGTCAAGAACATAGGAAGACTCTGAGTTGTTATCATTTGAGTTGTTATCATTGCTGGATACTTTATCAGAAGAAACTGAGAATATCTGAGATCTTGAACTAGAGTCCATTTCAGCTGCCACTACCAATAATTCAATAATTACATTGAAATACAGATGCATTCAGTAGACAGAAAGTAGAGCAGACAAATACCATGGACAAGGATCCAGATGATTAGACAGCAGACAGGCAACAAAGGAACAGAAAAGAAGAAAGGAGAAAAATTAGTATTAAAGATACTAATGAAATGTGTTATTATACATACTTTGGTTTTTTTATTTATTTTGCATTAAAAAGTACAGAAAAAAAAATGAGTAATCTTGCTATTCATCTATGAAGTTTTCAGAGAAAGAAATAAAAGTCTTAATAAAGAATTAAGCATTTAAATACTTGTTAACTTAATTTTATTTTACAATAATTTCTTTCTAATGCCAGAACTGTGGCCTTATTTGAAGCTCCAAAGGCTAAAAAAGTAGGAGACGATCTCATTTTATACTTAGTTGAGAGCTGAGGTTGCCTTTAGCTTTTCAAGGGATTCATAGGCACTCACTTGTTTGGGCGTCAAGCTACCAGCTGCACCTCCTCTTCATGCTTTAGTGATCATTAATATATCATTTCCTATTAGTTCTTGCAGTTAGTACTAAAACATGTCAGTCAGGGTGAATATATATGTCCTTGGGATTAACAATATACAGTGGATGAATAACTACTCTTTGTAATGTCACTGACACATGAGGGAAGGATTCATATCCAATCCTCTGGATTGACCTTCTATAAAAAAGTAAACAATTAAGTTCCTGAACTCCTTGTAAAACCTGAACTTAAATCATGACATGCTGAAACACATTTATCTGTACTTATGATACATATGAGTTATGTATCTGTGCTGTAGACAATGGTGCAAAACTCAGCATAGCCAATTTTGATTTTTTTAATTGATTTTTTTAATGTGGCCCAAAATGGGTTAGCATACACAATATATACTCCCACACTATGTTTTGATTACTCTGCAATAACTTGGATCTTTTAAAAAAGTTTCTCTCATCTCTCTCTCTCATAGTTGTTGCTGAAAAGTTGACAAGTAAAAGAACATAAGATAAGAATAAAGTTTGCTGATTTCCAAGGTCTTCTACATGTGCAAGGGAGACAGTGCAGGTACAGCCGCACAAAGGTATGAACAGCTGCCAGTGATATATAAATGTATATAATTCACCATTTAATAGATAAGTTTCACTTACAAAAAGTATTTTAACACATGTAATATTAACTGATCTACATTTCTTGAATTAGAGTTTGTTTTTTTAAGTGGTCTCCCGTCAAGACTTTTACAGTAATATGTTATCATTACAGAGACACGTCTATAACCTCAGGCAAATAGTCTTGCAAATTTCTCAAGCAGATGCCTTACCATGAACTGAATAAGAAACAAAAGTTAGTACAAACTTTTCTATCACAGACAGAACTTATGCTTCCCAAAGTATCTCACCTTCTCTGTCTCGGGAAATGGAATTAGAACAAAGATGCTGAAATTTCATTTCCCATGTTTTCATATCATCAATTATGTCTCCTATACCTGACATTTTTTATATTCTCAGGTTAAAGGCAAAAAGAGGGTTGTTTTTTCCTCACTCCTTCTGTGATTACTGTTAACTAAGAATTAGAAACAGTAGATAATCAGTTTCAGCAGCTCAGGTTTTCTATGATTGCAAGGTTCAGTCTCTGTCTCAAAGCAAAATCAGAGTAGGATTTTTGTTTCTGCAGAACTTTCATTCTCAAAATGTTCACATTTATTCTCCCTTGACTCATTATGTTATGCTCTGCAAACAGGTCTCAAGCTGTGCAAGTCAAAGTACATTAAGGCTGTAAAAACTTAAACTTAATAGCTTGGTGGGGAGATAATAAAGTGCAAGAAATGTGAATGGAACTCCCTCAAGCAAATGGAAATCAAATGTCATATATTAATGTACTCCACAACACTGTCAGGGTTACTGTGGAAAGTCCCAGTACAGTAACAATTAAACTGTTCCGTGGGTTCTCCAGTACAGCACGAAGCTGTAGCAAGAACAGCTGGGACTTAAACCTCTGGTTTAAGGAAGTTCCTGCAGATAGTACCTCAGCCCTACAAGATGCTCTGATGTCAGGAATTCCCACAGGACCTAAAGCTCTGGAAGTGCAGCATTTGATTTCCCTCTACCTCAGGCTATTCATCTAGACTGGCCTCTCTCCAAGAGCTCCTCATGTTCTTGATCATCCACTGGCTACTCCACACTCTTCCTGACCTTATCAGTGGAGCAACTTCGTGAGCAATCAAAGAGAAAGTATGTATTTGTGTATCTTTTCCCAAACTTATTAAAAAAATGTATATAACAGCCATGAGGATGTAGGAACGCACAACACTCTGTTCAGGCAAAATCAGCTTCAAAAATATGATGAATTTGTGAGTGGATGGATGCTATACTAGTTGTCCTATTTATGGGGAGCATGCAACAAGAGAAGAATAAATCAGGAGAAGCCAAACCTCCACTGGTTAAGTTCTGAAAACTGAACAAAAGTTTTGCCCAAGCAATGCAATGAGAGCCTAAAGTCTCCTGAGGTTTTACCTTTACCACTGTTTTTATTAATTCTGACACCAAAAAAAATCATAACAATGGCAATCAAGTGAATTAAAATGAACTATACTCAAAGATTTTCATCTGTGTTCTGAGTAAGTTTGTCAGAAACAAAATATGCATACTAGCTGAGTACTTACCAGAAACTTACATTTTAAAAAGAAAATTAACACTTTGATCTTTCATAAGCTTATAGAGGAGTCACAGCAGATATAAGCAGTTTCAACTGGCCTTTATGAATATCCTTGATCCCAGTAAGATTGTCACTGTTTATGCCTTATGCTGAGAGATAAATTAATAAAATACAAATTAATTTAAAGAACTTACTCTTTTCACTTTCTGACTTGGCATTTGCTTTTGGGTACACACGATTTCCGATTCCAAGCAATTTAGCAGGCCGCAAATACCCAAGAGATTCATAATTGCTTGGTTTAAAAGGCTCTCTCCCTGCTGCAACTACAGCTCCAGAGCACAATATCAGGGCCTGAAGATTAGGAACCTGGAAAAAGAAGTAACATTAAATTCTCTGCCTTAGTAACCACCAAAAAATAATGTGAGAGATTTATCCCTTCCAAGCTTTATATCTTCACTTCTTAGTCTCTACATTCATTTGCAGCAGACTATTAAATATGTATCACAGCACAGAATTCATTTTTCAATTCCTTTAAGGCAATTCCTATTTCTGTGAGGATGTATCTTGCTATATAAATATTTTGGATAGTTACTTCAAGAAACAACTTGGATCCAGATCAAAATTTTCTTAAAATTTAATTGTTTACATATGTTATTTTGTTTCATCATTGCACATTGACTGCTCATAGTCATGAAATACGAATATGCATTTGGAGGTAGGTATACATATGGAGACATACTTGGAGGAAAAATTCAGAATACAGCACAAGTTGTTGACTCATACTTCCACAAAGGAATAGGACACTACCACAGAGCATTATACTTTGGAAAAGATCTGTGGAGGTCATGTAGTTCAAGCCTCTACTCAAAGCAGATCTGACTGGATCAAGGTGCTCAGAGCCTTGTCTGACAGTTTGGAATGTATGTTCCAAAATATAGTACAAGATAATGTTTACAAACTGCACTTCACTAAATTGTGGCAGTGAATATGGACAGGTTCTCAACCTAATACACAATTTCAACATGTGAAGGGTAAACAGGAGATTTCCCTTACACTCTTGGAGTTCTGCATGGAATTCTCTTTAGATATCTGCTATGTGTAACCATATGTATTTTTCTGTGGTTAAACAACAGACAGAAAAAAACAGAGATAAAATTATAAAAGCAGCATGCAAGATTAAAATCTGGATTATTACTGCTGCACCATCTGAGTTTAGAGGTACAGAACCTGGTCCATGGTTTGAAAACTATAATAGGGACTAAGGTGTCAGAGTTTCAAGTTATAAATGGCAAACCACTCTGCCTTTGTGCAATGATAAAAATATGTGTGGGCATTTGATGCTACTTACCATGTTCTAAAACATTAAAAATCCCAGATAAACAGCATTAAGACTAAAGGAAAATTTTGTGCAAATGGATAAAAGTATAGAATAGGGAGCATGCCTGAAAGAGGCTTGAGTAAGAGAATGAAGTGTTTTGCTCTTTTTGCTTAAAATTAAATGTATATGTGTCTTCACTAGCTTCTCTCTGTTCCCAAAATTCCAGTATATTTCCTTCAAGCTAGTAGCCCTTCTAAGAGGGGAAAAAGAATAGAAAGTAAACAAATTAAATTTAGTACATCTGATCGCACATCTGATCATACATCAGGACCATGTTTCAAGCTCACAGTGGATATTTTTTTTTTAATTTAAAATAATCTAGAAGAAATAATAAAAGAAGTCAGTACTCATCCATATTCTCACCTTTCTGCCATCAGTGGTATAGAGTTTTGCAACTGGATATTGCATTAACTCACTCATATAATCCAGAAAGGCTTCGAATGTTTGTGTATTTTTCTTCCCCAAAACTATGGTGCGCCTATGTCTTACATCCCCATTTTTGAAAACAAGCATCTTTTTGGGAGTTGTTATTCTGCTTTCTCGATGGCCAAACCCATCTTCATTCTGCCTTGCTAATTGCACAGCTCGACGACGAGCACTGACAGGCCTGCTGATCTGCCAGGGCAGTGGCTTTTTGCTGGCCTGTTCCAGGTTGATGGGCTTCATTTTCCTCTGATGGGAGCAAATATAGGATTTTCCATCTTCCAGATCCTCCAGATTGGTGATGCTGTGTCTCCCTCTGGGTGTACTAATATTCCTTACTCCAAAAGGCAGCGGGACCCGTTTGGATAAACTATCCAGCAAGGCATCAAATGTCTTGTAAGACCTGCTATTAACCACCATTTTGATTCCATTAAACTGGGGATCTCCGCTTTTATAGAAACAAATGCGTTTTGCCACAACTGGTTCAGTAACATTGAAATGGCGCGTGGATAAACTCTGTTCACTCTCGGAGGAGTTTGGATGATTCACCGAGTAACTACTTGAAGGTGTTTCACTCATTTTGACAGCAATCTGGAAGAAAAAAAAGAGATGGATGTAAAACTTTTCCTGTGACTAGTAAAAATATGATCTACATTTTGAAAGGTGCAGAAAGAGGATTTATGAGAAACCAACGGCAGCATGTTGTGCCAAAAATCACTGGATTTAAATGGATTCAAGCTGTTATCACTAAATTCCACAAAGACTCCAGTACTGTCAGATTAAGTTAGCATAGCTCTGCTTGCAAGTATTCCCAAAACTCTCCAATGTAATTTCAAATCTCTTATCATTTTGGTGCAAGAGAACTTCTCTTAGAAGGAGGTGGTTTGTCAGTCCATCCTTTCTTGAGCATGAAGCTAATGACATTTCACATTTAAGATATTTAAGAAAAGTCCTTACTAGGAGGGAGAAATTTGGTATGAACCTTTTTTTGGTCCAAAATAGCTAAACTGAAAGATGATGCAACTCAGTCTGATCTTATATACTAGTTTCAAACCAAGGCAAAACTGTGGAAATCAGAGAAAAGTCTCCTGATTTACAGCACTGTAATCTATACCATAATAAGGTCCAAAACATGTGCTAAAGTTTTATCATAAATTGACATATTATTTGCTTTTCTATTACAAGTTTTATGTCTCACAATACATATTTACTACAACAGCCACATTTATACTGAGCAAAAAATAACTACTAACAAAATAAGGCATTTTTAGTAAAATGAAAGCCTAAGTCACTCAAAAAACCACAAAAAATTCAGGTATTCTTCAGGAGAAGTAGCCTTGAAACGAAAACTTTTAAATCTTTTTAAAATATTTTTAAATATTTTAAAATATTTTTGTCTTATAAACAATAAATTATTTCTGACAACCATATTGATAGTCTTTGTGCTTGTAAATAGAGCACCAATCTTTCCATTTTAATCCAATCTAAATATAGATACTGTAATGACAACCTTTTAAGTGACTAAAATAACTTTATCTTAATGATTGGCTTGCTTTCACTGGAACATAGGGTAAAAACATTCAACTAATTAGCCTCAGGGAAACAGTTTTAGTAGACTTTTACTGAAAAACTACATAGCAGTCTCAGGGAATACTTGTCAACAAAATAAAATAAATTCTTTGATGATGTAATCTTAATATAGCTGCCATATTGAATAATGGAACAATCTCTGGCTACCATTTATTTGTCTGAATGAAGCTATGGAAAACTGTATTCTGATTATTTAATACTGCATATATCAGTTCTGAAATTGATAAGAAAGTGTTATATTTCAAGACAGTGAAGGTTGAAATCAAGTTTGCTTTGGTAAGAATTTTTCTTACTGTGTTCTTACAGATTTTCCAGTAATGCTTCAGCTGAATTGCAATAGTGCACTGCTTCAGCTCAGGTGTTTTGCCTTCACTAGGAGTTAATTATTTTGAACACTGATCAGAACACAGGAAGAAATGTCTCCTTATAAGACACAATTTATGCTGTAAAATACACTCCACTAAGTGCTAAAACTAAAAAATATCCAAACAGGACTGCAGCAGAATGATGTACTCTAAGATTGATTTGCACAGCCACAATTACATTTAAAATAAATAAATAAAATTTAAAAGCCTAAAAAATTAAAAACAAAAAAAGCATTTAATTAAGGAGCATGCAAGAAGACATTTTCAAGGTTGGCAGCAGCAGCTTATACAACCCAGCTAGTGAAATGGCTTACTTTCTGTAGGAGGGAGGAGCTCCACTTCAACTAGAACCACTGGCAGCTACAGTTGTTCATCTTTTTTGACATATCTACTCACTAAGCTGAGTAAATTTTCACTATACTTCTATACTGAGAGGTTGACAGGTGAGTTTAGACTAGGGACGCAACTTGAACCAGACATTTTGTGCTGCATGAGTCATTCTGCTTAGCTGGATATGCCTAGAGGAAATCTATAAGGGCATTTTGTTTTCCAGCTGCAACACAAACTTTCCTACTCTCTTTGAAGAGCAAATGTTCTGCTGGAGTGAAAACAGCAATGACAGAAGTTCTTCAGTGAACTGAATGTCATGTTACTCCATTTCAGCTGGCCAAGACTGGAGTTTGAGAGTCCAGTCCAGGATCTCTGCAGAAAAAGCGTTATTGTCAACACTGGCCAGAGAGAGAAATGAAAAGACACTGCTCCTCAGCTACCCTCTACTGTACTTCTAACACTTTGTGAAAATGGAGTGGAATTTCATCTGTGTGACCTGATTATTCACTCTTAATAGAGATAAGATAGGTGGATTTTCTCATGAGACCACTGGTGTTAATCACTTTGGAATTAGCATCTAAGAAGCCGTTCTAGATATTTGTGTTTGTGCAAAACATTCAGTTACATAAGCATCAACATTTGAAAGAGAAATACAACATATTTCACATTAAGATAATTATTAAATTTAGTCTTGACATTGTGGAAGTACTGAAATCCAAGACAAAGAGGAAATATACATACCAAGATAGAAAAAAGCACACTTTCCAGTATAAACATGAAATAATTTCAATGCACAAAACTAAGAAAAATAAGTTTTCCTTAGCAAAATGGATGATATACCTTTATATGGCACACCATGTTTCTAGCATTAATTTTAATAGCAAAAATTGCTTCTGCAACTTTAAGATTCCTTATAGTTACATTTTATGAAGAGAAAACGTTTCAACAATGAACAATCAACTTATTGTAGAAGACTTTTTCATACTATGCGCCACCACAAAATACCTTAATTTAATCATAAACGTACAACCAATTTTCATACTTAAATGATATTCTAAAATTAAGAAATAGCTGATATTACATGAAATAGGATGCCTATTAAGATATTTCTGCAACTAAAATGTTGAGAAATTTATTCTCCAAGAAAAGAAAACAGAACTTCGTCTTTTCCCTGCATTCTATAAACAAAACTATTCATGCAGTGTTTACGCACAAAGCTAAATTCTATAAAGACACTAAGTGGAACACTTTGTTCTAAATACATAATACCCTCAATGCCATAGAGCTGGTAAGCATTGCATACAATTTTATCATACTCACCCACAGTCCTATGTAAACAAAAGAAAGTATAGTTTGTTTTCAGAGATTCATAAATTGTACATGTGGCTGTCTATGCCGCATGAAACAACATCCTTAGTCTTATTCCAAGTATGTTCAGCCTGAAAAAACATCATAATCCTCTTGCTTAATCTCAGCTAATGTGAATCACCAGACCAGGTTCACCACAAGCAGCCACTGTTCAGAGCAGAATGTCTAACACCTCATCCAGCAAGTCCTCTTATATGATGTTAAAACACTATTTACCTATTAAATATTTCATTTGTATAACTTTCTATTTACTTAGATTGCTTAAGAAAGTCACATAACCGCATAAAATAAAAATGTGGGTGGGCAATGTGAGTTATCTAATCTACCTCCTTGCCAGAGTAGGTTTATCATCCAAACTAAATCCTTTAGTGATAAAAAATTTTAATATACTAAAAATGAAGTTTCTATCACTCACCTTCTGAGACTATTAACTATCTCTAATTATTAGATAATCCTTGTTTTCTTTCATTCACTTCCTCAGGTTGATTCTCTTTGTGCTAAAGATTCTCCCATATTTTTCTATATTCAGATAACAATGAAAATAGTTCCAGAATTTCTCTAACAATAGTTAGTAAAACATGACAGTCTGAAGGAGTTTTGTAATCCATAAGGCATTCTTTATGGCATTCTTCGTGTTGGAAAAAAGGCCATGACTATTAATGTGTGTGAATATAGTTCAGGAAGAGATAGGAGGATTATGTTTAACTGTATATTAGTTATGCCCTGGAATGTGGATTTTTTTTTTTCTTTTTTCAGTGGAAATACTATGTTCCCAGGTGGTAAGTGTTCCATCTAATTGCCACCAGATGTATAATCTGATTTGAAGCTTCTTTGCCTAATCAGGATTACACCAAGCTCCCAAAACTAGCTGTTAGAACAGTAACAAAAACACTGCTCAGTAAACACTACTACTACATGCTGTAATGAGTTTTTAACCAGTCTCCTTAGTAGAGAATTCAACATTTATTGAAGCTGCAAAATACCACTTCAGTTCCACTTTCACAAGATACACAGGTACAAAGATTAAATTATAATGTTACACAGATATTTCGCTATAAACATTGCTTTTTATAGTAATATATAAATACAATTATTGTGGTCCTTAATCTATTTTAGCTGTTGTGCCTGTATTCTAGTCAGTATTCTGTTGTTTACACTTGTTCAGAAGACAAACAAGTGCTATTCTGATGTCTTAAAACTGCTTGTAATAGGAATTGATATTGGGTTGGATTTCCCTACAGCGTAGGATATAAAACATCGTTGCTACCCTCATTAATGTTCCAGTGCATGCAAAGACACTTTCAATAAACAGCTAATCCATCAGTGACTTCTGGGTGTCACTAGAACTGGGGACTCAAGAGATCATGCTGCTGGGGCCTGGTGAAGATGACAATCAAGTGTCACCATTTGACAGTGTAAATGCCTCTTATGTCTCCAGGACTTCAAAAGGCTTGCAAAGTTTCTGTCCAGACTTTTGTAACTTAAAGGTCCACTGCATTCATTTTTGTACTACAAAAACTTCATATATTCTGAAAAGATAGAAGAAATCATCAACTTTATCGTAAAAATAGAATTATGCTTTATTAAGGCTTAAAGCTAACAAGTCACAAAAAAATCATCACTGTTCTAAAGCAATCAATATTGATACAGAAACACCTTTCATCCATTTGTGTGGGCAACTTGGCTGACATTCATGGAATTATTAAAATTTTGCAATAAGAATTTAGCCTTAATATCTGGACAACAGTCGTTCTTCATATATATCTTTCAAAAATAAAAATCAGTGAATATAAAATTAGTCCAGAAAATTGAAGCAATCGAAATCAGGCCACATGAGAAAACATATCACTGATTAAAATTGTAATGGCAAGCATGTTTACAATTTTTCTGAGTTGCTGTCATTCTCACTTTTAAATTACAAGCCTG